CGGTGGTGGGTGTACACCCAGGACCCCATTCCAACCTAAAGTGGCCTGGTCTCAGTTATCTGATGAAAGTTGCAAGCGAGAATTTCATCATCGCTTGCGGCTGGGATTGGCATCGTCCCCGACTCCTCCTGATGTCGAGGGTAAATGGGCGAGGTTTAGGACTGTGACTCATGCAGCTGCAATGGCTGCTTTGGGTACGCGGTCCAGACCTCCCCAGACACCCTGGCTGACAGAGGAGTTGTTCAGGATGGTTGAGAAAAAGCGACAGGCCCACTGTCATCGGCTACAGAATCCCACGTCAGAGAATGAGGAGGCTTACCGCAGCCTTCGCTCGGAGGTTCGGAGAGCCGTGAGGCGCTGCAAGGATGGGTGGTGGTCGCGGGTTGCTGAGGAGATGGAGTCTGCCTCAGTGGCCCGTAATCACAAATCTCTATTTAATAAACTCCATCAAAAAAGTAACCTGCAGCGCCACACCTATTACCATCATTAGGGGAAAAAACGGTGATCCAATTTCCGACCCCCAGGAACAGGTTCGCAGATTTGCTGAGCATTTCTGTGAGGTCCTGGGGGAGGGAAAACCCCTCAGCCAGGAAAACATCGTGGCACAAAGTGAGGATGACCCTGCTGAGGCTGCGGTGCCTCAAATATTGGATGAAGTCACCCCCTGTGAGTGTCTGGCTGAGGTGCCATCTGCTGAGGAAGTATTGAAGGCGATCCAGAGTCTGAGACCAGGAAAGGCAGCGGGCAGAGATGATCTCCCAAGCGAAATGCTGAGGGAGGGTGGCGTTTGTGCACAGACTGCCCTATATGACATCATAACAACAGTCTGGACCACTGGACGGGTTCCGCAGGATTGGAAGGATGCCCTGGTGGTCCCCCTTTTTAAGAAGGGGGACCGCACAGACTGTAACAACTACAGGGGCATCTCACTCCTCAGTGTGCCGGGAAAGGTCCTGGCAAGGATTATTCAGCATCGCCTTGCCAGGCACGCTGAGGAGAGGCTTGCGGAGCCCCAATGCGGTTTCAGGAAAGGGCGGTCCTGCACAGATGCCATATTTTCTGTCCGTCTGCTACAGCAGAGGTGTAGGGAATTCCAACAAGACCTGCATCTCTGCTTTATTGACCTGGTCAAGGCCTATGATACCATCAGTAGGCCTGGGCTCTGGGTCGTTCTTCGTGCTTTTGGAGTACCTGACCCTCTGCTCACGATCATTAAGGACCTTCATGATGGTGAGCGGGCCCGGGTAAAACTACGTGGCCGGGAGTCAGAGCCATTCCCTGTACACCTTGGGGTGCGACAGGGATGTCCTCTGGCTCCCACATTATTTAACATCTATTTTGACCACGTAGTTCGTGAAGCCTTCAATAGCTGTACCGGGGGAATCTCCATATGGTACAGATATAATGGGAGGCTAATCGATGCCCGGGTGCGGTCAAGGGATGGCTCCCTATTGCTCAACCACGTTATGTATGCTGATGATTTGGTAATAGCTGCTCAGTCAGAGGAGGAGTTGGAGACGCTGCTGCTGAGACTGGAGCGTGCCACTAAGAGGTGGGGCCTTACCATCAGCCCCACCAAAACTAAGCACCTGCCTGGGTATTTTGTACCATCGGACACTCCACCCCCACAACTCCCAATCGGTGATGGGGCAGTTGTGGAGAGAGTGGAGAGTTTCCCATACCTGGGCAGTGTGCTTATGACTGGCTCCAGTTTAACAGCAGAGGTCTCACTCCGAATCAGTCGAGCGGCAATATCTTTTCATCGGTTGCGTAACGCTGTGTGGAAGCTACCTGGTCTGTCGCTCCGCACTAAGCTTCAGGTCTTCTCGGCCACGGTCATTCCCTCCCTTCTCTACGCTTGCGAAACGTGGACCCCCCTAATGGAACATCTTCGCCGGTTAGAAACATTTAGGCTGGCCTGCCTACGATCCATCCTGGGTTTAACCAGACTGGATTGTGTGAGGAGCTCACAAATCCTTGAAAGATCTGGGCAGGGTCCCATCGGTGAGCTCCTCCGGCAGGCAAGGCTGCGATGGCTGGGTCATGTAGCCCGCATGCCCAGCCACCGCATGCCGAAACAGCTTTTGTTTGGCCAGATTGAGGGGGCTAAGCGGGCGCGGCATGGGCTAGAGAAGAGATGGAGTGATGTGGTACAGGAGGACGTGGAGCTGAGTGGACTTGCCGATGACTGGTACCAGCGGTGTCAAGATCGGCCTCTGTGGAGGAGGCTCGTGAAGGATGCTACTGGGCAGTTGGAGGCAGTCGCCCTCCAACAACAACGGAGGGCGGAGGAGCGACGCTCACAACAGCGAGCGGAGCGCCGGGTGGCTAAAGCACAGCAGGTTGGCACAGTAGGGGGCACAGGTGGTGCATCAGCCAGTCATCTCAGTCAGTCGACCCGTGGCACCTGGGTCTGCCCCGTGACCTCCTGCCAGCGGGCGTTCGACACTTCACGTGGCCTCAGGGTGCACATAGCCTGGCACAAGCGTCGTGGTGACGTCACCACCACTTAGTGGCGAATGGCGGTTGTTGTTGTTGTCTGTGTGTGACTGTCCATCTGTGTGTGTCTGTCCATCTGTGTGTGTGTCTGTCAATCTGTGTGTGTGTCTGTCCATCTGTGTGTGTGTCTGTCCATCTGTGTGTGTGTCTGTCCATCTGTGTGTGTGTCTTGTCAATCTGTGTGTGTGTCTGTCAATCTGTGTGTCTGTCAATCTGTGTGTCTGTCCATCTGTATGTGTGTGTCTGTCCATCTGTGTGTGTGTCTGTCCATCTGTGTGTCTGTCTACCTGTGTGTGTGTCTGTCCATCTGTGTGTGTGTCTGTCCATCTGTGTGTGTGTCTGTCCATCTGTGTGTGTGTCTGTCAATCTGTGTGTCTGTCCATCTGTGTGTGTGTGTCTGTCCATCTGTATGTGTGTGTCTGCCCATCTGTGTGTGTGTGTCTGTCCATCTCTCCGTCTGTCCGTGGTCGCGGCTGTCGCCGCAGGCCCGGACGCGTCGCTGCGCGCTTGCTTCTTGTCCTTGCCGGTCCGGGTCACGTCCGAGGCTTCTGCGGGGTCGCCCCCGGGGGCTTCCCCACCGAACAAACGGTGGCAGCAGAATGGAACAAAGGCAGCGCTGCGGATTGCTGTCACTGTGAACGCCTTTCGCCTGCTCTGGGCACCGATTGCTGCTGCTGCTGCCCGTTATTGGTTTTACCGTCATCATGGAAACCCAGGCAGGACCGCTGCCGCTGTTGTTTTAGTAACTGACGCCCTTATCAGGGCTCAATTTCTCACAGACCTTACCCGAGTCGCTCTTATGGACGGGACTAGGCGGCACGTGACTATAGAAGCCACAGCGAGATGGTCAGTCTGGATGTGGTGTGCCGGGTGCGGTAATAGTTTTGCGTGTCGCTGGTATAGTGGGCCAGGTGGGCACAGCGAGATGGTGATGCTGGGTGCGGTGTGTGGTGCATAGACCTGGAGAGGCCGGGCTGAGACGAAGCCCTGATTCTCACCGTGGGTGATAATGATGACGATGATGACGATGATGCAGACTGAGTGGGGGTCACGGACACACGAGAGGGCAGGGAGAGAGTTCGATTCCTCTGGAGCCGCGGAGATCGCAAGTCGCGGTTTAGTGGCACTACAATACCCAGGGGTCATCGCGAGTCGTGCGGCAGCAATGGATGCCCTAGTAAATGAGACGCACCACCATCACGAGCGTTGTTCCAGGTGATATTTTGTAATATGTGTACGTATTCATACGCCTTAATGTGTATCATAATTATAACTAGCTCGCTTGGTGTACAGGAGGACGTGGGTTCAATACCGACCCTGACGCCTGCTGTATATTTGGAGTTTGCGTGTCTCTCTCCCCGTGGTCGCGTGGATATTTCTCCGGGTCCTCCGGTTTTTCCACATTCAGAATCAAACACGCGTTTAGACTATTTGGCTGCTATAAATTTCCATACGACGATAGGCCACTTCGTTGAGCTCTCAATTGTGGCCAGGTCGCTTCTGAAAAGAAGCTGGTGAGCACGTTCGGCCTTTACCTGGCAAACTAAAAATCATATCGACCAAAATGTCAACCTCGTAGGAAGACCACACCGAGTCTGAAGCTTTGTCTTCAGCAGGGTCGCTCCATTGGGATGTTTAATCAATTCCAATGACAGTGTCTGCTGCTTGCTAAAGGGCACTTGCCCCAACGGTCCGTGAAGGGGATAAAGGTGATATTTGTCTCTCTCTATGTCTGTGTGTGTGTGAATGTTGAACTTCTTTCGCCACCGTAGTGGGCCATCCATTGATTACGTGTGCAACAATCTGTCAACTTGACCCCTCCCCCCCTCCCTGTACGCACACGGACTTTTTACACCCCCCTCCCCGAATCCTATAGAACGGCCGATATTTAAACCACGCAGAAACGATCAAGGATTCATAATATTAACGTATTTAAGGAAACAGATAGTCCACCGCCGGACTATCTAACTAATTTGAAGGCCAATGTAGACAAATTATTATCGAGGCTTCACCCCCCCCCCCCCCGTTTCCTATGCGTACATTGTCAGTAGACCCCCCATACGCAAGCGAACGCGTTTGGGTTAACCCCCCCTCCCCCCTCCACGCGTGCGTACTGAATGGATGGCCTCGAGTTAGCGAACCGTGCTAATCGGAGGTGCGGGGGAAGGACAACAAACTGTGACGCATTGGTTAGCGCAGTGAGCTGCAAACCCGGCGACCCGAGTTCGATTCCCACTCACGGCCACCAACACCAATGATTTGAACCGGTTCTGGGTCTCCCCTTTGTCGACTCAGCCTCAAATAAATAAGCTGCTGTGGTGTGTAAACATTGTCACTGGGGAGACAAAGGCGGCCGGGCATGGTGCTGACCACCCACCCTGTTGCGTGCCGTTCCGGTCTTTACACAGCCCTTCCCAAACATCACCTGCCCCAACAGCCTGTTAACGCTGTGCACGGGTGGTCTCTGTGTTGTTGTGTGTGTGTGTGTGCGTGCGTTAAAGGCCCCTTCCAGAAGACGGGGACATGGAGCATTCGTACCCCCTAGATCCGCAGGGGTCCTCCCCCGAGGGGGATTACGGAGGCTCTGGTGAGGCACGCACGCGAATAACAAGGCCCGGCTTTGTTGGCCCGGCTCAAGCCGCCAGCGGAGGCCACTCAGAGCGGCTCCTTAACGCGCACCCCCACGGCCGGCCAAGGCCGGGCCCTGGCACGCAAAGCCCGGCTGGGATGGAGCCAGCTCGCCAACAGCACCATCGCATCCTCCCCCCTACCTGCCCCAGCCACCTTTGTCTCTCTTGAACCCCTTTCACCAGGTGCTCATTGGCAGGTGCTAAGTTGACCTAGGAGAGACCAAGTTGACCTTGGAGAGGCCATTCTTCATGTGCTATGAAGAAGGGTTATTGCCCGAAACGTCTATGATATATGTTTTCCTTTTAGAAGGTTGAGGGGTTTTTTTGTTATTTGTGCCATCGCAGCAGCATCACGGGATAATTATATAATTAGTTTAATCAGCAGAGAGACAGATTCCAAAGTGCCATTGGCCATCATTAATGCCGAGAGGTGGCCAGGAAATGGCAGTACAGTACACCGGTAAATTATTGAAGCCATCTGTGTGAATTTTTTGTTTTTGGGCAACTCCGTGGCTTCCTCGCACGCGAAACCGAGCATGCGGACTCAGGACAACCGTCCCAATGTGGCAGGACCCTCCTCAAGAGGGTCCTTGAAGCTAAGCCGAGGCTTTCCTGTATAAAGGGAATCATAATCATGACTGTATCGTTCTTCACAAAACTCGGAATGAAGCTCATTATTTGCACCATAACGAACGGATTCCTCACGCAGACGTCGCACAGATCTCCCGTTGAGCTGCAGAGACTGTTGGGATGCTCTTCGTGAGAACACGTTAAGAACACGTTAAGTCAGGATCACCAATGATCTCCCCACACACACACACAGACAAATATCACCCAATTGAATACTTATCGCTGCTGAAGTAACGTCTGCTAGCGAGCACCTATCACATTCGCGCAGTCGTGCGCACACACTCATTGATCTCGCGTGCATCGGCGTGCGTATCTGTGCGCGTGTTTGTGTACGCCCGTCTGCGTCTGTGTCCATACGTTTGTGTATGTTTATGTCGGTGCACCATCTGTGCGCTGTGTGTCTCCCTACGTGTCTGCATGTGTCTATGTGCGTGTACCTGTACACATGTCTCTGTGTCGGAAGTGGTAGCGTCGCGGTTAGCGCGCTGCGAATCCGGCGACCCGAGTTCGATTCACGCTCACGACCAGCACCAGTGACGATTATCTGAAGCAATCCTGGGCCTGCCCTAGCCCGACTCAGCCTTAAGTGAGAGAACCTGGTGCGATGTGTAATCTTCGCCACAAGGGAGACAAAGGCGGCCGGGCGGGTGTTGATCACCCAACCCCTCGTGTGCCATGCCGGCTTTAATAGGTGCTCGCTAACAGCACTTGCCCCAACAGTCTGTTAAGGCCACACAGGGGATCTTTGTGTGTGTGTATGTACCCGTGTGTGTACCCTATGGAGGAGGCTCGTGAAGGACGCTGCTACTGATCAGTTGGAGGCAGTCGCCCTCCAGCAACAACTGAGGGCAGAGGAGCGACGCTCACAACAACGTGCGGGGCACCGGGCGGTTAAAATATAGCAAGTTGGCACAGTAGGGGGTACAGCTGGTGCATATATCTGTGTATGTGTGTCCGGTTGTATGCGCGTGTGCGAACATCTTGCATCCGTCTGCATCTGCGCCCGTCGTCCCGTGTCCGTGCGTAACCGCGTGCGTGCCCACCTGCCCGTTCCTCCGCGTTCCCCGGCGCGTCTCAGACGGCGGCGTTGGAGGCCGCGGGGCCGCCGGCGCGTCGTCCCGGCGACGCAAGCTGCAGGCGCCGGACATCAGCCTGTCGCTGGACCGCAGCGAAGGCTCGCTGCTGTCGGACGACGGTGGCGTCGACACGCCCGACGACCTGGACTTCGACGTGGACGGCATGGACACCCCCGACGAGGCGGACTCCATCGAGTACACGCCGGGCAACGAGCTCGAGTGGGAGGGTGAGCGGACGCGCGCGCACGAACACACGCACGGACACAACAACAACAATCGCCATTCGCCACTAAGTGGCGGTGACGTCACCACGGCGCTTGTGCCAGGCCATGTGCACCTTGAGGCCACGTGAAGTGTCGAACGCCCGCGGGCAGGAGGTCACGGGGCAGACCCAGGTGCCACGGGTCGACTGACTGAGATGACTGGCTGGTGCACCACCTGTGCCCCCTACTGTGCCAACCTGCTGTGCTTTAGCCACCCGGCGCTCCGCTCGTTGTTGTGAGCGTCGCTCACAACAACGTAGCGTCCTTCACGAGCCTCCTCCACAGAGGCCGATCTTGACACCGCTGGTACCAGTCACGGACACATGCACGGGCACAGGCACGGACACACGCATGGACACATGCACAGACACGTGCACGGACACACGCACGGACACGCGTGCATGGGCACGCACGCGGCAACAACGACGACGACCGCCGTTCGTCACTACGTGGCGGTGACGACACCGCAGTGCTTGTGTCAGGCTAGGTACACTTCGAGGCCGTCACATGAAGTGTGGAAGGCTCGCTGGGACAGACCCGGCCGGGTGTTATGAGCTGACTGATGTGCCAGCCCTAGGTGCAGGAGGTCACTCGACAGACCCCGGCATTATGGGGTGACTGAGACGACTGGGAGATCAACCACCTGTGCCGCCTCAATGCGTCTTAGCCACCCAGCGCTCTGCTCGTTGTTCCGAGCATCGCTCCCCATGCCCTCCGCTGTTGCAGGAGGGCAGCTGCCTCCAACTGCCCAGTAGCTTCCTTCACGAGCCTCCTTTACACTGACAGTTGACGAACTGCGCTATGAACCCACCAACCTGGGTTCGACCTAGCATCGGCGGCGAGCGATATCTGAACCGGTCCTGGGCCTCCGCTTGTACTTGGTCCAGTGACCAAAGCGGCCACACCACTCCCCGTACTCCAAGCTGGCATAGATCGGCGCTCGCTAACAGCCGCTCGCCCCAGCCGCCTGCATGGCCATACGGGGGATCTTTATTTGCATGTGTGTGTGTGTCTGTTCCTGTGTAGTGGAGCGGTAGTGTCGCGTTAAGCAGGGACTTGAAATAGATTCCTGTTTATGACCAATAACATTGGAGACTATTTGAACCGGACCTGGGTCGATTGAGCTTTATATGAATACCTAGTGGGGTGCTCGCCACCCACCTCTGCGTGTGCTGTGTTGACCTTAATAGGTGCTCGCTAACAGCACTTGCCCCAAAAGTCTGTTAAGGCTATGGGGTGGTGGGGAGGGCAGGGGCATCTTTGTCCCTGTGACAAATACCTTGAACACGTGCGTGCGTGTCTACACACGTGCGTGGGTGTCTACACACGTGCGTGGGTGTCTACACACGTGCGTGCGTGTCTACACACGTGCGTGCATGTCTACACACGTGCGTGCGTGCCTACACACGTGCGTGCTTGCCTACACATGTGCGTGCTTGCCTACACACGCGCGTACGTGCCTACACACGTGTGGATGTTGCGTCGTCCTTCCTCCGCACCTCTGATGAGCACGGTTGGCTAAGTATGGGTGCGAAAGAAGTTCAACATACGTACATACGTACGCACGTGTGCATGTTAACACCTGCGTGCGTGCGTGTGCGACGCTTGCAGACGACACGCCGATGAAGGGCCGCGCCGGAGGGGAGCGCGCCCCGCCGGGCCTCTCGGATCGCGGCGGGGACGACGACGCGGCGCCGGGGGGCGGCGGCGCGAGTCTGTGGCGCTCGGTGGTGATCGGCGAGCAGGAGTACCGGATCGACATGTCCGCCATCGAGCCGTACCGCCGCGTGCTGTCGCACGGCGGTGAGCCACCGCCGGCGCGCCGCCGCTGCTGGGCCTCGCTCGCGAAGTCAGCGGTGGAAATACTCGCGTCGAATCAGGCGCTTGTAACCACGGTGTTCAACTCGCACGATTTGGGCTGTCGTAAACTGTTTTAGGGTTAAAGATATAACGGTGCGACAGATTATTACGTTTTTCAGCCAGCGACAATTGCCGGTAAAGTATTGACCGGATATCACCCTGCTGCATTGTGGCCTTTAGCTCTCAATTCCCACCTGGTGTTGATTGTATCGCTTGACTCAACGGAGGATGTTCGTCTATCGGATAGGTGACAGAGCAGTTCGTACGATACGCAACGAACCCGGCGACCTGAGTTCAATTCCCGCTCACGGCCAACACCGGTGACGATGACCTGAACCGGTCCTGGGACTATCTTAGGTCGACTCAGCCTGAATGAGAACCTGGTGCGGTGTGTAGTAAACATCGCCACTGGGGAGACAAAGGCGGCCTGGTGTGGTGGAGGCCACCCACCCCCTCGTGTGCCGTACCGGCCTTCATAGGTGCTCGCTAACAGCACTTTCCCCAATAGTCTGTTAAGGCTACACGGGGGATCTTTATCTTTGTGTACCGCAGGCTACTACGGAGAGGGCCTCAACGCCATCATCGTGTTCGCCGCTTGCTACATGCCGGACAGTCGGCAGCCCAACTACAGCTACATCATGGAGAACCTCTTCCTGTAAGCGGCACAGCACACAGACCCATAGAGCGAAGCTAATTGACAGAGACACACACAGCGGCACAGCACAGACACACAGAGTAGCGCAGACACACGGAGCAGCACAGAGGCACACAGAGCGGCACAGACACACAGAGTGGCACAGCACAGACACACGGAGCAGCACAGAGACACAGCGGCACAGAGACCCACACAGAAGCACAGAGACACACAGAGCGGCACAGTACAGACACACAGCAGCACAGAGACACACAGTGGCACAGTACAAACACACACAGCAGTACAGACCCACAGCAACAGTAGAATGCACAGCTGGTCACACACGCAAATTACACCCAAAAAATGAAGTTGAAATATATTTGTGGATTTCGCTCTGTACCCAGGAAATCCTCACAGAGTCTCACGACTCTTTTTCTAGAGGGTCCTGCCAAGTTTCCGCAGCAGGGGGAGGCTATGTTTGTATGCACGTTGGACTTATTTCGCACCGTCAATACCAAGCCGTGCTAATTGGAGGCGTTGATTGATATGCAAATTCCTATTGAGAAATTTGCATGTAATGTTTGCAAATTCGTACGATGAATGTTACCCTTGTAATAAGCAAATTTAGAAGGCACACACTAGTCCCTACTGAGACATCAATCGGGGACAGTCTCCACTGAGACACCCAGAGGGGAGAGTGTCTCCACTGAGACACCCAGAGGGGAGAGTGTCTCCACTGAGACACCCAGATAGGAGAGTGTCTCCACTGAGACACCCAGATGGGAGAGTGTCTCCACTGAGACACCCAGATGGGAGAGTGTCTCCACTGAGACACCCAGATGGGAGAGTGTCTCCACTGAGACACCCAGAGGGGAGAGTGTCTCCACTGAGACACCCAGAGGGGAGAGTGTCTCTACTGAGACACCCAGATGGGAGAGTGTTTCCACTGAGACACCCAGAGGAGAGAGTGTCTACTGAGACACCTAGAGGGGAGAGTGTCTCCACTGAGACACCCAGAGGGGAGAGTGTCTCCACTGAGACACACAGAGGGGAGAGTGTCTCCACTGAGACACCCAGAGGGGAGAGTGTCTCACTGAGACACCCAGAGGGGAGAGTGTCTCTACTGAGACACCCAGAGGGGAGAGTGTCTCTACTGAGACACCCAGAGGGGAGAGTGTCTCTACTGAGACACCCAGAGGGGAGAGTGTCTCTACTGAGACTCACAGAGGGGAGAGTGTCTCTACTGAGACACACAGAGGAGAGAGTGTCTCACTGAGACACACAGAGGAGAGAGTGTCTCCACTGAGACACACAGAGGGGAGAGTGTCTCTACTGAGACACCCAGAGGGGAGAGTGTCTCTACTGAGACTCACAGAGGGGAGAGTGTCTCTACTGAGACACCCAGAGGGGAGAGTGTCTCTACTGAGACTCACAGAGGGGAGAGTGTCTCCACTGAGACACCCAGAGGGGAGAGTGTCTACTGAGACACCCAGAGGGGAGAGTGTCTCTACTGAGACACCCAGAGGGGAGAGTGTCTCTACTGAGACACCCAGAGGGGAGAGTGTCTCTACTGAGACTCACAGAGGGGAGAGTGTCTATACTGAGACACCCAGAGGGGAGAGTGTCTCCACTGAGACACCCAGATGGGAGAGTGTCTCCACTGAGACACCTAGAGGGGAGAGTGTCTCTACTGAGACACCCAGAGGGGAGAGTGTCTCTACTGAGACACCCAGAGGGGAGAGTGTCTCTACTGAGACACCCAGAGGGGAGAGTGTCTCTACTGAGACACCCAGAGGGGAGAGTGTCTCTACTGAGACACCCAGAGGGGAGAGTGTCTCTACTGAGACACCCAGAGGGGAGAGTGTCTCTACTGAGACTCAGAGGGGAGAGTGTCTCCACTGAGACACCCAGAGGGGAGAGTGTCTCCACTGAGACACCCAGATGGGAGAGTGTCTCCACTGAGACACCTAGAGGGGAGAGTGTCTCTACTGAGACACCCAGAGGGGAGAGTGTCTCTACTGAGACACCCAGAGGGGAGAGTGTCTCTACTGAGACACCCAGAGGGGAGAGTGTCTCTACTGAGACACCCAGAGGGGAGAGTGTCTCTACTGAGACACCCAGAGGGGAGAGTGTCTCTACTGAGACTCACAGAGGGGAGAGTGTCTCTACTGAGACTCACAGAGGGGAGAGTGTCTCTACTGAGACACACAGAGGGGAGAGTGTCTCACTGAGACACACAGAGGAGAGAGTGTCTCACTGAGACACACAGAGGAGAGAGTGTCTCCACTGAGACACACAGAGGAGAGAGTGTCTCCACTGAGACACACAGAGGGGAGAGTGTCTCTACTGAGACACCCAGAGGGGAGAGTGTCTCTACTGAGACTCACAGAGGGGAGAGTGTCTCTACGGAGACACCCAGAGGGGAGAGTGTCTCACTGAGACACACAGAGGGGAGAGTGTCTCCACGGAGACACCCAGAGGGGAGAGTGTCTCTACTGAGACACACAGAGGGGAGAGTGTCTCTACTGAGACTCACAGAGGGGAGAGTGTCTCCACTGAGACACCCAGAGGGGAGAGTGTCTACTGAGACACCCAGAGGGGAGAGTGTCTCTACTGAGACTCACAGAGGGGAGAGTGTCTCTACTGAGACACCCAGAGGGGAGAGTGTCTCCACTGAGACACCCAGATGGGAGAGTGTCTCCACTGAGACACCCAGAGGGGAGAGTGTCTCTACTGAGACACCCAGAGGGGAGAGTGTCTCTTCTGAGACACCCAGAGGGGAGAGTGTCTCTTCTGAGACACCCAGAGGGGAGAGTGTCTCTACTGAGACACCCAGAGGGGAGAGTGTCTCTACTGAGATACACAGAGGGGAGAGTGTCTCTACTGTGACACACAGAGAGGAGAGTGTCTCTACTGAGACACACAGAGGGGAGAGTGTCTCCACTGAGACACCCAGAGGGGAGAGTGTCTCCACTGAGACACCCAGAGGGGAGAGTGTCTCCACTGAGACACCCAGAGGGGAGAGTGTCTCCACTGAGACACACAGAGGGGAGAGTGTCTCTACTGAGACACCCAGAGGGGAGAGTGTCTCTACTGAGACACCCAGAAAGGAGAGTGTCTCTACTCAGACACCCAGAGGGGAGAGTGTCTCCACTGAGACACACAGAGGGGAGAGTCTCCACTGAGACACCCAGAGGGGAGAGTCTTTACTGAGACACACAGAAGGGAGAGTGTCTCTACTGAGACACCCAGAAAGGAGAGTGTCTCTACTGAGACACCCAGAGGGGAGAGTGTCTCTACTGAGACACCCAGAGGGGAGAGTGTCTCTACTGATACACCCAGAGGGGAGAGTGTCTCACTGAGACACACAGAGGGGAGAGTGTCTCTACTGAGACACACAGAGGGGAGAGTGTCTCTACTGAGACACACAGAGGGGAGAGTGTCTCTACTGAGACACCCAGAGGGGAGAGTGTCTCTACTGAGACTCACAGAGGGGAGAGTGTCTCTACTGAGACACCCAGAGGAGACAGTCTCAACTGAGACACCCAGAGGGGAGAGTGTCTCTACTGAGACACCCAGAGGGGAGAGTGTCTCTACTGAGACTCACAGAGGGGAGAGTGTCTCTACTGAGACACACAGAGGGGAGAGTGTCTCTACTGAGACACACAGAGGGGAGAGTGTCTCTACTGAGACACCCAGAGGGGAGAGTGTCTCTACTGAGACTCACAGAGGGGAGAGTGTCTCTACTGAGACACCCAGAGGGGACAGTCTCAACTGAGACACCCAGAGGGGAGAGTGTCTCTACTGAGACACCCAGAGGGGAGAGTGTCTCTACTGAGACACCCAGAGGGGACAGTTTCAACTGAGACACACAGAAAGGAGAGTGTCTCCTGCGCCGTAGTCGGGGGGTGAGAGTTGACCTCTTGCTGCTGCTGCCGTTGCGTTGCCATGCGTAGCTACGTGATCAACACGCTGGAGCTGCTCGTGGCCGAGGACTACATGATCGTGTACCTCAACGGTGCCACGCCGCACCGGCGCATGCCCGGCTTGGGCTGGCTCAAGCGCTGCTACACCATGATCGACCGGCGGTAGGGAACACGCGCGTCCGCGTGACCGCACGCCCACACGCTCGCTCCGCTTAGCCTAGCTAGGGCCCGTATCTAACGGAGAGGGCAACTTACCTGTAAGAACGCCTGGCAGTTCGCCGGCGTTGGCTTAAACGAACCTGACTCTACCGATGAGACGCTTTGTGTCGAAACCGGTCCTGAATTTGCCTGCGTTGAACCAATGCTGCTGAAATGGTGCACTCCCAGAATGCCGTCTAGCTATGGGATGAGTAAGAAATACTCGAATATCTGTATGGAGGGACAGATTTGTAAAACAGGAGTGTTGTGTGCTTATTTAGGTATCTGTGTGTGTCTATGACTGCGTGCAAATGTCTTTACACGTGTGCATAATTATGTATGTGTGTCTTTGCTGTGTGCCTGTACGTGTGCATAACTGTGTGCGAGTGTGTCTCTCTGTGTGACCATGTTGTGTTTCTGTGCATGTGTCTGTGCGCGTGTGTATACAGTGAGGGAAATAAGTATTTGATACCCTGCTGATTTTGTACGTTTGCCCACTGACAAAGAAATGATCAGTCTATAAGTTTAATGGTAGGTTTATTTGAACAGTGAGAGACAGAAGAACAACAAGAAAATCTAGAAAAACGCATGTCAAAAATGTTATAAATACTCTTTGGTTCTATTGGGTAAAGTCACAGCTTAAAGGTCGTGATCTAAGCGTGGCTTCTCCCACTCCAGCGCTGTCCTCCAGACAGTCTCGTCCCTTCACCTGATGAAGGCCGCTTGTGTTGTGGCCGAAACATCGTGATTTTTTGTTATTTTATTTTCACCTACGTGACTTTACCCAATAGAACCAAAGAGTATGGATCCTAGCAGTCACGAAAGCTTTAAATCTAGAATTTAAAAAAATGTTATAAATTGGTTTGCATTTTAATTAGGGAAATAAGTATTTAACCCCCTCCCAATCAGAAAGATTTCTGACTCCCAGGTGTCTTTTATACAGGTAACGAGCTGAAATTAGGAGCACACTCTTAAAGGGAGTCTCCTAATCGCAGCTTGTTACCCGTATAAAAGACACCTGTCCACAGAAGCAATCAATCAGATTCCAAACTCTCCACCATGGCCAAGACCAAAGAGCTCACCAAGGATGTCAGGGACAGGATTGTAGACCTACACATGGCTGGAATGGGCTACAAGACCATTGCCAAGCAGCTTGGTGAGAAGGTGACAACAATTGGTGCGATTATTCGCAAATGGAAGAAACACAAAAGAACTGTCAATCTCCCTCGGCTTGGGGCTTCATGCAAGATCTCACCTCGTGGAGTTGCAATGATCTTGAGAACGGTAGGAATCAGCCCAGAACTACACGGGAGGATCTTGTCAATGATTTCAAGGCAGCTGGGACCATAGTTACCAAGAAAACAATTGGTAACACACTACGCCGTGAAGGACTGAAATCCTGCAGCACCCGCAAGGTCCCCCTGCTCAAGAAAGCACATACACATGCCCGTCTGAAGTTTGCCAATGAACATCTGAATGATTCAGAGGACAACTGGGTGAAAGTGTTGTGGTCAGATGAGACCAAAATGGAGCTCTTTGGCATTAACTCAACTCGCCGTGTTTGGAGGAGGAGGAATGCTGCCTATGACCCCAAGAACACCATCCCCACCGTCAAACATGGACGTGGAAACATTATGCTTTGGGGGTGTTTTTCTGCTAAGGGGACAGGACAACTTCACCGCATCAAAGGGACAATGGATGGGGCCATGTACCGTCAAATCTTGGGTGAGAACCTCCTTCCCTCAGCCAGGGCATCGAAAATGGGTCGTGGATGGGTATTCCAGCATGACAATGACCCAAAACACACGGCCAAGGCAACAAAGGAGTGGCTCAAGAAGAAGCACATTAAGGTCCTGGAGTGGCCTAGCAAGTCTCCAGACCTTAATCCCATAGGAAATCTGTGGAGGGAGCTGAAGGTTCGAGTTGCCAAACATCAGCCTCGAAACCTTAATGACTTGGAGAACATATTCTTAGTTCTTTCGGTAAAGTCATGTTGAAGGGAAACAATAAAATAATAAAATATATATAAAACATTATTATTTTATTGTTTCCCTTCAACGTGACTTTACCAAAAGAATTAAGAATATGAATTACTGCAGTCACAAAAGCTTTAAATCAAAAGACTTGGAGAACATCTGCAAAGAGTAGTGGGACAAAATCCCTCCTGAGATGTGTGCAAACCTGGTGGCCAACTACAAGAAACGTCTGACCTCTGTGATTGCCAACAAGGGTTTTGCCAGCAAGTACTAAGTCATGTTTTGCAGAGGGGTCAAATACTTATTTCCCTCATTAAAATGCAAATCAATTTATAACATTCTTGACATGCGTTTTTCTGGATGTTTTTGTTGTTATTCTGTCTCTCACTGTTCAAATAAACCGACCATTAAAATTATAGACTGATAATTTCTTTGTCAGTGGGCAAACGTACAAATCAGCAGGGGATCAAATACTTTTTTCCCTCACTGTAAGTGTTAGTGTTTCAGTGTGTGGGGAGCGGTAGTGTAGCAGCTAATGCGCTGCGCTATGAACCTGGCGATCCGAGTTCGATTCCCGCTCGCGGCCAACACCAGTGACGATTATCTGAACTGGTCCTGGGCCTCCGTTATTTCAATTGAGTACCCGGTGCGATGTGTAAACATCACCACTAAAGTGCTGAGCACCGAACAGTCCTTCCAACTATACTACTAACCTAAAAACATTCACCTATATCACTTTACACAATAAAAACAAATTATAACATAGAACATGATATTAAAATGAGTGAATACATTTTTTTAAAATTTACCTTTTCAGGCAACTGATCAAAAGATGTTGCTGCATGTTGGAATGACTGGCACGGCGATGTGGAGGCGTTACTGCTGTTGCACTGCAGGAATATGTACAACGTTGGCCGGGTCGCTTCTGAAAAAGAGTTACGTTGCTCAGTGGGCCTTACCTGATAATTGGTAGTTTAGGGACACCGTGACGGCAGCCTCCCGGGCGGCTCCTCGTTTGGTGACGTCTCGGCGCGTGCTGTTGAGACATTTCGTTAACGCGGAAATTCGATTTCATTAATCGGGGAAAAAGAAAAAACTGTGTCCGTAAATTCTCAATTTCCGTGAATGCAAAATGTCGTAAACCGAACGTTCCGTAAAGCGAGGGATACCTGTAATTAGAAAAAAAACTCACGGGGCACCCCCCAGATGCGAAGCTCTGCATTGTCCACCCCTATGGTGTGTGCGTGATTTTTAATTTACAACTTAAATGGTCCGTTTCTTATACAGGGACTCCTCTACTTACTGTTTGAACATTCGACTTACGAACTTTCAGAGATACGAACAAACTGTTTGATGATCTCACGGCGCATAGCCGTCGTCAAATTTCGTTTCGCACGGAAATTTGATTTCGTCCGTCGAAAAAGTTCCTGTAGTAGTAATAATAAATTTGTCAATCGCGTCGCCGCGAAATTTCGATAACAAAACCGAACGCTCGTGAATGGAGGTACACCGCGCTCGCAACCAAAGTGGCCACCCACCGTTGTACAGGGACTACCTCTACCTACAAACGAGTTGGATTCCAGAGGTCTGTTCGTAAGTCGACTTGTTTGTAAATCCAACTTCACTCCTGTTGGTTCCAAACATGTACACTGAACACGGGAATTGGCTTTAAAAGTTGCATAATCTCCTGTAGATGTAGGTGCCGCTGGTTCTTCATGTTCTGCAGATGTAGATGCCACTGGTTCTTCATATTCTGCAGATGTCGATGCTAATTCCGTTTGGTGCTCGTGTTTTCGCTCTACTCTCTTGAAACACTTACCAAGAGACGTCTGCACAGTTGCTTTAATCGCAAGTCAACTTGTAACAAGCAATAGCATCGTAAACAGCTGCGGCTGGACATGGACAGGTTTGTTAGTATCTCTGAAAGTTCGTAAGTCGAATGTTCGTAAGTAGAGGAGTCCCTGTACACGTTCCGAATGAAACGTCTTGACGTGGCCGTGTGGTTAGCGCTGGGCTGGCAACAACCGAGCCTCCGGGTTTGAATCTGGGTTTCGGCCGCCCACCATTGTACGCACGTACAATATAACCCCTGGTAACGACCACGACTAATCGCTTAACGACGGGCCTCCATAGAGTCCAATATGTAATGTATAGTAGTGTATAGTAGTGGAGTGTATAGTGTAGTGTAGATTAGTGCCTCCATAGAGTCCAACGTGTACGCTTACCGACCATTCCCCTGTTAACGACGGGGTTACGACGAGCACGCGACCGCATATTTTGGCCAATCAGCGAGTTCCGAAGTGGTCTGACCAGGGCTCGACCAATCAACGACGTCCCTTCATTAGCAACATCTCTTTTGAATTCTTGGTGTACTGTATTTCCACGACTCGCTTAACGACCAAATCACTTGACGACCGGTTTCATGGAACCAATTGCCATCGTTGATATATATACTGTATATGTTGAACTTTGTTTGCACCGTGCGTAGCCAACCACAGATCATCGGGTTCTCAGCCTGGAGAGAGTTCATGGTTCTCCACTGGTCACCAGCGACTGCACAAAAAACTCATTTTTATTAAAAGTATTTTTTTACAGTAAATTTTTGCCAAATGCCACCACTGAATGTGATATAGTTTTACTGGCGTGCAACCAACCAACAACACACATGAGCGTTTGAGTCCTTAATAGGGGAATTGGCCAAACATCCCAATGTAGGACGCTCCCAGAAAAGTCATCAGACTTGACAATGCCTTCCTGGGCAAGTGACAGCAAATTGTTGATTTATCTTGCATTTATTTTTGGGCCGCGATTTCCACTACTTTACTTTCCCCCACTATTCTTGTGCTTCTGGCGTCACGTGCTCACGGAATGCAGGAACCATTCAGAACTCCGGCAGAGCCAGCCTCCATGTCAGCAGGAGTGGATATCAGAGAGCTACCTCCGAGTATGCGATCGAAGGACGACTTTGTCCGTTGAGCGAAATTTGTACGAGCAAATAGCGAGTTGTATTCTCGATTTGCCCTCTGTTCAACACGGGCAGGGAGTGGCACTTTCCCACCACCCTGCTCCTACAGAGGGAAATGTTCATCCCTGTGAGAGATAAACTTGTGTTTAGAAATTCTCGAGATATTAAATTCACCCATAATTAAGTGCGCAAACAAATTGAATGTGATGGGGATTATTTTCGTGCAGCCGTTGGTGACCCGGCTAAGACCATTAAGGCACAACAACCGAGAGCCCGCTTTAACCACAGGCAACGACTGAGACCTGGAATCGAACCCAGGCTCTCAGCGGTGCCGGCTCGGCGTCTCTGACCTCTGAGCCGCCCGGGCCACCTTGAATCCGGTGCCGTTCTAACCGCGCTTGTGCCGGCAGGTTACGGAAGAACCTCAAGTCGCTGGTTATCGTTCACCCATCTTGGTTCATCCGGACGGTGCTGGCTTTCTCCCGGCCCTTCATCAGGTACTTACGGTTACTCGGGGATGCTCGTGGATACTCACGGGTACTCACGGGACGGTAAGGCCCTGCTGGAGACGACCACCACCAGACCTTTTTTTAAAAGTTCCGGCCTCAATGGGTGCTCGCTCGCACGTCCCACACCAACAGTCCGTACAACCGCACGCTAAACGTTTGTCCGCATGTGTGCTGTGAGTCTGCGAGCACTGGGAAGTGCACGCTTGGAATTACACCGAGACATGGGCAGACTGAGGAACGCGTCAAGTGCGCAGGTTCAGGACCGTTAAGAGCGGGAAGTGGGCCTGGGCGAGATTCCAACTCAAGAGACGATGGGCCGGTGACAGGGGCGCGACTATGGGGCGGGGGGGTATGTGGCAGCGTTATGCGATGCGTAGGGGGTTAGTTGGCCACAAGGTGGCGGGGGGGGGGGCCTGAATCAACAGATAAATAAGTAAGAACACGTTTAAAAAAATTCTGAATTAAAAATATTCATAAAAAATTACCTGCGGTCTGCCATGAACCAAACCCGATTAACGCATCTGGCTAGTGTGTCAATAGAGCACCATCAAGTTCCACCCGCCTTGAGGAAATCCTCGACCGAGGGGCCGGCATGAAAGCAAGACGCACGATAACTTAATTGCGAGTAATTGTACCTTTAAATCTATTTATTAATACTGTCGCTGTGAGACCGTCTTCCTCGAGACACAAAAGACAGTGCAACTAAAATAACATACCGTATATAGTTATCGCCTACATATTATTGTGTACGGGCTTAAAAACATCGTAGCAATTTCAGTAAAAGTGAGTCGGGAGAAAGGAGGGGGACTGTCAGTCGTATCTTGAATAGCCCCTCCCCGTTAAAATGGGGAGTTCCACCCCTGGCTGTTGGTCGAGGCTGTTGGTCGAGGCTAACGCCGGAGCGGCAGCCAAGGGAGGGAGCACGTGGAGAGTTACGTTACACCGGGCCACAGGTGGAGCGGTGCCGTGGGCTCGCGTGCGGGCCATGAGACTGATCGTCGCGGCGCCGCGATAGCTGGCGACGGCTTGGGGAGCCCTCCATCCAGCAGTGGATCGATCGTGGATGATGATGACGACGACGACGACGATGCTGTGTGTGTGCGTGAGCAGCACCGAGTAGTGTAGCGGTAAGCGCGCTGCGCTACGAACCTGGCAACCAGAATTTGATTCCCGTTCCCGGCCACCAACACCAGTGACGATTATATGAACTGGTTCCGGACCTCCCCTAGGTCGATTCAGCCTCAAATAATTACCGGACACGATGCGTATGCATTGCCGCTCGGGAGACAAAGACGGCCGGATGTCGTGCTGACCACCCACCCCGTCGTGTGACATGCGGTCTCGTATGTACGTATGTTGAACCGTGCTAATCGGAGGCACGTCTTCATAGGTGCTCGCTAACAGCACTTTCTCCAACAATATATGAAGGCTACATGGGGATCTTTGTCTTTACAGCACCAAGTTCTCGAGTAAAGTCCGCTACGTGCACAGCCTGGTGGAGCTGGCTCAGATCCTGCCCATGGAGCACATCCACATCCCCGACGGGGTCATGCGGTGAGCATACGTCCTCACTCGCCCTCACTCGTCCTCACTCGTCCTCACCCGCCCGCACTCGTCCTCACTCGCCCTCACTCGCCCGCACTCGTCCTCCCTCGCCCGCACTCGCCCGCACTCGTCCTCACTCGCCCGCACACACTGCCGCGTGCACTCACAACACTCCATGCCACACTGCGTGTTTGCGCCCCATCGTCTCCGCCATCGATCCCGCCGCTACCGTCGCCGTTTTTATTTGCTCGCGCTCCAGCGTCCTCGCCGTGTTGTGCCCCATCGCATGTGACCTCGTGTGACCCCCCCCCTGACCTCCTGACCCCCATCCCCAATGAAGGCTAGAGGAGGCGCGGTTCCGCAGGAGAAAGCGAAGGTAACAGCTCCCCCCACCATACCCCTCCCCTCCCACCCCCCACGTTTTTACCTCCCCTCTCTGCCTCGGGGCCCCCTCACTCTGCTTGCCTCGTTTCCACGAATGCCGGGGAGCCGAGTGGCCCATTGGCCCGGTCGCAGCGGCAGGGCCCGGCTGCCGTGTGCCATGAGGCCACCTGGGATCGGCCTCTCTCGCTCCGCATCCCTGCCCCCCCCCTCCCCTGCTTCAGGTGGGCCTGGAGCGAGGGCTGAGCGAGGTAGCCCCATCCGCCTCTAGGCCCTGCTTGGCCCCGATCCACATGCGTCTGTGAGGCCTCCCTGTCATGGTCTAGTTTGCGGCTCGGCTTTTAGCCAGTGGAGAACGGCCCCCTGCTGCGAGGGTCCCCGCGCAAGCTCGGCTCAGATGTGCCAGTGGAAAAGGGGCATTTGGTCCGGCTTGGTGTCGGCCCAGAGCCAGGGCTGTTCTCGCAGCCTGTGGAAACGAGGCATTCCTCTCTCTCTCTCTCTCCCCCTTTGGCGTCTCTCCCACCATCTCCCCAACCCCTCGCTGTCCAACCATCGCCACATTCCGATGAGCACGGTTGGCTACGTACGGTTCCACTGTACGCACATGCACTCGCAAGCACCAACAGCAAAGTCGTAATGTTTCGGCTTGTGTTGCGGCGCGGGACTCAAACAGAGATCCCGGAGTTTGAGGCGGTGACAGTGGTCGCCTAACAACTGAGCCAGCACCGCCGGGAACCTGAGTGCCAAATCAGGGTTTCGGCACACCAGTGATTAAACCGGGCTCTCTTGAGTGCAGTGAGCTGATGATGGTCTTGGCCAAGTCACCAATGACGTCACACAATACAACCAGACCACAATTTGGCCCAGAGGGTTTGTTTAGTTTTGTCTTCTGCGCCCGTTCGAATGCGACTTGGGGTACACGGCGAGACGCTTTGTATACCGTTGAGTTCATCATCATCATCATCTATGTCGTCATTTTAATTATTTTTCCCACCGGCTTTTAATTTCACTCCATGATGTTTCTGGTCCAGCCAGTAATGACTCTTACGTCTGTGCTTCATGGGGGACTGACAGCCATTCTTCATTTGCCAGTTTATTATTCTGCTGTCATTTATTATAATTGTATTTATTAGTATCGCACTTGTTTACCCAGGAAAGCTCCGGCGAGTCTCTTTTTCAGAAGGGCTCTGCCGATGTTTGGCAGTGGGGGGCGGGGGGGGGGGGCACTGTCGCTGTTGTGTGTATGGCTTCACAATTGAGTAATTTGCAGTGTCAAATTGTCAGCATTGGGATGGTTGGCCAAGTCCGGTGGCACTTGCAAGTTTTCTTTGCTGTGCCAGGAAACGCGGAGAACCTCCGAAGGAATCCCAATGCAGAACGGGGGGAGATCAATAAACAAATATCTTTTGATTTAAAGCTTTCGTGACTGCAGGGATTCATATTCTTGGTTCTTTCGGTAAAGTCACGTAGAAGGGAAACAATAAAATAATAAAAATGTAAAACAATAAAATTCTCACGACGTTTCGACTGCAACACAAGCAATCATCATCAGGTGTGAAAACCACAGCAAGAAAATTTGAAAAAAGTGGCGTTTTTTTAACGTTAAAAAAACCACACCCATCTCAAACCTTTATAAGTCCCTGCCTTAGCAGCGCTCCCGCCATTTATTTTTTCCTGCCTCAGTAGCTCTCACCTGATGACGATCGAAACGTCGTGATATTGTGATTATTTTTATTCTATCTACATGGCTTTACTGAAAGACCCAAAGAATATGAATATAAATATGTACTTTAGAAGTTTAATATTTAAAACGGTTGCACTCTATACGGTTTGCTGCGTGTGTATGTCCGTTTTTGTGTGTAGTGGTTATCTGTGTGTTTTGTGTGTGGGGAGCAGTAGTGTAGTGGTTTGTGTGCGTAGTGGTTATGTGTGTGTTATGTGTGTGGGGAGCGGTAGTGTAGTGATTATGTGTAATGTGTGTGGGGAGCGGTAGTGTAGTGGTTGTGTGTTATGTGTGTGGGGAGCGGTAGTGTAGTGGTTATGTGTTATGTGTGTGGGGAGCGGTAGTGTAGTGGTGATGTGTTATGTGTGTGGGGAGCGGTAGTGCAGTGGTTATGTGTTGTGTGTGGGGAGCGGTAGTGTAGTGGTTATGTGTGTTATGTGTGTGGGGAGCGGTGGTGTAGTGGTGATGTGTTATGTGTGTGGGGAGCGGTAGTGTAGTGGTTATGTGTTATGTGTGTGGAGAGCGGTAGTGTAGTGGTTGTGTGTGTTATGTGTGTGGGGAGCGGTAGTGTAGTGGTTATGTGTTATGTGTGTGGGGAGCGGTAGTGTAGTGGTGATGTGTTATGTGTGTGGGGAGCGGTAGTGTAGTGGTTGTGTGTGTTATGTGTGTGGGGAGCGGTGGTGTAGTGGTGATGTGTGTGGGGAGCGGTAGTGTAGTGGTTATGTGTCATGTGTGTGGGGAGCGGTAGTGTAGTGGTTATGTGTGTTGTGTGTGGGGAGCGGTAGTGTAGTGGTTGTGTGTTATGTGTGTGGAGAGCGGTAGTGTAGTGGTTGTGTGTGTTATGTGTGTGCGGAGTGGTAGTGTAGTGGTTATGTGTTATGTGTGTGGGGAGCGGTAGTGTAGTGGTTGTGTGTGTTATGTGTGTGGGGAGCGGTGGTGTAGTGGTGATGTGTGTGGGGAGCGGTAGTGTAGTGGTTGTGTGTGTTATGTGTGTGGGGAGCGGTAGTGTAGTGGTTATGTGTTATGTGTGTGGGGAGCGGTAGTGTAGTGGTTATGTGTGTTATGTGTGTGGGGAGCGGTGGTGTAGTGGTGATGTGTGTGGGGAGCGGTAGTGTAGTGGTGATGTGTAATGTGTGTGGGGAGCGGTAGTGTAGTGGTTGTGTGTTGTGTGTGGGGAGCGGTAGTGTAGTGGTTATGTGTCATGTGTGTGGGGAGCGGTAGTGTAGTGGTGATGTGTTATGTGTGTGGGGAGCGGTAGTGTAGTGGTTATGTGTTGTGTGTGGGGAGCGGTAGTGTAGTGGTTATGTGTGTTGTGTGTGGGGAGCGGTAGTGTAGTGGTGATGTTTATGTGTCCGGGGAGCGGTAGTGTAGTGGTGATGTGTGTTATGTGTGTGGGGAGTGGTAGTGTAGTGGTTATGTGTGTGTTGTGTGTGGGGAGTGGTAGTGTAGTGGTTGTGTGTGTTATGTGTGTGGGGAGTGGTAGTGTAGTGGTTATGTGTTGTGTGTGTGGGGAGTGGTAGTGTAGTGGTTATGTGTTGTGTGTGTGGGGAGTGGTAGTGTAGTGGTTGTGTGTGTTGTGTGTGGGGAGTGGTAGTGTAGTGGTGATGTGTGTTACGTGTGTGGGGAGCGGTAGTGTAGTGGTTGTGTGTGTTACGTGTGTGGGGAGCGGTAGTGTAGTGGTAATGTGTGTTACGTGTGTGGGGAACGGTAGTGTAGTGGTTCGTGCGCCGTGCTACCAACCCCACGACCAGAGTTTGATGCCCGCTCAGAGTAAACATTGGTGACGAATATCTGAACCGGTCCTGGGCCTCCCCTATGTCGACTCAGCCTCAAATGAGTACCTGGTGCGGTATGTAAATATCGCTACTAGGGAGACAAAGACGGTCGGGCATGGTGCTGGCTACCCACCCCTTCACATGCCATTCCGGCTTTCATTAGTGCTACTCGCTAACAGCACTTGCCTCAACAGTCTGTTAAGGCTATATGGGGGATCTTTTCCTTGTTTGTTGTCATCACGAGCTTGTTATGAATGTGTCACTTGACAACCTTGCAAACGGGGCATCCAATCTCAGGGTTATTATCCCGGTGAAATATTTTAATGAAAAAAAGATATTGTTAATATGAATGATGGTGTTTGATGATGATGGTGATGGTAACGATGATGTTGATTTCTTGTCGATGTGTGCAGGCTCGAGGAGGAGTTGAGGGAAGCCAGCGAAACAATGAGGTGAGACCCACAGGTGTACTGTAAATACTGTATGTTGAACTTCTTTTGCACCTTAAATAGCCAACCGTGGCTAATTGGAAGTGCAGGGGAAGGACAACTAAAAGCAGTTGTAAAGAAATGAGATTGTCAATCTAGATTAAGTGTCTAGCTCTAGTGGCTTCTTAATATCGGAAGAGCGTTCCAGACGTTCTGCAGAAGCGCATCTGAAAGCGCCACGCGATGCGGTGACCGTCTTTGTTCGATGGCTAGCCCAAACAAATGAAAAAAAAAACGATGCATCGATATCATTCTTTAACATCGGTCGGTTACTATGATTACAATTACGACTGTTTATGCCGTACAACCCCACCGAGCCTCAAGTCTCTTTCAGGAGGGACCTGCCCAGTCCTCACAGTCGGGAGCGCGACGTCTGTGTGACGTGCGGCCGACCGAGTAATTTGCGGGCAACTTTCACCAATAGCGGTTGCACTCTGCGATTGTTTTTTTTTTCCGCCTAAGCTCGCAAACGCACGCGCCGAATCGCCGGCGAGGAACCGGCGGCGTCGTGAGATTCGCCAAAACGCTCCGTGCCACCGGTGGCCGGTCCGCAGAGCGCTTTGATCCACGTCGGTGCCTCTCAACGCGCTCCGCCGCTGCCACCACCACCACAAGGGCTCTGAACAGCAGTTTAGGCGGATGGATTTAACCTCGTAATATACTCGGGACGTGAAGTACTCGCGCCATATATTGTGGTAGAAATATTTGTTTTTTTATGGACGGTACGGTATTCCCTCATTATTCGCAAGGGATACGTTCTGGAGAGGCTCATGAATGGAAAATTGCGTGGATAACGATATTGGCCTGCGAAAACAAATCTATTTCAAGAATTACCTCAAATCAATACATTAGCTTTTTCTCTCTCATCACTTGTTCCCATCGTATTCTCTCTCGTCACTGTATCTCTAATCATTCTATCTTCACTTTATCTCTCATCACTTTATCTCTCTCGACGCACCAGTCATCGTGTAGAATTCCAGATGCGATTTGCGGATAGCCAAATTCGCGGACAGCAAGTTTGTGAATAACGAAGGAATACTTCACTGTTATTAATTATTAGTCAAGGATTTTTATTTGCCTCCACCAGAAAGCTCTGACCGACAGCTACCCGATGCATTTCACCTTGGAATATACGAGAGACAAAGCATCAGCGCCATCTATTTAGAGGAAGTTGATATATATATAAACACATGTAATTTTTTAGTGTACGAATTCTGAAGTCGGGGATTTTTATTTGCCATCAGCCATAACGAAAGCAGCCGTCTGTGCTTATGTGAGGGTTTGTCACGGATATTAATCCCTGAGATACGCAAATTCAAATTTAGCGACCCACGTGTTGGCCACCGCTGCTCTGTGCGATGGAGTTGCGTCACCCCTCGCAGCCACTGGAGGCGCTTCCGTTCGCTCATCGATCACCCCCAGCGAGTTTTAATCCGGCTTGGATATGCGCACGTGCAACATTTTGTACAAAACGCATCGTCTGCTTTTGGGTCTCTTCAACAAAACGAAAGAACCTGCGGATCACGCTGACGAGGGAACCTTGCATTACGTCTACTGCAGCAGCAGTAGACGTAATGTCATTACAGTGCCGTCGAAGCACTCTTATCTGTGATGAAGCCAGGGGAGGGATGAACCTCAAGGAACGTATCTCTGTGGTGGACCGCGGTGACCAGCGGGAAGCATTCGCTTCAGGGCACTCCTCAACTTCCAGTACGGCTCTCCCTCCCTGAGCTGTGGGGGGGGGGGTAGGCGGAGCAGTGAGCCCTTGAACTCCCAAACTGAGAGACGAGAAGAGGAACGCATAGATTAGGGGACGTACACACATTCCAGACGTCACGCTTAGTGAGAATGTGTGAGCGATGGCGAAGGCTTGGAGAGGCCTTCATCCAGCAGTGGATGATGATGACGACGAAGAGCCTGGATTTTGGACGGTCTGTGCTTAATGGGGTCCCCGCGTGTCACGGTGCAGACTTCGGCAGGAGCTGGAGGCCGTCGCCGAGGAGGAGAGGTAGGCCACACCCTCGCCTTGCCCACACGTTCAGCCACGACCTCTTCCAGGCCGGCCCCACCACACCCCGCGAGGGGTCTTATAAGCGGGGCGGGTCAAAGGTTAAGGGCTCTCTCGCCCCCCTACCCTCTGACCTCTCCGCGGTCCTCCCCTCTCCCTCACTCCCAGGATCCGCATGCAGCACGCCTCCTCTTCCCCCTGCGCGCATGCACGCTCGCCAGGGTTGCCGCGATATCGTTTTTTAAGGTTCGCAGTGGAATGATCTTTCATGACGGCAGGTTTCCCTCAACTAGGGCAATTTTCGTTTCGCAATCGTGTCGCTTTAGTTGCTTCGCCGTGCCTGCCGCCAGGGAATGAAGGTCGCTTTGAAGGTCATTCCGCTGCAGTTCGCGGCAGCGCAAGCCTGCCAAAGGACGGACGTGCCAGTCACGGTAACTGGGCCGTCGACAATGCCTACGAACACACATGCTGTCAGTTATGCGATAATTTATTTTTTTTAATGTATAAATTAACCACGGACACGATGATGCGGTTTAACCACGTGCCTTCAATTGGACCAGGACACGCTTTGCAAGGCACTCGTTTAGCAAGTAATAGCCACATAATTCGAACTTTGATCACTCTTGTTATTGCGAACTCTTAATTATTGCTCCTTCACGAACATTTTGGTCGGGGAAATGGAAAGATTGAAGAAGATGGGAACGAGCCATGATTGAAACGTCGGTGTCACCATATCGCAGCAACCGTAAACCATCGCCCTTTCCTGATCGCCCGCCCTCCGTTTCTTGATTAATTCCCTTTCTATTGAACCTCTCCCGTCACCTCGTCGCTCGTTTTGCTGCCCTCGTTTTGTTTGTTTTTTGCGTTGGTTTCAGATTTGGTTTTTGTTTTGTCGCCTTAACACAGAATGGATGACGCCTTGTTTAAAGCCGTGGCTGCCGCAATGTAAGCCCCAGCTCCTCCTCCTAACCCCTGACCCATAACCCCCCCCCCCTGACCCATAACCCCCCTGACCCATAACCCCCCTGACCCATAACCCCCCTAACCCATAACCTCCCTGACCCATAACCTCCCACACCCCCCCACCGCTCACCTCAAGCTTTCCTTCGCAAACCAATCGGTAGAGCCCCTCCGGCGAGTGTTTTGGGGGGTTGTTAGCGCGTGACGTCCCACGTCCGTGACGCCAGGACCCCTCCCTGCACGTGGAGCGAAGCGTCGTGGACGGCCATACTCGGAACGCACATCGGAGAGCTGCTGCGGCACGACCTCGGGCACCAACACGGTCCGAGTATCGCGCTGCGAATGCCGAGGTGCACTCGGGCCAATCTGGCCTCGCCGTAGGCGTCGCTCGCTTCGAGCGTGCTCCCCGCACGCGACCCGATTGGGGCCTCCCCCGAGCAATCTCGTGTTGCAGCTCGGCTCGGTTAGCAGCCAGTGGAAAGAAAAGAAACAAGCACCCGTCGCCGCGCTGGCACGGCTCGGATGTGCGAGTGGGAAAGGGAGCCTCTTGCCATCCACCGTCCACTCGGCCCATCGCGGTCACCTCTGCTTAGACCGCCCTGCTCTAGGTGCGCTCCAGCGCGGGTGCTCACCCTCGCATTGCCGTCTCCCAGCAGGGAGTCGGAGGCGTCCACCTCGCAGTGACGGCGTCGGCCCGGGGGGGGTGAGCGGGGGTGGGAGGCGCGTCACCTCGCGGGTGCAGCCGCGACCTCGCCGGCGGCGTCGCGGCCGTGGTTGGCCGTCCGACGAAACCTCAAGTTCGACGACGCAGCACGGTGTGAGGGGTGGGGGTGGCGGGCGGGCGGGCGGGCGCATAGGACCGGCACAAAACGCAACCCAACTTCGTCCGGCTATCTCCCTCCTGCTGGGCATCACCAGCCACGGCTGTCAGACGAGACGAGTTTGCGCGAGAGCACGCCATCGGCCGCGTGCTCTCTCGCGTCGCTCGACGAACGCCCCCTTGTCCCCCACCCCCTTGTCCCCCACCCCCTTGTCCCCCACCCCCTTGTCCCTCACCCCCTCCCGCCCCTCCCCCCACCCCTCTGCATCGTACGGGGAGATGATTGCGATCGCTGAAGTGACGGCGGCGTGGGACGCCAACGAGCGTCGCGACGGGAGGAGCACCGGGTCTCGCCGCACGACCTGAAGCCAATGCCGCGCGGGAAGCAGGCGCTTGCGCGGAGAGGGAACGAGGGGAGCGGAGAGGGTGAGGAGCACGACGGACGGCGTGGTTACCCGCGGGCCCTCGCGCCGAGCGTGGTTACCCGGCGAGGTCGCCAGGCAGGCCGGACCTCGTGCGCCACTGTCGACCGCGCACCACCGAGCCTGCCGCTACGACAACCTTCTTCGCGGTTGCGACTTTACGTTGGTGCGGCGTCATGAACGCGACCGCCGTGCGGAAAAACGGCGTCTTGAGACGGTGGGGCAGGTTCAGGTCGTGGGGAGGACGTGGCGCTCGTAGGCGAGCGATGGTGAGGAAGGTCTCGAGGCTGGACTAGAGAGCAGCAGGCAGGGAGTCGACAGCACAGACGGCTGGGAGGGCGTTCCAGACTACGGGGACGGCAGAGGAGAACGAGCAACCTCCCACGAAGCCAGGGGTGGTGATCTTTTTGCTCATCAGGGGGTCCAATTAGACTTCCGGATGCTTGTGGCGGATCGAACGTCAAGGCGCGAAGCTCGGCATTATCCATCAATGACGTGGCACGTAGCAGCGGGGAGAGGCCGTCACGGTGGCAGCGCTAGAATTAGAAACCCGTTGTCACCAAGTCGAAGATATTCCCCTCTAGAAGCTGATTATCGCAAAGATAAAATGCCACACACTCGTGTTCACGGTACAATTACTTGGTTTACGTTCGCAACTTCGCGTTACAAATTGCACGATTCAGCGACGAATGCTTTCACGTTATTAAAATTGGCAGCGAGGTGGCTCGAGCGGTGGAACGTTTGCCGCTCATCGCAGAGGTTCAAGGTTCGAATCGAGCGGCGGCCTCCCGCGTTAATAATGCGGCGCAACAGCCATTGTGTGCCGGCGTCAGGGTCCACACTTGAAGGATTACGCCGCAAATTTACTGAATTGGGATTGTAAACGGAAATCACCGCCGCCTCCTGGCAGACGAATTCCCCCGAGGTCACTCTTGCAATTGACTCATCTTGGACTCCCGATTTCTCGCCTTGTTTAACAGAATACATTAGAAACGTGAATGTATTACATTCGGTGCGTAAACAATTAAACCTAATAAACGTTCATCAGTTTAAATAAAAATAAACATATCCAAAATTTGACAAAAATCCACGATCTGAAATATAAGAAATGCAAAACTCATCCGTACTTCACTTCCTTGGGCTGCGCAGATAAACTTGTGTGTTCAGCAACTGGCTCGGCAGCGGCCGGTAGATGCGTAGAGTTTCCTCTGATTCTAGCGCAGTGGGGTGGAGTGAACGTCGCGGATTACTCTCCGTCACCTTTGTAACGGAGAGTAATCCGCAACCAGCTACTGGGACAAGCCCAGTGGCAGACCCAATTGGAAGGAGGGGGGAGGGGGACGATTGAGAAAATTGTCTTTATTATGAACGTAGGGCCATATTGTAAAAGCTTCGAATTTTAGAGCCACCAGCCACCAGCCACCGCCCACCTCTCAGACACTCCCAGCTTCCAGAGTGTCTGTGACCCCACAGCAAAAGAGTATGTATGCAATGCGGCACACAATAGCCTCCTCGCTCGCGTTACTGGTCGTTGTTAAGTTATATCGTGCGTGTGACATGCGTGGCGTATAAAGCTACAGCAGCACATAGACGAGGATTCCGTGCCGTCGAAAATCTGCGCGCGCGTGCGCGCGTGTGTTCGCGAATAAGGCATCGCCCAATCCTCGTGTGTTTATTTACCGCATTCCCCCGGATCGTGGAGACGTTCCGGAGCGTGAGACGCACCCATAACCCACGGTGCGTTCGACAGGGCAGAAGCGCCCTGCAGAGGGCTTGTGGAGCCAACGAGCCCCTTGTAAAGCAGCCACAGGAGAGCATTTGTGGCGAGGAGCTAACAACGGTCAGCGGTTGTAGGTGCGGGGTCGCGTCAGAAGTCCGGACCAATCGGTGGGCGCCGTTCCTTTGCTGCCGGCTCTCGGTTCGGCGGACACGCGCGCCAGCGCTCATTGGCCGAGCCGGGTGCGTTGTGACGTCACGCCGCCGTTGCTAGGCGCGGCGGCGGCGGCGTCCGAGCCCGCGGCGCTGTTTGACGTCGAGGCGGAGGGGCCCGGCGCCAGCGAGTCGACAAGTCTGGTCACACGCCTACCGGGACCCCTCTGAGATGCACCCCCAACATTCGCTTTAAAATACGATAACCCGTCGACCCCGTACCAGTGCCTACCTTGTTACAGACCAATTCACACCTTGTTGGTCACCCGGTGCCCCTTATAAATCTCAATGTTCATCCTTACAAAGTGCTATCACAAGGCAGAAATACAAACACATTTTTGTTGTTGCTCGTTTTGAAACGGCTGTACGCCTTATGGACCTGAAAACTCAATTCCTCTGTGCAAGAATACGGAGTACACCGTACGGGTTGACACGGTACGCGATAAAGGGGATTGGTGGGGAATAAGTGCGTCTTATAATTATCTGGAGACATCGATCACCAGCCACGATGTTGTTCGCTGCGGTAGGACACCCGAACTGTGTGAGCCACAGTTGTCCTTTGACCGTGCTTCACCGCACTGGTCAATGCGGGTTGGTACATGCCCCCCCAAACCACATTGCCCCCCCCCCCCGCCCAAACTTGTACGCAGTGTTCGTAATATTACACACCGCCACGTCCCAGCGTTCTGATTGGCTTCAAGCCACGTGCCATTCAACGCGCGGGTAAGGGGGGGGACGCGGGAGGTGGGGGGTGTTGGGTGTGGGGGGTACCAAGCACCTTGTGGTAAACACGCACTCCACACGCACTACACACGCGCTGTCACGGGAGTGCGCCTTACAATACAGAATACGCCAATTCAATCGGTCGCCTATAACAATTCATACCCAAGTGGTTGCGCCGAACACTGCGTTAACGTGCGGCGTTGTTTGTGATTTCCACGTGGAAGTAATCCACTTCACCGAATCGTTCGCCCGCGAAATTATGATAAATACGGTCGGTTAATGTGTTGACCTGTGTTTGGGAGGAATTAAACAAATGAAAACGTTGCCATCGGTTCAGAGCAATCGATGACTGTGTGGCTCATTTTGGTGCGTCTATGTAGCTTTTTGTGCGTTGACGACCCCCTAACATTAAATGCTCACGCCAATTTTTGTTTAAAAGGTCATTTAAATTAAATGCACCAACACCAAGCTGTTAAGGCACAGGAGTAATCCACGTGTACAGGGACTCCTCTACTTACGAACGAGTTAGGTTCCAGAGGTCTGTCCGTAAAGTCGATTTGTTCGCAAGTCCAACTTTACCCCTGTCGATTTCTCATGTTGCACGACATGTACATGTTGCAGGACATGTTGCGCGACATGTATATGTTGCGCGACATGTACACTAAACACGGGGAATGGCTTTAAAAGTTGTGTATTCTCCGGCGGTTGAACGTACGACTCTCGGTCCGAACAGGCAACTGGACATACGGACCAGGTTTGTTCGTATCTCTTAAAGTTCGTAAGTCGAATGTTCATAAGTAGAGGAGTCCCGTGTATAAGAAATTGACCATCCAGGTTGTTTGTAAATAAAAAATCACGCACACACCATAAGGGTGGACAATGCAGAGCTTCGCATCTGGGGGTTCCCCGTGAGTTTTCCCCCCAATTACAGGTATCCCTCGCTTTCCGAACGTTCGGTTAACGACATTCGCGTTAACGTAAATTCACAAATTACGGACGCAAATTTTTTTCCCCCCGATTAACGCAATCGAATTTCCGCGTTAACGAAATTTCTCTACGACACGCGCAGTGACATAATCGAACGGGAAGCCACGAGGGAGGTTGGCGTCATCCATCGGCTACCGCGTGACGGTGTGTCCGCATCACAACAGAAGCAACGCCTCCGACAACGCCTCGCCAGTCAGTCCAAGATGCAGCAACATCTTTGGAGAGTTCCCTGAAAAGGTGATTTTTTTTTCTTTTAAACTATTCAACCGTTTTCATATTCCCGTTCTTCATTATTTTAGTGTTGTGAAAAGTGATATAGGTGTATATTTTTTTAGGTTAGGAGTCGAGTTTGAATGACCAAAACAATAAAAATCTATTAATGAGAAAAGTAATTTCCGATTTACATTTCGTTTAACGCGTTGTTTTCAAAGAACGCATCCCCTTTCGTAAATCGAGTACAGCCCGTATGGGAAAATAAACTCGTAGCCCCCACAAAACTCTCCGCCGTGCCGTTCAATGGCCGATCCAACCGCCCCACTCCCCATACCTCCCACCCTCCCCTCTCAATCGGTCGCAACTCGGTAGGGCAGCAGACAGCCGTCAACCCCCACCCCCTGGACCTCTCGCGTGTGCGGTTGGGCAAGCGGCCGAAGTTTTGGTCCGCGTAGATGGCGAAAGCTGCGCCGCTGTGGAAGGAACACGGCTGAGAAAGCCACTGCGCTCCCAGGCGATGCATCTGTAAAGGAGCAGCGACGAGGTGTAGCAGAAGAGGAACAACTTTCCTTCCCCGTTTAGTCGCCTACACGTCGCTGACAGCATGGCAGCCATTGCCTTATCCGCTAGCGCGCCAGCAACTGGAAGCCGCAGGAGACCACGAGGCCGAACCTACCGGGCAGCAGAATGAATGAAGCATGGGGCGTCTCTGAGAGTCACGAGAGAAGAGAGCGGTCTTCTATCGAGCAGGCACACGCCTGCTAGTTAATTGTCTGCACGTGGTTAAAAGGGCCACTCATTACGTACCACTTCCCGTGCACGAGCCGGTGATATCCTCCAGCCCTTCCCTCGTTTGTCAAAGACACGGATCCCTCGTGTAGCCTTAAGCAGACGCTTGGGACCAAGTGCTGTTTACGGAGCACCTTTTTCATCATCGTGTGGCCGGGGAAGCAGCTGTAGTTTGATGGCGAGGTTATAGCGATCCATTCGAAGGCTTCAGGTGAGAGCAGAGTGAGCGGTCGCGATGCCACCGGGGGACGGAATCTCCCGGGGCCAGGAGTTCGGGTGGTGCGTTGGGGTGGTTGCCACAGTCCCACGCCGTTCTGCTCCTCGCACTCCACTTGCGTGGAGGCAAGCGGCCGCCGCAATCGCCTTCCCCTGGCGCCCTGTGCTCAAGCGCTCGAGGGTTGGAATCCTGGGTAGGGGGGGGGGCTTCACCGCTTAGTGTATCGATGACGTTTGCAGTCAACCGGGAGTTGCGCCATCGAGAGGGAGCGGCTGGCATCGGTGTGTAGGGGTTTGGAGTGGATTCCAGTCGGGGATGCGGGATTTCAGAGCTGTGCGTGCGTTGGGGGGTGACCGTGGAATGTGGAGGTCCCGTGTCAGTGCGAGGGCTTCGCTGGGCTCAGAGTTGGTTGGTGTTCGTTTCGGAGAATGTCTCCCCCTGCGGGCATCTGGAGGTTCAATTGTGGGCTAGGGCAGGAAGCCCACTCGAGCTGGAGTTGGTCTCAGTGCTCCAGGAGGTATGCCGACTGCTGAGCCGGGTTGAGGAGCGCGACAGGAGGTCCCATGAAGCGGGTACGTTGGGCGAGTGAAGCGTTGCGTGGCTGTCCCTGGCTCAGCTGCCCCAGGTGGTGCCCGGCAATGTCCGCACGAGGTTCACAACCTCGTCTTGACCTTTGACCCCGTGTTACTGGTAGGTGCTGGCCGGATGGTGAGCGTACGGTCAAGAGCGACGGCAGGGTGTTTTTGGTGTTCAGACCGTGTGGGTTAATAATAATAATAAGTGGCTTGGCCGCAGGACCGGGCAGGAAGGTGATGCCTGACCTTCGACTTGTTACCGGGGCACGGCCGAAGCGACGACAATCTTCGCAGCGCTTGGTGGGGGCCTCCCCATTGCTCGACCTATCCCGTCCAGAGAACGAAGGGTCTGCAGACAGTGGCTTTTGTCTTCAGAGAACGAAGGGTCTGCAGACAGTGGCTTTTGTCTTCAGAGAACGTAGGGTCTGCAGACAGTGGCTTTTGTCTTCAGAGAACGTAGGGTCTGCAGACAGTGGCTTTTGTCTTCAGAGAACGAAGGGTCTGCAGACAGTGGCTTTTGTCTTCAGAGAACGTAGGGTCTGCAGACAGTGGCTTTTGTCTTCAGAGAACGAAGGGTCTGCAGACAGTGGCTTTTGTCTTCAGAGAACGTAGGGTCTGCAGACAGTGGCTTTTGTCTTCAGAGAACGAAGGGTCTGCAGACAGTGGCTTTTGTCTTCAGAGAACGTAGGGTCTGCAGACAGTGGCTTTTGTCTTCAGAGAACGAAGGGTCTGCAGACAGTGGCTTTTGTCTTCATCTTCCCCCAGTGTCCCGGAGTCTTTTTTTAGCCAGGCTAGCCAGGCCCACGCCGTCAGCACGTGCGACGGAGCCGTGGACTTCGTGGGGGGGCAGGTGACTGCAGTGCCGGATGATCCTAGTAGCAAAAATAGCTTCACAAGCCACGGGCCCCGCACTTTCAAGGGCCCCGCGCTAAACGCTTTCAAGCTATCGATTCCGGTTCTGTGATTCTGCACTTGCTCTATTACTATAGTACTATACCGCCTTCAACTTTAACGAACGACTGGGTGTTTAAGGTTAGCGATTTGCCGTATTATCTGGCTGTATAGTAAATGAAAAAATCCAATTACTTTACTATGCAAGTAAAAAAATAACGTGTTTTAATATTTGTGTTTTTTAAAATGTAGGGCTCCTTTATAACATCGTGCTACAGGCCCCGCACTAGCTTAGTCCGGCACGGGGTGACTGGGGTCTCTGTTTTAAGGGGACCGGTCCGAGGACCGATCCCCGAGCAGCGCCCAAGGCTGGCACAGCACACACGAGGGCGTTGGTGGCCAATGCCCCCAACTCGGCCGCCTTTGTCTCCCCCAGTGATGATGTTTACGCACCGCACCGGGTACTCGTTTAAGGCTGAGTCGACCTCGGGGAGGCCCCAGGACCGGTTCAGATAGTCGTCACTGGTGTTGGCCGTGAGCGGGAATCGAACTCGGGTTTGTCAGGTTCGTTTGCCTACGCAGCGCGCTAACCACTGTGCCACCGCTCCCCACACAGCGATACACACACGCTCGCCTGGTAATAGGCATCATTAGATCACAAACAACAAACCCCATTTGGTCTATTAGCAACTGTAATGAACAAGGCATTGTTTCCTCCCAGACACGTGCGCACTCTGTACAGTCTTGGCATGTTTCATTATCTGATGAACGAAGAGCTATTGTTTGTGACTGTCGGAAACAATAGCTGTTCATTATCTAACGGGTCACGCGTTAACTCGGAAAAAAATAGCTTTTGGTTAAATTAGATAATGAATGAGCAGCTATTGTTCGCGACTGTAAGAAAACAACAATAGCTGTTGAGACAATGGTAACCAGCTGCAATGAGGCTGCTGACTGCACGCAGCTCCGCTCATTGGGTTACGTTCACGATTCCTCTAGCTTCCTTCTTCATGAAGCCAATGTGTCTGTCTGTGTCTTACAATTTAAATACAACGCAGTTTTCTTTCACTCGAGGAGGGTGACTGGAGATTTAATTCAATACATGTACAGATGTCTTGTGACCCCCCCCCCCCCCAAATTAATTGACCCCTAACATTGAAATAAAACTTACTTTAAAAGAAAAAGGTTTTTTTTACAGAATTAAATGGGGGTCACAAGATATCTGGACCGCTATGCATCGTGGAATTCTGTACCAAATCTGATAGTTTTTTTTACCCTTTAATGTAATTTAAATAGTAGCTTCTTTGGTTCTTTCGGTAAAGTCACGTAGAATGAGAATAAAATAATAAATTGATAAAATAAAATAACACAATAATATTCTCACGACGTTTCGGCCACAACACAAGCGGCCTTCATCAGGTGAAGGGACGAGACTGTCTGGTAGGACAGCGCTGGAGTATAACTCAGTCTCGTCCCTTCACCTGATGAAGGCCGCTTGTGTTGTGGCCGAAACGTCGTGAGAATATTATTGTTATTTTATTTTATCAATTTATTATTTTATTCTCATTCTACGTGACTTTACCTAAAGAACCAAAGAAGATGAATCATTGCAGTCACGAAAGCTTTGAATCGAAATTAAATAGTAGCGTTATTATACAAATGAAATAATAAACGAACGTCTTGTATTCAATTGTGAGAGCGGTACCACGAGCGACTTCGTCGGAGTGTCTGCACGACGAGAGGAGGTGGAGTCAGGGACGTGACGCATGGAGACACGAGCGTGAAGCCGGAAAGACAATGGAGAGGAGAGAGAATGGGGAAATCGGAAGTAAAAGAATGGAAAATTCCCGTGCTGTTAGTCAGTGGCGGCTGGTTGACATTACCGCGAGATGGGGCTGTCGTGAGTGACCTCTGACAAGACGGTGTTCTCATTAAGAACCTCCTCGTCGTGTTATTGGCCTTCCCGTGAACGTGATGTTACTGTCTTGTCTACCAACGGTGAAGCATTTATAAACAATACGAAACTAAACAACAAAGCACTCCAATGCTTGTCCCCGTGACCCTCAAGTCCACGCTACGTAACCCCTTTGACACGGCCTTCTGGTGCGTGCAGGCCGCGAGCTGCTCCGTTTGCACGGTGCCACCTCGCGCGTTGAGACGCCGCCGTCTCATCACAGCCACGGGCGCCTCTTTCACCACCGCCCTGAATGGGTTCAAAAGCGGCGTGGCTACAATGCTAAGAATATCGCAATGAATGAAGGGGGACACATCTATCACTCGGGACGCCTTCACAGCCGCCCCGAGGTACAAATCAGACTGTGGTGTTGCAGCGGTTTCTAATATGAACTTAAAATGTTATCTTTATTTGGCAATTTACGTTGAAAGAATCATGATTTTTTAAAATGTAACACAACAAAACAATAAAGTATTTTTAATAGGACAATCATTTCTCATCTCCAGCTGTTTGGTGGGGCAGCGCCACCAACGCCCCTAATGGACGAACCACGCCTGATGTTGGACTTCTTTCGCACCGTACGTAGCCAACCGTGCTAATCGGAGATGCGGGAACGGAGAAACGGCAGCCCGGGGAGCCAGGAGAGACGCTAGATGGGGAGGAAGAGGCGACACGAAGGCCTTCACGCTGCTGCACGGGGTGGCCGGCGTCTGTTTTCACAGTGGGCAGCGAGGAGAGGGGAGGGGTTCAGAGTGGGGGTGGCCACACAGACGTCACGTGATTTACGGGGAGGCTTGAGATGATTCAGATATAGAGACAGATGGGTTTGTTTGAATTATAATTTTTAAATCATAATAAAGCCATTGGTTGGACAACAGGTTGCTCCACGCAATTTTTATTGTACAAAAAAATCAGTTTTCATTTTAAACCTGATACAAAAAAAGTCAATAATGTAAATATCCCATGTTTTTATAAATCCAATGTTTTTATAAATCCTCAGGCCCTTCCTCAATGCTGGTAATCCTTCATAACGCGATGACTTCATAAAAGTAGCTCAAGTTTAAACAGATTATTTTTTTTCACATATCGAGAATTTGTCAAACACAAATAAGGGGACAGGTGGTGAGGTCACGGAGGTCACAGAGGTCACGTCTCCAATGTTGCTGTACGTCGCGTAAGACTGTGCCACTTTAAAGTTACAAACTCAACATTTAAATATGACGACGATGATGATGCTGCTGCTGGCACGCTCAGTCACGTTAGACCCGTGAAGGGTAAACATCTATCAACCCTGGGCGATCACTGACCGACTTACAGCCAACATCACCCAGCCCTCCCACCCACCTCCCCGTTAAAGCTCAAGAGAAAGTACATTGAGACGTATTCGACATTTCACTTTGTACATTATATCAAATAGTAGTAAAAAAAAAAATTCGATACATTGTAAAACAAACACACAAAATAACGATGCATATTTCAACCGCCGTTAATCACCGTGATGTATAAACATGGAGTAGAGGGGTTTGAATCGGGAGTGGGGGGCGAGTAAAATATACTGCTGACAAAATTGCTGTTGTGGGTTTCGGCATTCAGCTCAAGATTGCAACCTTGTAAGCTTCACCCTCAACTTATTTCATCGTTTAAAAATAACAAATAAACATAGAGGTATGTGATCTATACCTGACCAAGCTATAAAGAAGATCCTACTAACAGAAGTCTGTGTTTTTTTTTCTATGAGACACAATGCTACAATTATAAAAATACAAAAACATTAAATAATAATTCTGAAAAGTCACAACACCTAATATAAAGCATTATGAATTACCACAGTGAATGCTTTAAAAACACCCCCCCCCCCCCTCCATCACTAATAATCGTGGTGTCAAATTCAAGGCTTTCCCAACAAAGGATCATTCCCAGCCTCATGAGCAGTGCGCTGGCAGTCGGCGCAAACCGGCCAACGACCCCCCAGAGTGACATCTTTGCCGGAACGAGCCGTGCACGGGTTTGGCCGAGGAGACGAGACTCGCGGATTCTCCAGCTCTACCAGGAGAAGACATGCGGGCACCGCGACGAGGGGAGGACGGAGAGACGCCGGGGGGAGGACGGAGAGACGCCGAGGGGAGGACGGAGAGACGCCTCACGAAGGTCTCGCGGGCCACCTGACATCACCGCCGGCGCAGGAAAATCCGATAGGAAATTTTAAAAAAAAAATCTGATTTTGAAAACCTGGGCCTTTCCTTAGAAGGGAGTCTTTAAGACTTAGCGGCGAAGGATGTCCTGGCGAGACAATTTTAATCCGACACGCCACGGTGTATTCATTTCGTTTTCTTTCCCCGCAAAAGGTCTTCTCTCAAACAGCCAACGCGTGCTTTGGGTCCGCCCCAGCAAAAAGCCACCGCTAGCACCATAAATTGCGGCGCGTGTGACGACAACACACCGAGCACCGTTAGCAAGAGAAGGAAGATAAAATCCGTCACGTCCACGACCGTCACGTGCCGAGTTGAAGCCCCGACGATGGATCGCTGAGTTCACGAGGTAGGGGCTCTATCCCCAACCCCATTCCTCAAGCTGCGCGCCAACTCTTTAATCGCTTGCGGCACGAGAGCACGTCTTTTTTCCGTGGTTTTTCCAGAAGCGCTGCTGCTGCTGCAGCTCCACACGTTGCAGGCAGTGATACTAGCAAGGCACCCCATAGCAGCCTCATCGCCACAGCAGGCACCCGTGGTGAAAGTGTACATCTTACTTTCATATGAGAAGCAGTGCTTACCAATTAAAGCCATTTTAAAGGTATATCTTCCTTCTTCATAGTTTCCTATCATCCAATCACTTTCGGATGTAATACCTATCTCATGTCCTTTTAGGAGGCCACGAAAGTTTGTGTTTGAACATTAGCAGGTGTGGAGCGTCCACAGGTTTGGAAATGGCACGTGTTGCATGTATGGATTCCGGCCGAACGAGTCGGAGATCGAGTCACATTGGGCTGTTCACCAACTCGGGGAATCGTGAACGGAGTTGGCCGGTGAAACCCACTGCCCTCAACGTGCCACGGGCCGTAACTACCACGTAACTACCACGTGACTACCACGTGACTACCACGTGACTACCACGTGCGGGCAACGTCAAGCGGCAAGTTGCCGAGCGTCGCTGTTGGGCAGACTTGCTCCCTGCTCTCATTGTAACTCGATGATCTGAATGACGTGCCGCTCCGTGACAGCGCTCGCCACTGCGTGACGGCAAACGCGACGATAGCTCAACGCTCGGTCCAATTGCATTTTGAATACTTGCCCTTTTATATTCATGCCGCTTTCTGTAACATTTTTTTTTTACAGGTTATATAATTAAGCCTCGGTTAATAATTCGGGACTCGCGTCAGTCTGACGACTCGGGTTGGTGTGTTAATGTGAATGTCGACGATCGCCGTTACGCCGAGGTCAATTTTTTGTCCAACGAGGTGAAGTGTTACGTGAGCTAAAGTCATACGGAGAAATTATTCCATTAAAATTACAATTTGGTGTATTATTATGTTGGTAAGTTAATTGGCGCCGTGGAAGCTATCGTCAGTGCTGCAATTAAAAACATTCACGACCACTTTGAAGCGTTGAGCCGATTTAATTTCATTGTCCGTGTCTTGTCGAAAGGGCCCCTGAGATATAAAATAACGTTTCGTGGAAAGGGGTGAGAAAGCGGCTGAGAGAAACTTTGTACTGAAGTCATTTGGTAGCATTCAATAAATATACGATTTTAATGACTACAGTAATAACACCAGTGTTGTTAACACGTCAGTGTAACCGTCCATGGTATTAAAATACCAGAGAGCCCAATTTATTTAAATGCTCAGTGATCGGTGTGAATAAAACACTCTAAGGGCCGTTTCTATCCTCAGTTTCGACATTTCAAGCAACAGGAGTTGAGGCTTAAATCGAGGACTACAAAACTGTAATTGAGAATGCCTGGATATTATTTTCTGTTCTCGTGGTAAGTTGGCGGTAACAACAAACGCAACGGATGACCTATGACCTATGACAGCCGCTCGTGGCCCTGAGAATTTCACACTCACAGCGGCGTGGAGTGGATTTAGCGCTGCGCTTGGGGGGACATTTTCAAAAATCTCCATAATTTCACTTTTTTTACTTTTGTAACTTTGGCATTATTAAGTATAAATTCGACATAATTACAGTCTGCGAAAAGTCCATTGGGACCTTCCTAAACAAAAGAAAAACGACGACAAAACCGGGAGTGTGTTTCATTTACAAAATGTCAAAACGATCTTCATATTTCATTTGAAACATGTGAATTCCACACAAATCGCCAAAAATGGCCGCGACGACGATCTACCCTCCCCGACCCCCACCACTCCGACCTCCGTGGGCGCGCACCAGCGAACGCCGGGCCGCCCGCCCGCTCCGCTTACACGCACACACGCGCAGGCCTAGTACACGCGCGGGCCTAGTACACGCGCGGGCCTAGTACACGCGCGGGCCTAGTACACGCGCGGGCCTAGTACACGCGCGGGCCTAGTACACGCGCGGGCCTAGTACACGCGCGGGCCTAGTACACGCGCGGGCCTAGTAGACGTCTATGTTCAGTTTGATGCGCAGCGCGGCGCCGTGCTCGCCCAGCAAGTAATCCGCGTCGTGCTGCCGCTCCATGCGCCGCATCTCGGCGCGCTTGAACGTCGGCAGGCCCACGATCTCGAGCGCGTACGGCCCGCGCCGCAGCTCGCCGGCGCCCCTCCGCCTCGCGTGCTGGTCCTTGCTGGCACCGGCGACCTGCAGCCAGGCGCCGTTCTCCTTGGGCTGCAGACGGAAGGCGCGCGAGCCGGGCCCACGCGACACCACGGCGTAGCGCACGTGGCGGTTGAGGGTGGCGAGCGCCGGGGTGAAACGCAGCAAGGGCTCGCCCGGACGCAGGGCCGAGGCGTTGAGGCGCAGCGTCACGGGCGCGTCCAGGTCCACGCTCGCCAGGCTCATGGGCTCCAGCTGCGAGCGCGGGATAAGGGAGGGGGGAGTGGGGTGGGGGGGGAGGTGGGATGAGATGGTGGCTCAGGGGGGCTAACGCTATGTCGGAGTATTAGGGTACAGGGTGTCTGAGTTTCAGCCACCCTCGTCAAAATCACGTTCGGAGGCACAGCAAGGTGCTGGTCTCAGCTCGGTCAATGATACAAATTAAAACGGCCATCGTATATATATAAAAAGAAAATTTCGGCTCCATTCGGCGTATTTCCAGCTCCGAGGACGAACATCTCCGAGTGCCGCGTGTCGGCGCGCGCAACGGCCGCGGTGCGCGAGGCTGACCTCCCCGCCGGTGCCGTTGGCGCTGCGCCGCAGCCTCCCCGCCTTGCCGTGGCCATTGACCTTGCACTCGTAGCACGCTTCGTGCGACAGGGCGTCCTCGGAGCCCTCCGCCGCCTCCGACAGCTCCGCCCCGTCAAACTCCTCCAGGCCCTCGTCGCCGCCGTTGACCTGGGCGAAGCCTAGGCCTGTGAGGCAGTGCCTGCGCACGGGCGAGGCGGGCGGTGGGGGGGGGGGGGTGAGAAACGGCGGAAGCGTGAGGCTCGAGAGCGAGCGGGTTTGAGTCGTCGCGCTCGTGTCCTCGCGAGCTCTCGGACCGGCGGCGACTCGCGCGAATCCGCGCGGGTTTACTCCGAGCCCTCCTCGATTTCCTCCGCCACGTGCATTTACACGCGAACGCGAACGCCTCGTCCGCGCTAGGCCCGTACCCCGACGAGAACCACTCACCCTTGGCCGGCGCGGTAGTACCCGCTGGGACAACCGCACAGGTAACCGCCCTCGGTGTTGGAGCAGCCGTAGTTGCAGGGCGCGTGCGAGCCGGAGCACTCGTTGACGTCCTGGCAGCCGCTGCCGACGCCGTGCTGGTCGAAGGCGAACCCGGAGGGGCACAGGCACTTGTAGCTGCCCAGCGTGTTGTGGCACGACGCGGAGCCGCACAGCTGACGGTTGGCGCACTCGTTCTCATCTGCATGGTTCAGTGCGGGGGGGTGGGCGGGGGAGGGGCGAACGCGCAGAGTGGCGGCGTCACGGTGGCAGACCTGGCCCCCAGGCTCCAGTCTTGGATCGTATTTGGTTGGGCTCATACCTATGGTTGCAGCGCCGCAGTGGCGAGATGTTAACTACTTCATCTGGTGCGCAAGAGATCGTGGGTTCGAACCCGATCATGACGCCTGCTCTATAATTGGAGTCTGCATTTTTTTCCCTGCGGTCGCGTGGATTTTTCTCCGGGTCCTACTGTTTTTTCCCTCCACATTTAGAATCAACACCACGCGCTTGAGAGCATTTGGCTGCTCTAAAATTTCCACGTGATAAGCCACTGAAGAAGAGCTACGTAGCTCAGTGGGCCTTACCTGGTAAAATAAAAAAAACTAGTTTTAGTTTAGTGGCTTTAATAGCTTCGTGAGGAGAGATGGCAAAGGCCTTCATCCAGCAGTGGATAGCTCATGTCTGATGGTAATGATGACGACGACGAACAGCACGATGTAAGTGGATTTGTTTGGGTTGGGGGGGATTTGATGCCGACTTCCTAGATTTTCCCCGATGATGCTTGATGTAGTTTCACTACACTTGGTTATGAGAATTGTTATAATTATATTATTATTGTTCTTCAATTTACCGGTGAGCCGAAGTAATAATGAAAGGATCGTTAAATGCTTGTGCACCACGTGACAAGTTAATTTGCGGGGCTGTGTCGGGTGGTGGAGAGCAATACCAATTTTGCCAGATCATTACGTAGTAGCCATAACCAGAAATATAACATGAACATCATGAGAATAATGTCAACTTGTAACATGCCACGCAGCATTCGCTCACTCTTGTAGACAGGGAGATGCGAAGAGGAACCACATACAAGCGTGAAGGCAGCCACGCGATGAGCCCGTGCCAACAATTGCCCAAGCTCTGCGGTCCTCCATATATGAAGCTGTAATCGGCCAATTAACGGGTGTTTACATGTGCGAGGAAACCTGGAGCACCCGGAGAAATCCCAGGCGTGCGAGGGGGAAACACTCGATCCCAAACAGACGGAACGGGCGGGAGTCCACATTTGTGCCGCACCACCGCCTTCTCCTGGCGTGCCAGGGCAGGGCATGGCACCTCCTCGACGCCCACGGCAAGGGAAGTTTCGCACAACGTTCGCGCGGCAGTCCACCGACCCTCGTGTTGAGCCCTTGCCGACGACACGTGCTCCGCGCGATCCGCAGTGCGGGGTTACAGGCCACGTGCCAAGTCGCCGCCGCCGCCAGGAAGAATTTACTTTGAAAGCCCCAAGAACGGTGGGGGGCTAGACGGGGAGGACGCCGGTACGCGGACGTGGCGCGGGAAGCAGGGGGGGGGGGGGTGGTGCTCGGCGTGATGACGTCGTAGCGGCCCCCGCCCCCTCCCTCCCGCGTGTGCCCCGCTGCAACACCCACCGATGCACTGGTTCCACTGGTAGTGCTGCAGGTATCCCTGCGGGCAGGAGCAGCGGTAGCCGCCCAGCATGTTCTGGCAGCCGTGCTGGCACCGGTGGCTGCCGTCGCATTCGTTCACGTCTGCAGAAAAAAAACGGGTGGCATTGCGAGCGCGGGGTTTTTGTTCGTCTCTGTGTGTGTGTGTCACAGCCGTCGTCGGCGTCACGGAGGTGATGCGTCCCGCACGGATCTCTCGCGGGAGCGCTGCGACACCCTTCGCGATGTGATAACGGCCAACGGGAGTGGATATAGAGCTACCTGCAGGTGACCACACGGGGTCCATACGCAGTAGAGGGCAGCACTTCCTCTAGTCGCTCTGCCGTAAGAGAGTGAGATTCGTTGCATGACGGCCGAACAGATAGTTTAAATCTCAAAGCTGGAATTGAGCCAGATAAAGCGCAGGACCAGATCTAACGTGATGGGGTTTTTGTTCGTTCTTGTCCAGTCATTGGTTAATGGGTTGAGCCCACTCATTTGAGGCCGAGTCGACCTAGGGGAGGCCCAGGACCGGTTCAAATATTCACCCACTATTATTGGTCGTGAGCGAGAGTGGAACTCGGGTGGCCGCGTTCGCGTCGAAGCGCGCCAACCATTGCACCGCCGCTCCCGACGCATACAAATACAGCCACGCACACGTGCATCGCGAACACGGAAATGACACGCGTGGCTTTCACCGCAACTTATCCAGCTGCTGTTTCCCCAGTCGCTGAGTACACACCGGGCGCGTGAACAACTCTGACCCTGACGCCGCACTGCAAGGGTGCAGTGAGGCGGGGAATGAGACCGGCGGTCTCGCGCGCCAACGCAGACCTCATCTCTATTCTCATTGTGTATTTACACAGCGCCTTCGATCGAGGAGCTTCACGTAATAAAAAAAATGGTACGAAAAAAAAGCCACGCTTTAGATGGACGGGTGCGTGGAAAGGATGAGGATTGGGTGACCACGACGGAGGGGTGAGGAGGGGTTGGGGAAGGATAGGGGAGGGGTCACGGAAGAGGGGTGAGGAGGGGTTGAGAAGGGTAGGGGAGGGGAGGGAAGTGGAGGGGCAATGGAGAAGAGCTGAGCTCTGGCGTGCCGCTGACTGACCTTCACAGTTGACCCCAGTCCCATCGATGGAGAAGCCGTGCTGACACTCGCAGGAGAAGCTGCCCGGAGAGTTCTGGCACATTCCTCGTGCGCCGCACAAACTCGGCTGGGAGACGCACTCGTTGTTGTCTGAGTGGAACGGACACGTGGGGTTACATAGGTGCGTGTCCGTGTCCGCGTGTGTCCGTGTACCTATGTCGACCGGACGTGCTGCTGGGGCCACCCACCTCTTTTGTGTGCCGTGCCGACCTTCAGAGATGCTACTGACTAACAGAACTTGCCCGAACAGTCTGGCAAGGCTATATGGGGTGTCTTTGTGTTTTGTCTTGCGTACCGATGTGGGGAGCAGTGGTGCAGTGGTTAGCACGCTGCGCTACGAACCCTGCCACTAGAGTTTGATTCTCGCTAACGGCAAATATCGGTGGTGTATATCTGAACCGGTCCTGGGCCTCCCCTAGGTCAACTCATGTCTTAATTGAGAAGCTGGTGCGGTGTCATCAGCATTGGGGAGACAAAGGCGGCCGGGCATGGTGCTGGCAACCCGTCCCCCTCGTGTGCTGTGCCGCCCTTCATCGGTGCTGCTAATCGCTAACAGCACTTGCCCCAACAGTGTTAGAAGAGGCTAGATGGGAGATCTTTGACTTTATGTACCTGTGTGTGTCTGAGTGTCCCTGCTACCCCGGTGACCTGCGGGGTCTTGCACGGCCATCGGAAGCCAGCGGGTATCCAATTGCCTCGGTTAACTTAGCCTGAAACAGTGTGTTAATATCAGCACTATAGACAAAGACATCAAGGCATGAGTCTGGTCACAATACACGCCCGTGTATTTACACTCATTCATTGCCTCAAAATATCTCAATGAAAAGAGGACCGCAGAGCTTGGGAAACTTTTGCCGCCGGCTCCCCGCCTAGCTGCTGCCTCTCCCGCTTCTCCACAATCCCCCTGGGCGACCGCGAGCGATGCGGTTTGCAGGAACGTCGGCGATGCGACGCGCGAAGCTAAACGTCGACATCGTTAGATTTGGCGCGACCCACGCCGCTTCCACGCGGGCTCCAAACAGAAACGTCGCCGTCGCCCCTCGCGTCGCACCAACTCTCGTCCGGGGCCCGGGGCGCTGCCGCGGGAGTCGGCGGGTGGGGGGGGGGGGGGTGCTCACCTATGCAGGCCGAGTGGTGCTGCGCGAAGCCGGGTGGGCACTTGCAGTTGAAGCTCCCGATGGTGTTGACGCACAGGAACTGGCAGTTGTGCTGCTTGCTGGCGCACTCGTCCAGGTCTGTGGCACGACGCGGGCAGACACGAAGCGCGCCCCGTGTTAGGCGCTCACTCGCACACCCAAGGGTGCACGCTCACACATACACACACACACACACATATACACACGGACATACGCACGTATGCACGCTCACACGCTCACACGTACGCACGCTCACACGTACGCACAGGTCGTTGGTCATTTTTGCAGGGTGGCTCCGGTGGAGAAAGGAGCGGCCTTCGTTGGGAGGTGGCAAGAGAGCGAGAGAGAGAGAGCGAGAGAGAGAAAGAGAGCGAGAGAGAGACAGCGAGAGAGAGCGAGAGAAAAAAAGAGAGAGCGAGAGAGTGAGAGAGAGAGCGAGAGAGAGAGAGCGAGAGAGAGCGAGAGAGAGAGAGCGAGAGAGAGAGCGAGAGAAAAAAGAGAGAGCGAGAGAGCGAGAGAGAGAGCGAGAGCGTGAGAGAGAGCGAGAGAGAGAGCGAGAGAGAGAGAGCGAGAGAGAGAGACAGCGAGAGAGTGAGAGAGAGCGAGAGAGAGAGCGAGAGAGAGAGTGAGAGAGAGCGAGAGAGCAAGCGAGAGAGAGAGAGCGAGAGAGAGAGAGCGAGAGAGAGAGAGAGCGAGAGAGTGAGAGAGAGAGAGCGAGAGAGAGAGAGGGAGAGTGAGAGAGAGAGCGAGAGAGTGAGAGAGAGAGCTCACCTTTGCAGGTTTTGCCGTCCTCCTGCATGATGTAGCCACGTGGGCACGAGCACTGGAAGCTGCCCTCCGTGTTCTTGCAGATGAAATTGCACGGCTTGGGCGACTGTGAGCATTCGTCCAAGTCTGCAGAGGCAACACATAATGGTGCCAAAGGAATGTAGTGACAAGTAAAACGTGTCTGCCTCCACAGCGCTGCAGGGGCAAGGGTTGGTGGATCACACAAATGTCACGAAACTCCCTTCCCTTGCTTGCCAGGAGAAGAAAACAATAATGTTCCGTTTGTATGGGATAGAGTGTTTCCCCATCACACGTTTAGGTGGTCTCCAGACGCTCCGGTTTCTTTCCACTCATCAATTGGCCGAAAATATATTTATATATAACAGGAGCACTTTTGCACGTTACAAGTTTAATTTATTATTTTAATTCAAGCTTTTTTTTTTTAATCTTATCCAGCACCCAAAGCATTCTGCCAAATCCTGTCCCAGTCAAATTTCACCTGGCGGGAAGTCGCTCGTTCTCCTCCCTCCCCTCAGCCGTTGGTGCTATCGACTACCCTGCTCTCGTTCCAGTCCAGGCTCAGCACTTCCCCCTTTCCTGCCGTCTCTCTCTCTCCCGTCAATAGAACAAAAAGCGTTTCCTCGTTCCCAGGGTGCCCACGTCGCACCGCCGTGCGGCGGCGGCGGCGGCGTGCTTTGGGTCGATTTGCCGGTGTGGCGGCGGCCTCGGTGGCTCCACCGCGATTGACGCCGTGCGTGCCTCGCCGTTGTTGTTGCGTCACTCCTGCGACATTCCCGCGTAGGCCCAAGGGGCCACGCGGGTTTTTGGGCGACGTCGCTTTTGTCGGCGAGAAGACACGCAAGTGGTTACGCGCCTGTGGGTTATCTGAAAATCTTGGAAGGGATTTCTTTTTGTTCGATCTGAAATTGGCCTAAAAATGTTTTTTCATCTGAGACGTTTCAATGCGAAACGAATTCCTAGTTGGGTACACATTTCCACGTGGGCAGCCGCTTGTTGTTTTGAGTTGCGTCTCACGTTGAGCGCCGTCCACTGTCAAAACTACTCGGTCTCCCCGGACGACGCAATCCGCGGGCTGCCGACGCCTCGAGCGAGGAGACGCCGCCGCGGACCTACCGACACAGGCGGTGGAGGTGATGTCCGTGGTGTAGCCGCGGTTGCACATGCAGCGGTAGGAGCCGGCGCTGTTGATGCACTCCCCGTTGTGGCACGGATTGGCCAACACCTTGCACTCGTCGATGTCTGCGGGGAAACATCAGAATCAGAATGTTTATTTGCTCATACCGGAGGAATCCGATGAGCTACGAAGCTCTTTTTTTCGCAGACGTCCAGCAGACACGCGGGCCGCCCCCCCCCCCCCCCCCCCCCCCCCCCCCCCCCCCCCGTTCGGCTCGCGTGGCGTGACGGACGCCGCCTCTACGACGCTCGCCTCCGTTAGGCGTCCGACTCCGAAGCTACCCCAGACGGTCACCCAAAGTGAGGCGTTGAGAAGCGGTGCAGCTGAAGGGACCGGCGTGACCCAAGGAGCTGACAAGAGAGATGATTTTTTTCGATAGATAGATTTTATTCACGTCAACTGGAAGGGCCCAATGTGCTGTCATGGGCGTCCTGCGATGTAATTGTCTCCATTCTCTCTATTTTTATTTCACCAGCCTAGGTCCCACTGAGCTACATAGCCCTTTTTCAGAAGCGACCACAAATTACAGTTCAACAAAAGTGGATTTTTACGTGGACATTTATAGCAGCCAAATACTCTAAAAGGGAAGCTGATTCTAAATGTCGAGGCAAAAACTAGAGGAGCCGGAGAAAAATCCACGCGACCACAGGGAGAACACGCAAACTCCAAATACACAGGCGTCAGGGTTTGGGATGGAACGCACGAACCCACGACCTCCTGTATACCAGGCGAGGTAGTTAGCATCTCCTAGCCACCGTGGCGCCACAAGATCAGTGCACCGACCCCGCCGATACACACTGCAGCGTACCGTCCCTACCAATCATGGCCAAGAGATCTTGCCAGCTCCACTCGTAACAATAAAAAAACCCTATACAGTACAGAGCTTAATATCGTGTCAAAAGATTTGAATATTGTTTAGTGTGTAGCAGTTAACGCACTGCACTACAAATCCGCCGACCCGAGTTCGACTCGCGCTCACGGCCACCACCGGTGACGATTATCTAAACCAGTCCTGGGCCTCCCGTAGGTCGGCTCAGCCTCAAATGAGTACCTGGTGCGGTGTGTAGTAAACATCGCCACTGGGGAGAGAAAGGCCACCGGGCGTGGTGCTGGCCACCCACCCCCTCGTGTGCCGTGCCGGCCTTCATAGGTGCTCGCAGCACTTGCCCCAACAGCGTGTTAAGGCTATACGGGGGATCTTTGCCTTTGTTGCGTGCGTGCGTGCGTGCGTATGTGCGCGTGCGCTGCGTGCTGACCACGTCCGTCCGTGGTGTAGCCCGGCCCGTGCGGGCACAGCTTGCGGTATTCCCGCGTGCCGGGGAAGGGGCACATCTCGCAGTGCCCGCCCCAGCCGCGCCCGCCGTCGCAGCAGCACTCCGACTTGGTGACGGCCTGCCGGCTGCTGGAGGACATCTGGCACAGGCCCTGCACCGCCTCGGCAAAGCACAGGCCCTGGCGGTTGTCTGCGCGCGTGCGTGTTTGACGGGAGTGGGCGTGAGGGTGCGCGTGTGTGTGTGTGTGTACAGACGGTGTGTGTCGTGGCAGAGGTGGGTTGTGTTCACAGAAGTACAATGTGAAAAAATTGAAACCTTTTCGTGAGCACGACTGCAGTCTTGTCGCTGCTTTCGAGGCGTTGTTGTTTCAAGCTCCGCTCTCTAGATTGAAAGGCATTAAGCTGGGGGTGTGTGTGTGTGTGTTGAAGCGTGACCATCTTTTTAACTTTAATCATTATATATTAGGCCCAGAGCGACTTATAATGCACAGAATATGGCATTTTATTTAAAAAAACGGCCCGCAGTGGGGCGGACCGGTGGCCTCTGCCCAAGGGGCGCTCCGCGTGGTCCACCGAGCACGCGGAACAACAACGGGCACTATTTCATCGTGTGTTGTTAGGAAATCGAAGCTGCAGTCGTAATCATGGAGCAACGTTCAAAACTTGCAACGTGTCCAGCTTTGCACGGACACCGTGCCACCCACGTCGAGCAAGCGGAGAGACAAGTCACCCCGCAGGGCTTGAGCGACACTAGCACTGGGCTTGTCGGAGCCTGGGGGACGCCCCCCCCTGCCCCCCCTGCCCCCCTGCCCCCCCCTCCACCCCCACCCCCACCCCCCCCCGTGTCACCCTCCCGCGTACCCAGGCAATCGACGCCGCTGTCGCTCTCCGCGAAGCCCTCGTTGCAGTCGCAGCGGTAGCTGCCGAACGTGTTGAGGCAGCGTCCGTTCTCGCAGACGCCCGGCTTGGCCCGGCACTCGTTCTCGTCTTGGGTGGGGGGGGGGGGTTCCGGACAGCAGGGGTCGTCCAGAGGTCGACGGTCGGCACGGCGGCGTAACGGGGTAGGGGAGAGCCGGGTAGGGGACGACGCGGTGATGTGGACGAGGACCAGGGCTGAATTTCTCGTGGAATATTTTCCAAACTCCCATCCTCATCCCCCGTGAGGGGAAATAATTTCTGGAGCTCAGACCAAGGGTGCTCCGGATGAAATTAAGCCCTGGTGGAGACCATTGTTGACCATGCCACCCGTTAGGCCATGACACAATCGTCGCCAGGAAAGTTTGTTCCACGGTTTTCTCAGAGAACGAAAAAGAAAACGCCGTAGTTTCCAAAAACCCTGAAAAATCTGGTCGCCGCACGGCATTGTGGGCAACTGGGATGGCAACCTCCAATCAGATCACGGGCAGAGGTCATGTGACTACCCGAGAGCGTAGACCATCGTTCGCACCTCCGATTAACGCGGTTGCCTATGTACAGTGCGTAATAAGTCATACGTACATAACATACATGAAATGCAACACGCATGTTCGTGGCATGCTGTGCTTTCGTTGGCTGGAGAGAGGTCTCGCCGCTCGGTGCCAGCGGGTTTCCCGTGGCGTTCACGCGCGCCCCCGAAACTAAACTCACCGGTGCAGCCCTCGCCGTCCGGCCTGCGGACCATGCCCGGCGGGCAGATGCACATGAACGTGCCAATGAGGTTCTTGCAGACCATCTGCCGCGAGTCGCAGTTGTGCAGCCCCTCCGCGCACTCGTCCAGGTCTGTGCACGCGGGCAACGGCGCAAAGTGAACGAGACGGCCGATTCACCGCGGGAAGGCACCTCGACGACACGGAGCGCCGCGAAGCAGCTCGGAGCGCCGTCAGCAAAACGGGTTCCCGCCGAGGGCCCGCGACGGCAGCGCAAGCGCCTGCGGCGAGCCAGCACCGCGGGTGGCAGCTGATCTAGTCCGCTTCTTCCTTAGATATTTCTCCGCTCGCATTTCCGACGTGCGCTACACCCCGGCAGTAAACGTGCGGCCCGGCGTTCCGCGCCGTGCGCGTCCTCATTCACAGAGCTTGTTGGGGAAGAGCGGAGCGGTTAACATGTGGGAGGCCTAGGATCTGCGCACGTTGGGAGCTGGGAGGTAGGGTGGTCGGGGGGGGGGGGTAAGGGGGGGCGGGGGGGCTGGCGGAGAGGGTGGGCTGGAGGGGGGCGTGCCTCTTGGTGATACTGGGCCCAAGGGTCTCGGTGCGTGAGGTGGCTTTAAAATTGTTGATTCAGGAACGCATCCCATATTCTTTTAAAAATCTGCCTCGTTTCCTTGAAGCGCTGGACAGGACACGGTGAGGAGAGCCTGCTGACACGGGGGTCCGTCTGTACGGCGGACTGTTAGGGTGTGGTGGGTTTTATCCGGGTAACTCTGGCTCACTCCTGCGAGTTGAGCATCCGGCTCACGGGAGTTTTGTTGAACGTAATAAATAAATGCGGGACCCTCCGCAAGAAGCGACCGAGACTCATGAGGCTCGTTTCCTGGATGAATGCGTCACGTCGTTACTCTGTTACTCCCGTTTACTCTGCAGATCAAAGTGCTGCAACTGACGGTGAAAAACAAGCATTAGGCGCTATTTTCAATGCACACATTTACGAGTGCACAGGTTCATGATGTTGTAATAAAAAATGTCATTATTTTCATGGGGCCTTTTTTGCCAGTATCAAAGTATGAAAAATAAGAATAGGTTTTACCTTTTCTGCCAATAAAACACGTGGTGTGAAGAAGTTCAAACACCAAATAGAGTGTGGTATTTATTTGGTATTTAAACATCTTAACAATAATTATTGTTGTTTCTTTAACCAGGAAAGCCCCACTCAGTGTGAAGACTTTTTCAGGAGCGCCCTGCTACAATGGGATATTTAAATCAATGCCGGCTAATTTGTGGGGGTTTTTTAGTTATTGAAGGAAATTTGAGAAACGGGAGTAAGTCCATGCAGAAACAGGGAGAGAATACAAACTCCACACACAGAATGGCACCCGAGTCTGAACCCAAGCCCTTTTTGCAGTGATGCACAAGTGTAACCACTGCCTCGTCCTGCCACCCAGACGTTTACGTGTTTCAGTCCATGCGTGCAGTACGCACGGACGTGCCAGGAGCGGTAGTGCAGTGGCTAGGGCACCGGCGACACGAGTCAGAGTTGGGTAGACAAAGGCGGGCGGGCGGGCGGGCGTGGCGCTGGCCGCCCGCCTCCTTCGTGTGCCATGTTGGCCTTCATAGGTGCTCGCTAACAGCACTTGCCCCAAGAGTCCGTCAGAGGCTACGCGGGGGACCTTTGTCTTTGCGTGCGCGCGCCGTACCCTTGCACATGCGACGGTCTTCACGCAGCGTGTACCCCGCGGGGCACGTGCACTCGTAGGCGCCAAACGTGTTGATGCAGCGGAAGGCGCACAGCAGCGGGTTCTGGGAGCACTCGTTCACATCTGTTGGGCACGCGTTTCAGCAGCGGTCACGCACGCACGATCACATACACGCGGTCACGCACGCAGTCACGAAATCATGCGCACGCACACGCAGTCATGCACGCAGTCACACACAGTCGCACACGCACAGTCATGCACGCACAATTACATACACGCAGTCACGCACGCAAAGTCACAATTTACGCATCAGTTACTGATATACCGTGCTTTACTTGCTCGAGCAGTCATCGCTGGACGCAATCGTGGGCCGCGATGGACGTGGCAATCAAACGCCTCGCTGAAGCCGTCGCTCACGCCGTTTCATTGGGGGGAGATTTACCTTCGCAGGTCATCATGGGCCCAGGCTCAAAGCCGTCGTCACAGGCGCACTCGAAGCCGCCCAGCACGTTGGCGCACGTGCCGTTGCCGCACGGGTTGCCGATGGAACACTCGTCCGTGTCTGTGACGAGGGAGGGGTGGGGGGCCGCGGGGGGGGGGCGGGGGGGGGGCGGGGGGGGGGGGGGGAGGCGTCGTCCCGGTGACGAGTGAGCCGGGTGAATAAACGGCCGACGTGCCGCGACGTCTCGATGTTTAGGCTCCCGTTCCCAGCCACGTCGTGCGTGTACGTTGCGAGTGCGTGTGCACATTGAACTTCTTTCGCAGTGCGAGGGAAGGACGACAAAATAAACGCAACAAATCGGTCCGAAAGAAATGCGTTTGCAATCTAGATATGAAAGTGCACCGCTCCGGTGGCTTCCTAATATCAGAAAGGAAGAGCGTTCCAGACGGCCGCAGGGGCGCATCTGAAAGCGCCGCGCCATGCGGCAAGCTCACCGATGCAGTTGATGGCCGTGTAGTCGAGGCTGTATCCAAGAGGACACTCGCAGCGGAAGGAGCCGTCCGTGTTGATGCACTGCCCGTTGGTGCAGATGCCCGGGTTCTCTACGCACTCGTTCATGTCTGGGAGCACGGTCGCACACGCGGACGCGCGATGCCAACAATCACGCCACAAAGACAAAGATCCCCCGTATAGCCTCGTACGGACTGTCGGGCGCAAGTGTTGTTTGCGGACGCCTACGAAGGCCGGCACGGCGCACGAGGGGGTGGGTGCCCAGCACCACGCCCGGCCGTCTTTGTCTCCCGAGTGGCGACGATTACACACCGCACCAGGTACTCGTGTGAGCCTGAGTCGACCAATGGGAGGGAGGCCCAAGACCGGTTAAAATAATCGTCGCTGGTGTTGGCCGTGAGCGGGTATCGAACTCGGGTCGCCGGATCAGGAGCGTGGCGCGCTCACCGCTGCGCCGCCGCTCCGCTGGGGTAGTTTAACAGCAGGGGGCGATGTTGCTGCGCATTCTGACACTCGCGCAATTTGCAGGCGGCACGTTTATTTTTCAAAAACGCGTGAAATTTTTGTTACCATGACACCGGCGCACGCGGCCTCCTGCTCCTTCTCTTAGAACTACGTCACAACGGATTCGTCAGCGTCCACTGCGTAGCGGACGGCGCGGAGTATTTGCGGTCACGTGTTTCGGACCGCGCCACCCTCTCAGTCGTGTCGCTACTGTGCTGCGTGGGCGTCACCTTCGCGCGTGTCCCCAGGGCCCGGGATGATCCCCACTCCCAGGGGACACAGGTCCTCGAAGCCGGCTGTGGAGAGGGGAGAGCGGAGAGAGAAGCAGAGGAGGGTGAGGGAATTAGATGGCCGGTCCGTCTCTCTCTCTCATAGTCGTCCGCCGTACGGCGCAGGTCTTTGGCCCAAGAACGCTGTCCAATCCTGACCTCTCTTCGTCCTCTCACCGTATGCATTCCTTCCGTTAAAGTCGTCAAGGAGCATCTTCTTCTTACATCGCCTCATTCCCTCACCGAGCTCTCCACCTCTGACAATGAGCACCTCAGAAGTTAATAAAAGTGCTTGCGCCGACGCCTAGTGCGGGCTGTACCATCGCCCTTCGCGGTTGCATGTCTATCCACTGCCGGATGAAGGCATCAACGACGCGCCATCCCCCGTGGCCCCGCGGTGCCACCCTCCTAATCCCTGCGCACGGACCAATCCTCCTCGCTCCATCTCCGTGGCGGTCGCCCTCTCGGGCATGTTCCACTTGCGGCCGCCATGCTATCGCCACTCCTTGTCCTACCTGCATTCATCCTACGCGGCTCGCAGTCCCCGAGGTTACGAGTTCAAATCCTGGTCGGTGGGTTTGGACTCGGCCCATCATCCCTCCGTGGTCATTAAAAATCAGTACCACTTTGTGGGGGAAGTCAACGGTGGCCATCCTATCGGCAGTCTCAAACTCCACGATAGGAATGTGGAATTTCTTCAACTGGCTCAGGATGGAGCACCAATGCCTCAATGGTCATTTGAAAGAAACGGCATCAATTATTATTACTACCACGCAACACAAGGCTTCAACGCACACACGTACGGAGTACACCCACAACATCTGTGCAATCAATGTACAGCATTACCACAGGGTGGGCGTGGCAGGTGGGACAGGGCGGGGTGTGTGGGGCAGGGCAGGTGGGGCAGGGTGGGCAGAGCGACCGGGGTAGGGCAGGTGGGGCAGGTGAAAAGGGGCAGGCGGGGTGGGCGGAGAGGGGTCGCCACCCCGGGCACCCCTCCCAAGGGAGTGCGCGTGCGTGTGTGCGAGCGTGCGTGTGTGCGAGCGTGCGTGTGTGCGTGTGTGCGAGCGTGCGTGCGTGTGTGTGCGTGGGTACGTGTGTGCGAGCATGCGAGCCGGGCCCGTACCTTCGCCTTCCCGTGGGCACAGCTCGCAGGGGTCCCCCCAGCCCTCGCCGGGCATCGCGCTGCAGCAGCAGCGCGCCTTGGTGGTGTTCAGGGCCCTGGGCACGGAGCACTTTCCGCTCTCGAAGTTCAGGAAGCAGAAGCTGCTGCGAGTGTCTGTGGGCATCGGCGGGCACCACCAAAGAGTCAGCATCGCCGCCGCCGCCATCGTCACCCGCAGAACCGGTATCACTCGCATCACCATCATCACCTTGAACCGGCATCGCTCGCATCACCATCATCGACATGAACCGGCATCACTCGCATCACCATCATCGACATGAACTGCTGTCACCGGTAATCGTCACGGGTACATCGTCGTCATCATCAGCAGTATCGTGATCCCAAGGTTTAAGATGCTTTCACTGTCAGCTTATTTGCAAACATATGGGCAATGTCATGGGGCCACCGTCTCACTGTTGTAAATGTTATCACCATCATCAGTGTCATCATCATCATCATCACCATCATCCTCATCATCGTCACTTGTGACTGCTTCTCATTACTGGCTTATACGTAGCGATGACCGGCCAAGGTGGGCTTAGCTGCAGAGTGAGCGGCTTGCAATCAGAAGGTTGCAAATTTAGAAACTTAGTTGGGGGAGCGGTGTTGACTCGGCCCATCATCATATCATCCCACCGGGGTAGATAAAATCAGTATCAGTTTGTGGAAATGTCAACAGTGGTTGTCCTACAGATAGACTCGCCTCTGCCCAAAATAATGTGGAATTGCCACCATTGCTCACGGCCGTAAACGGAAGGTGAGGATCACATCAGTGGTTCATGTGAGCGGGAAATCACTTTTATTTCTTGATTTTGACAGGAAAAGATAATGGCCTGCTGCTTATCAGTCGGCCGACATGATTCTATGCGTAGGCTTCCACGACCAATTTTTATGATTTATTATAATTTTGGGTAAGATCAATGTCGAGGTGTAAAATATCAAAAGCTGAGCTTGCAAACTCCAGATGATCCTGGATGTAATTTCCAGAGAAACGTTGGGTAAAATTGTCACAAACTCACCTGGGCTCTTCAACATCCCTCCTCCTCCGGTTTGGCTGAAAAACCCAAAATCGATTTCCACGTCTGCCCACGCCGTGACAACTTGGGTTTTGTTTGGCCTCTATCGGGTGGTGGAGGGTTATCGTAAGAAAGACTGACATACCTACACGACGATCTGACACAAAGAAACTAATTGTGACTGGTGGCGGTGGCGGTGATGGTGGCAGTGGTGGTGATGGTGGCGGTGGTGGTGGAGATGGTGGTGGTGGTGGAGATGGTGGTGGTGGCGGCGGTGGTGGTGATGGCGGTGGTGGCGGTGGTGGTGGTGGAAGGTCTTCGTGCTGCGCTGATGGTGTAGCGAGCTTGGTGTACTGCCCGCACGGTAATAAATGGCAACGCTGCTGGCATGGCTGGGGCCACAATCGCGCTGTAACCCATTGGCGCTGCGCCATTCGAGCCGCGTGCCGGCCGTGTGCCGCCGGCGCCGCCGCGGGAGTCTTCTCACCGAAACAGCGGCGCCCGTTCTGCGACAGCATGAAGCCGGGCGGACAGTCGCAGCGGAAGCTCCCCGGCGTGTTGGTGCACGCGCCGAACAGGCACGTGTTGAGCTCCACCAGGCACTCGTTGAGGTCTGCGGCGGCGCGTGTGGTGGAGAGGGCGGAGCGGGCGGGGGGTGGGGGGGAGGTGGCGAGGGAAGGAGGGGAAGAAGGCGGAGCGACGATCGTCGGAAAAAGCCACCGCTACTTATCTTTAATCACAATAATTTACAACGATGCCGACGACGTGGTTCCGGCGACGGTCGAGGACGTACCGACGCAGTGGTCGTTCTTGACCTCGTAGCCCGGGGGGCACATGCAGCGGAAGGAGCCGTCCATGTTCTGGCAGACCCCCGGGTAGCAGGTGGTGGGATCGGCCACGCACTCGTTAATGTCTGCAGGGAGCGCGAGAGCGGAAGCGGAAGGGGGGGGGGTGCGTGGACGTGGACACGCGTGAGAGAAGGCAAGAAACGGACCGTCTGTGAGTTTTAATTAGACTTCCCTCCCCACTAATGATGATAGTAGCTAGATTAGAAGTCCACTACAACAAATTACTTTTTGCTGTGACTATTCCACCTGATGACGGTGGCTTGTGTTGCTTCCGAAACGTCGTGATTTGATTAACTTTATTAAATTTTTTACCGACGTGACTTTACCGAAAGAACCAAAGCGTATGATAGTAGCTGACGACGATCGTGCGTGCAGGACCGTCACGCCCGCGCGGCGTCACCGCGTACCGACGCAGTGCTTGTTGTCGGCGCTGAGCTCGTAGCCGTCCTGGCACAGGCAGCGGAAGGAGCCGATGGAGTTGAAGCAGCGGCCGCTGCGGCACACCTGGGAGCTCGGCGCAGAGCACTCGTCAATGTCTGCACGCCACGTCACACCACGTCACACCACGTCGGACCACATCACGTCACACCACGTCGCACCACGCCATGTCACACCACGCCATGTCACACCACATCACGTCACACCACGCCACGTCACACCGCGCCACGTCACACCACACCACGTCACACCACGTCACACCGCACCACATCACACCACACCACACCACGTCACACCACGTCACACCACGTCACGTCACACCGCGCCACGTCACACCACGTCGCACCACACCACGTCACACCACGCCACGTCACACCACGCCATGTCACACCACATCACGTCACACCACGTCACACCGCGCCACGTCACACCACGTCACACCGCGCCACGTCACACCACGTCACACCACACCACGTCACACCACGTCGCACCACGCCATGTCACACCACGCCATGTCACACCACGCCATGTCACACCACATCACGTCACACCACGCCACGTCACACCACGCCACGTCACACCACACCACGTCACACCACACCACGTTGCACCACGTCGGACCACACCACGCCACGTCACACCACGCCACGTCACACCACACCACGTCACACCACACCACGTTGCACCACGTCGGACCACACCATACCATGTCACACCACGCCACGTCACGCCATGCCACATCATGTCACACCACACCACGTCACACCACACCACGTCACACCACGTCGCACCACGCCATGTCACACCACGCCACGTCACACCACCCAACGTCACGCCCAGCCACGTCACGTCACACCACGCCACGTCACACCACACCACGTCGCACCACGCCACGTCACACCACGCCGCGTCACACCACACCATGTCGCACCACGCCACGTCACACCACGCCACGTCACACCACGTCACACCGCACCACACCACTGCTGGGGCAAGTGCTGTTATCGAGTAGCACCTGTGCAGACCAGCACTGCCCACCAAGGGGTGGGTGGCCAACACCGCGCCCGGCCGCCTTTGCCTCCAGAGTGCTGATATTTACACACTGCACCAGGTACTCATTTAAGGCCGCGTCAGCCTAGAGGATATCTACACAAAACTAAAATAAAGATCCCCCGTTTAGCCTGGACAGACTGTCGGGCCAAGTGCTGTTAGCGAGCACCTCGTGCAAGCACAGAAGGGGTGAGGTGGCCGCCTTTGTCTCCCGAGCGGCGATGTTTAATGCACACCACGACCCAAGGTACTCAATTGAGTCCAAGTCGACCTCTATAGTAAGAAACACCACCGCCATGGTAACGTGCCGTGGGGGGGGGGGGGGTTACCGATGCAGTCGTTGTTGTGCGTGAGCTCGAAGCCGGGGAAGCAGAGGCAATTGTAGGATCCCACCGTGTTGCGGCAGGTGCCGTTACCGCACGGCTGTCGCTCACACTCGTCGATGTCTAACGGGGGCGAGAGAGAGGCAGTCAGACAGAGAGACACAGACAGAGAGAGACAGAGAGAGACAGACAGAGACAGAGACAGACAGGGAGAGAGACAGACAGGGAGAGATCCCACCGTGTTGCGGCAGGTGCCGTTACCGCACGGCTGTCGCTCACACTCGTCGATGTCTAATGGGGGCGAGAGAGAGGCAGTCAGACAGAGAGACACAGACAGAGAGAGACAGAGAGAGACAGACAGAGGCAGAGACAGACAGGGAGAGAGACAGACAGAGAGAGACAGAGACAGACAGGGAGAGAGACAGACAGGGAGAGATCCCACCGTGTTGCGGCAGGTGCCGTTACCGCACAGCTGTCGCTCACACTCGTCAATGTCTAACGGGGGCGAGAGAGAGGCAGTCAGACAGAGAGACACAGACAGAGAGAGAGGCAGTCAGACAGAGAGACAGAGAGAGACAGACAGACAGAGAGAGACAGACAGAGAGAGACAGACAGAGAGACAGACAGAGAGAGACAAAGAGAGACAGACAGAGAGACAGAGAGAGAGACAGACAGAGAGATACAGACAGAGACAGACAGACAGAGAGAGACAGACAGACAGACAGAGAGACAGTGAGAGAGAGACAGACACAGAGAGAGAGACAGACAGAGAGAGACAGAGACAGACAGAGAGAGAGACAGAGAGAGAGACAGAGACAGACAGAGAGACAGAGACCGAGAGACGGACAGACAGATAGAGAGACAGAGAGAAAGACAGACAGACAGAGAGAGACAGACAGAGACAAAGAGACAGAGAGAGACAGAGAGACAGAGACGGACAGAGAGAGAGACAGACAGCCAGAGAGAGACAGACAGACAGACAGAGAGATAGACAGAGAGAGAGACAGACAGACAGAGAGAGACAGAGAGAGAGACAGAGAGAGACAGAGAGAGAGACAGAGAGAGACAGAGAGACAGAGAGAGAGACAGACAGACAAAGAGAGAGACAGAGACAGACAGACAGACAGACAGAGAGATAGACAGAGACAGACAGAGAGAGACAGAGAGAGAGACAGACAGAGACAGACAGAGAGAGAGACAGAGAGAGACAGAGACAGACAGAGAGAGAGACAGAGACAGAGAGAGAGATAGAGAGAGAGAGACAAACAGAGAGAGAGACAGAGAGAGAGACAGAGAGACAGAGAGAGAGAGACGGGTGGCAGGGAGGGGACAATCTCTTGACTCCTGACCCGGCTCGCCGCAATCATCCAGAGCAACAAAAAAAGGAGAAACAATAATAATAAATAAATAAATATGACTGCGCGCAAGCAAGGAAGCAGTTGAGTGGAAGTCGGCGCCAACAACAGCAGCGTGGCAGAGGAAAGCCAGCGCACAACCGCCTGCAAGCGCATGTCGAGTAGCGGACGTAGAGCAACTTTGTTGCTGGCGATCGCGACGGCCAAGTTCGATTGCTTAAACAAATGGTGCCTGGCAATGTTGGTCTGGAAGGCCAGCTTGCTGACGGAGTACATATCGCGTGATTTATACGAGAAGACGCAGAACAGAGTTCTGGTGGCGGCGGTGATGGCGCTGGTGATGGCGGCGGTAGCGGCGGTGGTGGCGACGGTGGTGGTGAAGGTGGTGGCTAAGGTGACGATGGTGTTGCCGGTGGTATTGACGGTGGTGGTGAAGGTGGTGATGGTGTTGCCGGTGGTATTGACGGTGGTGGTGAAGGTGGTGATGGTGTTGCCGGTGGTATTGACGGTGGTGGTGGAGGTGGCGACGGAGGTGGCGACGGTGGTGGCGTGGTGGTGGTGGCGGTAGCGGCGGTGGTGGCGACGGTGGTGGTGAAGGTGGCGATGGTGGTGGCGGTGGTGGTGAAGGTGGCGATGGTGGTGGCGGTGGTGTTGACGGTGGTGGTGAAGGTGGCGATGGTGTTGCCGGTGGTGGTGAAGGTGGCGATGGTGTTGCCAGTGGTGGTGAAGGTGGCGATGGTGGTGCCGGTGGTGTTGACGGTGGTGGTGACGGTGGCGACGGTGGTGACGTGGTGGCGGTGGTTACCCATGCACATGGTGCTGTCGTCCGTCCCCTTGAAGCCGTTGTGGCAGTGGCAGCGGTAGCTCCCCCGGGTGTCCACGCACTCGCCGTGGCTGCACACGTTGGGGATCTCGCTGCACTCGTTGCGATCTGCCCCACACACAAACAAAGGACAGAGATCCACCACCCCCCGCCGCGTGGCCTTCAACAGACCGTTGGAGCAAGTGCCGTTAGCGAGTAGCACCGGCGGAGGCCGGCACGAGACACGAGTGGGCGACCGGCACCACGCCCGACCAGTTACTCATTTGAGGCTGAGTTGACCTAGCAGACGCCCAGGACTGGTTCAGATATCGGCCGTGAGTGGAAACTTGTAAACCTGGGCCGCTGGGGTTGTAGTGTGGTGTGCTAACCGCTGTGCCCACCCTTCCACGCCACACACACACAAACAACGGCACAGGCTCAACATCGTCAGTGTAAGGAAACAAATCCTCAACACCACGATAGCCCATTTGGGAAAGTCGTGGTGACTTGACTGGTGGCTTTATTGCGTTAAAACTTTTGAATTTCGTATTGGAACGTTTCCCTTGCCCCCGTGGGCGTATGGAAGCGGTTTTCCGCAATGGATCTTTAATAACGAGGGGGACCCTGGGGGCGACCCAAGCTGGGGACGACGACATTCACTGCCCATTCCTGTTTCTAAATTGACCCCATGGAGCCACGGTGGCTAGGAGATGTTACAGTGAGGGAAAAAAGTATTTGATCACCTGATGATTTTGTACGTTTGCCCACTGACAAAAAAATTATCAGTCTATAATTTTAATGGTAGGTGCATTTTAACAGTGAGAGACAGAATAACAACAACAAAATCCAGAAAGACGCATGTCAAAAATGTTATAAATGGATTTGCATTTTAATAAAGGAAATAAGTATTTGACCCCCTCTCAATCAGAAAGATTTCTGGCTCCCAGGTGTCTCTTATACAGGTAACAAGCTGAGATTAGGAGCACTTCCTTTAAGAGTGTGCTCCTAATCTCAGCTCGTTACCTGTATAAAAGGAGCACTTCCTTTAAGAGTGTGCTCCTAATCTCAGCTCGTTACCTGTATAAAAGACACTTGTCCACAGAAGCAATAAATCAGATTCCAAACTCTCCACCATGGCCAAGACCAAAGAGCTCTCCAAGGATGTCAGGGACAAGATTGTAGACCTACACAAGGCTGGAATGGGCTACAAGACCATTGCCAAGCAGCTTGGTGAGAAGGTGACAACAGTTGGTGCGATTATTCGCAAATGGAAGAAACACAAAAGAACTGTCAATCTCCCTCGGTCTGGGGCTCCATGCAAGATCTCACCTCGTGGAGTTGCAATGATCATGAGAACGGTGAGGAATCAGCCCAGAACTACATGGGAGGATCTTGTCAATGATCTCAAGGCAGCTGGGACCAGCTGCCTTGAGATCATAGTCACCAAGAAAACAATTGGTAACACACTACGCCGTGAAGGACTGAAATCCTGCAGCGCCCGCAAGGTCCCCCTGCTCAAGAAAGCACATACATGCCCGTCTGAAGTTTGCCAATGAACATCTGAATGATTTAGAGGACAACTGGGTGAAAGTGTTGTGGTCAGATGAGACCAAAATGGAGCTCTTTGGCATCAACTCAACTCGCCGTGTTTGGAGGAGGAGGAATGCTGCCTATGACCCCAAGAACACCATCCCCACCGTCAAACATGGAGGTGGAAACATTATGCTATGGGGGTGATTTTCTGCTAAGGGGAAAGGACAACTTCACCGCATCAAAGGGACGATGGACGGGGCCATGTACCGTCAAATCTTGGGTGAGAACCTCCTTCCCTCAGCCAGGGCATTGAAAATGGGTCGTGGATGGGTATTCCAGCATGACAATAACCCAAAACACACGGCCAAGGCAACAAAGGAGTGGCTCAAGAAGAAGCACATTAAGGTCCTGGAGTGGTCTCGCCAGTCTCCAGACCTTAATCCCATAGAAAATCTGTGGAGGGAGCTGAAGGTTCGAGTTGCCAAACGTCAGCCTCGAAACCTTAATGACTTGGAGATCTGCAAAGAGGAGTGGGACAAAATCCCTCCTGAGATGTGTGCAAACCTGGTGGCCAACTACAAGAAACGTCTGACCTCTGTGATTGCCAACAAGGGTTTTGCCACCAAGTACTAAGTCATGTTTTGCAGAGGGGTCAAATACTTATTTCCCTCATTAAAATGCAAATCAATTTATAACATTTTTGACATGCGTTTTTCTGGATTTTTTTGTTGTTATTGTCTCTCACTGTTCAAATAAACCTATCATTAAAATTATAGACTAATCATTTTTTTTGTCATTGGGCAAACGTACAAAATCAGCAGGGGATCAAATACTTTTTTCCCTCACTGTAACTACCTCACCTGGTATACAGGAGGTCGTGGGTTCGATCCCGACCCTGACGCCTGCTGCATATTTGGAGTTTGCGGTTTCTCTCTCTCTCCGTGGTCTCGTGGATTTTTCTCCGAGTCCTCTGGTTCTTCCCCCCAGAATTAGAATCAACAACACGCGTTTGGAGTATTTGGCTGATATAAATTTCCACGCGATAAGCTACTTCGTTGAGCTATCATTTGTGATAGCCAGGTCGCTTTTGAAGAAGAGCCAAATAGCTCAGTGGGCCTTACCTGGTAAAAATAAAGAAAATGTGTTTAAAGTTTACATCACAGCTGGTTCCAGTGTCGGCCCGGATAAAAGTGTGTGGCTCCGACTCTTTACACGCTCACACGGCAAGAAGCCCATCATACGCCAAGGCATCGTTTCGGCACCTTGATGCCGAGCACCGAGCCCACCTCGTCGGCCCGCCAAGGGCCCCCGTGGGAAAGCGCGTCGGGGTGCGCGAACCCAGAGCGTGAACCGCGTCCGGGCTCGCTGCGACGTGGCACTGCCCTCCCCGAGCCGCCCGGCTCTCCCCACCTCGTCGCCCGCTCGTGCCACGGCCGCGGGTCACCGAGGGCACGGGGGCCGGGAAGTCCTTGGCGCGAGCCGTGAGCGCAGCGCGGTGCCCGTGAGCGGAGCGCCGGCTCTCCCTTCCTCACCGATGCAGGCGCCCGCGGGGGAGAGCTTGTACCCGGCGCCGCACTCGCAGCGGTAGCCGCCCGGGATGTTGATGCAGTCCGCGTTGCGCTGGCACAGCGTGTCGCCGTTCACGCACTCGTCGATGTCTGCGATGGGGAGGGCGGGGGGGGCGGGCGCGATGTGGCCAAGTAAAGCGGCGGCATCGGCGCGGATTGAAATTAAGCGACGTTTTCACGCGTCAGGGAAACGTGCATTAAAGCATTAAAGCAGCGCTGTAAAGTCTTGCTGCTGTCGCTGCTTTATTTGTCGCCAGCAATCTGACTCCTCGTTCGGGGGGCTCCTCCGTCGGGCCGGGCGCCTGGGGCAGCCCCCCGCCCGCCCCGCCGGCCCTTGCCATGCTGACGAGGCCACCGGCAACGCATTAACGCCACAGACGTTTCGACTGCACTTGGTGTGTGCGTTCACTGCCCCACAAAGTGGTACTCCTCTTATCGACCCCTGAGGGATGGCGAGCCTAGTCTACCGCCAATCGGGCTTTGAAGTCGCAAATTGCGAAGCCCGCTCGCTCTGCCGCAGAGCCTTACCTGGCCGGAATTTATTTCCAGGCGCCAAGAAGTCAACATCCATGCGGCCTGCTTGGTATTTACACCAGGGGACCCCAACCCCCGGGCCGCGGACCAGTACCGGTCCGTGGGCTGTTAGGAACCGGGCCGCACAGCAGGAGGTGAGCAGGGGGGAGGGAGCGAAGCTTCATCATCATCTGTATTGATAGATGAAGCTTCAGCATCTGAATTGATAGATGAAGCTTCATCATCTGTATTGATAGATGAAGCTTCATCATCTGTATTTACAGCCGCTCCCCATCGCTCGCATTACCGTCTGAGCTCCGCCTCCTATCAGATCAGTGGCGGCATTAGATTCTCATATGAGCGCGAACCCTACTGTAAACTGCACATGCGAGGGATCTAGGTTGTGCGCTCCTTATGAGAAGAAGTCAGAATCCGACACTTATTTTAGTCCGCGCGTGGCCCGGCCCATTATTTTATTATTTACCACTTCCATCCGCGCCTTTTTCCCACACTGCGCACTTGTCTCAGTCACAGTGTTAGTATAAAGCCCACAAGCTCTAACCCCTAGTAGCCACAATGAGTAAGCCCACAAGCTCTAACCCCTAGTAGCCACAATGAGTAAGCCCACAAGCTCTAACCCCTAGTAGCCACAAGGAGTAAAAAACAAACGTCGCTGGAGAGCTTCTTTGAAAAGGGGGAAAGACCCAAAGATTAACCCCCCCTCCCCCCCCCCCGGTCCGTGAAAAAATTGTCTTCCACGAAACCGGTCCCTGGTGCCAAATAGGTTGGGGAGCGCTGGTTTACATGACGTGCGGTGCCTGGTGCTAGATAGGTTGGGGAGCGCTGGTTTACATGACGTGCGGTCCCTGGTGCCAGATAGGTTGGGGAGCGCTGGTTTACATGACGTGCGGTCCCTGGTGCCAGATATGTTGGGGAGCGCTGGTTTACATGACGTGCGGTCCCTGGTGCCAGATAGGTTGGGGAGCGCTGGTTTACATGACGTGCGGTCCCTGGTGCCAGATAGGTTGGGGAGCGCTGGTTTACATGACGTGCGGTCCCTGGTGCCAGATAGGGTGGGGAGCGCTGGTTTACATGACGTGCGGTCCCTGGTGCCAGATAGGGTGGGGAGCGCTGGTTTACATGACGTGCGGTCCCTGGTGCCAGATAGGTTGGGGAGCGCTGGTTTACATGACGTGCGGTCCCGGGTGCCGAGCGGGTGAATGCGTAGTGCGACGATGGCGGCGATGACGCGTGGCGAGCGTGGGTCAGGGCAGGCGACCGACCTTCGCAGATGAGCAGCTGATCGCTGTAGCTGAAGCCCATGGGGCACTCGCAACGGAAGCTGCCCAGCTGATTGATGCACACGCCGTTGGCACACACCCCGGGGATCTCCCGGCATTCGTCAATGTCTGCAGGTCACCGGCACGCACTCGTGATCATCGTCGTTATCATCGTCGTTATCATCGTTGTCATCATCATTATTTTTATCATCGTTGTCATCTTTATCATCGTCATTATCGTCATCGTCATCATCATCGTCATCATTTTTATCATCGTTATCTTTATGATCGTCATATTCATCGTTATCATCGTCATCATCATCGTTATAACCATAAAAGCAAGCGACACCTCCAAGCAAGCAGGCCATAACGATAATGGATAGAAGCATGCAGGTACATGAGAAGAAGCACAGCTGTCGATCACCCACAAGTAGTGGTGGTGGTAGTGGTGGGGTCACAATGGCAGCTAAGCCAGACTAGATGCCCTTTGGCGCGGAGTAATTTGTTGTCTGTTAACAAATTTGGGTGAAGGGGAAATTCATCGCCCCATACCCCATGACGCACCCACAAACATTCCACTTCAGTCTAACAAAATAATAATAATAGTTTAGAATTCATAACGATCACAGTTTCCATTCAGCCTCAGAGTACAGAACGACCCAGAGGCAGCCAGAACCGGCGCTAACAATTGCTTGAGCTCTGTTGTCCTACATTGAGACTTTTGGCCAACTCCGTTCACGGCACAGTTCTTTACACGCGTGGGAGGGAGCTCGAGAGCCCGGAAGAAAACCCCACGGGTGCCCGGGGTGGGCAACGCAGCGATGCCCCCGTCACGGGCGAGCGTGATCCGCCAACCCTCGCCGCTTGCCTCCGCGGTGCTGGGATTACAACGCCACCAGGAGCGCCTACTGTGGCTGGCACGGCACGAGTTTAGTCATGCGGTTGGCACACGACCCATTTGTTTTTGCCCCGGCACCGAGGTTCACACATCGCACCGGGTACTCATTTAAGGCTGAATCCACCTGAGGGTTATACACAAGACGGTGTGCGGATGCTAATTGGGAGTTGATGGCCATGAATTCAATGTAGATCACCAATGAACAAAGACAAAGATCCTCCGTATAGCCTGAGCAGACTGTGGGAACGGACTGTTGGGAGCAGTGTTGCTAGCGGATCACCTACGAAGGCCGGCACGGCACACGAGGGGGTGGGTGGCCGGCACCACGCACCGGCCGCCTTTGTCTCCCCAGTGCTGATGTTTACACTTCGCACCGGCTACTCATTTAAGGCTGAGTCAGCCTAGAAGTGGGGGGGGAGGGCTCAGGACGGGTTCAAATATTTCACCTATGTTGTGGGTCATGAGCAGGGAATCGATCTCGGGTCACTGGGTTTGTAGCGTACCACACTGCCGCTCCCCACACCGCCGACCATCCGCCCCACGCGCACACACACGGCCAGGGGCAACACAGGGCTCTATCCACGTGCAGGACTTACCGACCGCCTTGCCCGTGTGGATGTCAATGATGAAGCCGGGCAGCTGGTTTCCGCACAGCTGCGTGTACCCCGCTGCAACAGAGAAGCGACGACGCACGACCACATTGACAAGACTCGTGAAGAAATGTTGCCTCCACGTTGTTTAGGGCGTTGGTTTTGTTTGTCTTCTCTCTCCATTCATCCCTCTTGGCGCAGACCCCCGACAACAACAACAAGTAGTTTTCGATTTTCTTCCACATTTCATAGAAAAGTACGCGCCGAGGACAAACGCAGCCGGGGGAGCGCAACGACGCGCGGCCAAAGTTTGAATTTTTTTGCGCGTCAGCTCCCAATACGCCGCGCCGTCGAAACGTCCGCGGGACGTCCGCGGGACGTTTTCTTGGCAGGAGCGAGTGGCTCCCCCCCTTGCCGACTCGCCGGGGGCCCCGACGGCGCGGGCGCCAAAACAAACGGGCACCGCGCCACGATCGCCGCCACGATAACACCCAGCGTGGGGCAGGGTGGGGGGGACACCAACAACAACAGCAGCAGCAGCAGCAGCAGCAAGCGGCTACATCCCACCTCGTTCGTTCTCACCCGTTAAGCAATGCCAGAGACCGATTTCACGAAACAAACCAACCGGGACCCTGCATCACGGGCAGGGTCGGACCCAGAGATTCCGAGCGCGTCTCTCCCGGAGCTCCTACCCCGATATACGTCTCCCAGTGGACCCCAAGTCTAATCCTTGGCCTGTGTAATATCGGCTTCTCAGAATTCCTTCTATGAAAACAAAACAATTCCATTTCAGTTCGTCGAATTTTACCCGAACCTGACTTTAGTGGGGAAAAAAAATAAATCTGACGGCGAGCCAAGCTTGGCAGCGGTTGTCGAGGGTAGTCAGGGTGGTCCAACCGCAGCAAAGGCGGCGGAGGCTCGGGTCCCACACGAGTGTGCTGAAGCGCGCGTCCGTGACAATGTTTCAAGCGTATTTTGCTTAACCGGGTAAGACCTCAGGAGAGGAGGACGAGACCGGACGGGCGAGAGCCTGGACGGGTGCGTCGCGTTACCGGTGGCAGGGGCGGGGCAGGCCTCGCACGGCTTGTGCCAGGCCTTGCCCACGTTGTAGGAGCAGCAGCACATCTTCTTGGTGAGGTTGTACGGCAGCTCCCCCTCGCACGTCTCGTTGTAGCTCTTGTAGCAGAAGCTCTTGCGCATGTCTGCACGCAACGGCGGGGCGTGCATCAAAGCACGCAACTCGAGTTATTGCCGAGCAAACAAAACTTAGAGCAGCCTGTTCTGGAGGCCCCAAACAGGCCGAGGTATCGGTTTCCCCACCGATAGATACATGGCCGGGGGTATAACTCAGCCGAAGAGGACTACAGTAGCACAGTGCGTGCACACAACTGCATCACCACTTTCCCACCCATGCCAAGACAATCATCAGGCCGCCCACTCTTTAACCGCAAAGGCCGCCGGCGAAAGTGATCGTGAGCGCCAATTAAAGCCATCAGTCCACGGCAGCGGGGGCACGGGTGGCCACCGTGCGTGGCCACCCGTGCCTCCACTTGTGCGGCCACCCGTGCCTCCACTTGTGCTGAAGGTTACACACCACACCGGCTCCTCGTTTAAGGCAGAGGTTCACCTGGGTGAGGTGGCCCCCCAAGACATCGGCATTATCCATGGCCAGGGATCGCACCCCCCAGGTAAGTGGTTCCACAGCGCAGTGCGCGAACCAATTAACCCCCTCCACTCCCCGTTACACGTCCACGCAAAGACAAAGATCCCCCGTATAGTCTGAAACAGATTATTGAGGCAAGTGCTTGTTCGCGAGCAGCACCTATGAAGCGCGGCATGAAATGTGGGTGGTCAACCCCATGCCTGGCCCCCTTTGTGTCCCCAGTGACGATGTTCACACATCACACCAGGTCCTTGTTTAAGGCTGGGTTGACCTAGGGGAGCGTCCAGTACCGGTTCAGATATTCCCTGGCACTGTTAGTCGTGAGCAGGATTCCAACTCGGGTCGTTGGCTTCATAGTGCAGTGCGCTAACCGCTGCACTACCGCTCCCCACACGCACAACAACAGAGACACAAGCACACACACACACACAAGCGAAGCAAATAACAGAGCCCTACCAACCACTCTAGTCATATAGCCATGAACAAGGCGGTTTAGTATCCCATTGAATATTTTATCTTGGGGCGTCAAACCCCCAACCCTTCTCCGGGGGGGGGTGGGGGGGGGACATTTTCTGGAACTCAGCTGCGGACAGCTCCCCCACCCCCGCACGTGGACACAAGAAACGGACGAACCGACCCTCCGGCGCTGGCAGCGGCCGGCTCTCACCCATGCAGCTGTTGCCTCCGTGCACCTGCACGTAGTCGGAGGGGCACACGCAGGTGTAGTTGCCCAGCGTGTTGTAGCACGTGCCCGGGCCGCACACGCCGGGGCTCCGCGAGCACTCGTCGATGTCTGCCTCCGACAGACAAATGAGAGGGACGGAGATTACGCCGTGCAGCCTCGGGCGGACGCTTAGGGGGGGGGGGGGTGCTGCCGGCGAGTGGCGGCCTCGGGAAGGCGACACACACGTCGTGCAGGACAGCAAAGAGGTGCGTTGAAATACGCGAGCGGTTTGGTAATACAAATTAGAATATCCTGTATTGAGCTTGGAAAGCGTCACTTAAGTCTCAAAGAGGGGGCCCTCAACTCAATGGGAACGGCAGGGCGGGTGGAGGGAGCTTAGCCAATTCCATATCCATTTGTATTTTGCGTTTTGTGGCACCGCGTTTTGCGGGGTGTTACCTCCCTCGCACGGTACGCAGGAGGTCGTGGGTTCGATCCCGACCCTGACACCTTTTTTATATATGGAGTTCGCGGCGTCTCTCCCCCCGTGGTGACATGGATTCTTCTCCGGGTCCTCCGGTTATTCCCTCCACATTGAGAATGAACGTGCGTTCAGCGTATTTTGGCTGCTAGAAATTTCCACGTGATGATACGCCACTTCGTTGAGCTATCATTTGCGGCCAGGTCACTTCTGAAAAAGAGTTGTATATCTCAGTGGGCCTTACCAGGTAAAATAGAAATAGTTTCGTCTCGTTTTTAGTTTATTTGGGAGGAAACTGGAGAACCCGGAGAGAATGCAACATGGCCTCTCCAAAAGTTCAACACAAATGGATTCAAGAACCCACTTGCTATACTGCCCACTTATTAGAGCACCGATATGGTGAGGTATCATATCCCTCCTCGCCTAGTACGCAGTAAGTCGTGGGTTCAATCCTGGACCCTGGCGATGCCTGTTGTATATTTGGAGTCCGCAAGGTCTCCTTCCCCATGGTGGTAATGTGGATTTTCTCTGGCTCCCTGCGGTATTGCCACCCACCACATTTAGAATCAACACGGGTTTAGATTACGTGATGAAGATACAGGCCACTTGTGTGTGGCCAGGTCGCCTCTGAAAAATAACTAATAGCTTAGTGGGCTTTAGCTGGCAAATAAAATAGCTTAGTTTCAGCTTACATCATGGCTATCTAGGCTGTGCAGTGGCCTAGCGAGTTTCGCGAGTGTTAACAAATCGGTGCACGATACACCGAACCCTTACCACTGGAGTCTAGGGTCACACGTGCCGCGCAAGCGAGGACCGATTACGTTTCCGCTCGCTCCTTTCATGATCTCCCTTCGGTCGAAACGCACGAGCCGAGAGATTGCGCGGGACGGGCGCGGGATGGGCGCACAAGCAGGGCGGCAACGCGCGGTACGCACCCTCGCAGATGCGCTCGTTCCGGAAGTACCCAGGCGGGCACACGCACATGTACGTTCCAAACGTGTTCACGCAGTTCCCACCCTGGCACAGCCCCGGCAGCTCCTGGCACTCGTCGATGTCTGCACGGATGGCGCACACACACACACAAAGGCAAAGATCCCCCATATAGCCTTGGAACAACTTGTTGAGGCAAGTGCTGTTAGCGAGCGCCTATGAAGGCCGGCACGGCGCATGAGGGGGTGAGTGGCCAGCGCCACGTCCGGCCGCCTTTGTCTCCCCAGTACTGATGTTGACACAACGTGCCAGGTACTCAATTGAGGCAGAGTCGACCTAGGGGAGGCACAGGACACGTTCAGATCTTCGCCACTGTTCTATTGCCGTGAGCGGGAAGGGAATTAGTGTGATCGGGTTCGTAGCGGAGTGCACTAACTGCTGCGCGACCACTTGTTTTCCTTCCCCGCACCTCCGATTATCACGCTTGGCTACGTGCGGTGGCTACGTACGGTGCAAAAGAAGTTCAACATAAATACAACACACACAAGTGGCACGTTCGCTCGGGCAACAACGAATCATAGCAACAGCTGCGTGAAGCGTCAGGCACCTCGAAATTGGCCCCGCTAAGTAACATCACGTGCTATGAAAGTGAAGCAAAGCGGAGTTCGAATCGCAATCTGTGACAGCAGCCCTGTAGTCTGTAACGTATCTGTCGGGCTTTGCTGCAGTGCGGCCATCATACAAATATAGTCCCGTATAAATTGCATTTACGAAGAGTTTAATTGCAGCCGCAACAAAAACGAATTTTCCGTCTCCTCCAAATTCAACTCCGATCGTTCCCTTGGCGCCGTGGCAGGAGGGGAAGAAAATTCCCATTTGGAATTTGCGTAGCTGAACGTCTCTGTGGGCCCCTGGGCTTCATCATCACGACCAGGGACACCAAACTTGTATATAATCTCTTCAACAAACGCACTGCATACGTCAAAAAACACCAAATTTAGAATTGCCATAGATGGAAGTCAACGAACTTAAAGTGAACGTAATGGGTGTAGTCATTGGTGGCGGGGCCGAGACCATCAACTCACTACACTTGAGGACCCGGTTTAATCGCAGGCAGCAGCTGCCTGGATTCGAACCCAGGATCTCAGCGGTGCCAACTCAGCCAGGATCTCAGCGGTTCCAACTCAGCGTCTGTGACCTCTGAGCCGACCTGGTCAACCTTCCACCTCTTATTCACAGCGATGGCTGAGACCCAAATTCAAAGCAAGGATCTCACGTGGTACCGGCTCAGTCTCGGACAAAGTAGTAGCCCCATTAGGTCACCCGGCCAACTTCTGCCCAAGGCATGTTAAATGTAAACGTGTAATAAGTGTTACCTTCCAGGATGACTGTGATTGGATTTGGCCTGAAGCCCTCTCCTCCGGGACACAGGGTCTTGTACTCATCTGTGGAATGCAGCAGCAGTAGCAGCATTGAGGAGGGTCACAGGAAGCACTGTGAGCAGGAACAAAGCCTGTCTGTAAGGCCCCTTTACACGTGGGAGGCCGGACCCATGAGCTCGTGACCTCTGACCTGTGCTGGAGGCTGGGCAGATCTCGCAGGGGTTTCCCCAGGCGCGTCCAAGCGAGCAGCAGCAGGAGGCGCGCGTCACCCCGACGCCGATCTCCGCGCTGCAGCTGAACCCCCCGTCGCCTCGCGGCTCCGGCTCAAAGAAGCAGCTTCCCACACGCGTGTCTGTGGCACAAGGACGAAGATCCCCGTATTTAGCCTTGAACAGACTGTTGGGGCAGGTGCTGTTAAGGAGCACCTATGAAGGGCGCAATGGCGTAGGAAGGGGTGGTGTGGCCAAAGCCAAGTCCGGCCACTTTGTTTACCCAGATCTGATGCTTTACACACCACATCGGGTACTTATTTTAGGCTGCGTTAACCTAGGGGAGGCCCAGGACAGGTTCAGATATTCGCTACACTCCCGCCCCTCTTACCAGCACACACGCACGTACACTTGCACATGTACACAAGCGCCTATATATTTAGCACTTACACAATCACAAGCAGGCGCGTTCACGTGCGTACGCACACGTATAAAGACGCGCGCTCACACGTATGCACGCACACAGAGGCAGGCTTCAGTTTGGCGTGTCACAGCTGTAATGTCTGGGCCAAATTCATATCCAGGTGCGAGTGTGGACGGGCGGACTCGGCTATGAAGTAGGTCAGGGCGTACACGTGCACACGAATGCCTGCACGCTCGCCTAGGACGCATCTCCTTGACTGATCACAGGCCACGCAAGCCCTGTCACGTGGTGGGATTTGAAAAATAACATATGCATTCTGAATCTGGGGAGAAGAAGTATGTGAAAACGATTAACGAAATAACAAACACTTGGCGGAGGCCAAGGATGACAAAGCACAGATGTCCGCGGCGAGGCCGAGGGAGCGTGGCCGACCCTGGCCTCGTTTCAGCGAGACGGGCACTGGTGGCCACGCGGTCCGCGACGAGGAGGCCCGTCGTCATCGCTGCACCGTCGGGCCTTCGTCTACCGCAGCGTTCTTCATCGCAAGGCCCGCGAGCCGCTGGTGGCCCCCTGGTGGCCTCTGGTGCGGCCCCTGACGTGCGGCCCCCGACAATGCACAAAACGTGACGATAGCCCTCGTCACCGTCGTGCTGCTTTTAAACCCCAATGGTTTCAAATGTGTGGCGGCCCTCGCGCTGTGATGATGTCTTATCGGCGAACGTGGCCCCCCCACCTCTGAAAATGTTAGCGTAGGACACTGGTCTATGCCTCGTCGAAAACGCCGCTGCTCACGTCAGGAACTGGCCGGAAACAAGAACAGAAGTTAAAAGTGCAGAGCAAAAACAAATGCGAGGCCGGCGCACGGCGAGGAGCGACCCGCCCCGTCGGTACGCACCGACGCAGCCCACGCCCGTGGGGTTGAGCTCAAAGTCGGGCGGGCAGTTGCAGATGTAGCTGCCTGGCGTGTTGGCGCAGATGCCGTTGATGCAGTTCACCGGGTCCCCGCACTCGTTCACATCTGCGAGCGGGAGAACGCACGAGCGGAGGACGTCCTCCGTCAGCGGATGGCAGGGGAGAGCGGGGGGGGGTCGGGGTGGGTGGAGGACTCGCTGCTTGATACTCTACGAGGCAACGCCTCAGCCGGCTTGCTCTCTATCCTTGCACATGATGGCAGCAACACATCCAGGAGCTAAAATGCCGATGTCAAGGTCCGCAAGCCACGATGAGAGGGCTTTAGGATAGAGAGTAGGTGTCATTATTTTTCCTCTGTCGAAGGAACGCAGAACACGGCGGGTTGAACTTTACGGTCCACAGTTCTGGTTTGCACGGCCACGTTCGCACTGCTGTGGCTCACGCCTTTAAATTTCCCTGTTGGGTGGGAGACGGTAGAGCCACGAGTCACCCTCAAACACAACTCGTGCCGTCATCGAGGCGAAATGCACGTCGTTAATTCGAATACAGATATGATCGGTAGGAGCCGGTTCATTTGCAGGTACCGGTAGGTGGGTGATTTCTTTGCCGGCGGTTATTTTGTCCACGGTCTTCGTGTTAAGTGGCAAAAACTCTCGCAAATAAGCAGCCTTCTTCGCGTCTCCCTGCGAGCCAAATCAAATCTTCAAACGGTTGCATTGCACGTGGTGTCACAGCGGGCGCACGCACACGCGCGCAGGACAGCTTGGCGCTAACTTCATTTTCCAAATTAACGAGGCTCCGTTGCTTGCATACAATAACCAAAATATTGGTCTGATCTCGCAGAGGCGTATATGACGAAGATCCCCCATGTAGCCTTAACAGCCCGTTGGGACAAGTGCTGATTAGTGAGCACCAATCAAGGCCGACACTGCGGCACACGAGAGGGCGGGTGGCCAGCGCCACACTCGACCACCTTTGTCTCCGTAGTAACGATCTTTACACATCGTACCAGGTGCTCATTTCGAGGCCGAGCCGACCTAGGGGGCCCAGGACCGATTCAGATAATCACCGCCGGCGGTGGCCGTGAGCGGGGAATCGAACTCGGCTCGCCGGATCCGCAGCGCTGCTGCGCCGCCGCTCCCCACATAGCCGCACCCGAGCACAGAGGCCTCCAGCACGACGCTACGTCTACAAACATCGGGGGCGCGCCAGCGTGTCGCTTGCAAAAAAACTAAATAAAATGGGATCAGCTCGCGCGCAGGCGCCAGGTGAGTTGCTACGTCGCAGGATCACGAGCGGCAGCTGGCGGCTTGGGGGGAGGCCTTCATCCAGCAGCGGATTGACCATGGCTGGAGAGTTTACATATATATTTATATATTACATCTATTGGGCCTTTTTGCCAGTTTCAAAATGATGAAAAAAATAACAATCGGCTTCACCCTTCCTGGCAATAACACAGCAGGTGTTCAGATGATCAAACGCCAAATAGACAACAGACACCTATGCCAAGGCATCAAGTCCGCATTAACCACACGTGCTTATGGAAACAAACATTCTCTGATATTATATGCAATGTCTTTAAAACTGATTGGCCTACACCTATTTTGTATGCCCTTGCAGTAGGTGTTGTCTGTTTGGCGATTGAACATCTTAACACCTCCTATGTTATTGCCAGGAAGGGTGAAGCCTGTTCTTCTTTTGTGACCACATATATCTCGCCGAGAAAAATCCCTTGCGATGGAACATCCCGTCTGCGAGGGATGTCCGAGGTGTTGTTTGACACCCGATGATGATGTGCAGACAGACATTTTAAAAACGATGATGACAATGCCGACGATGAACAGTCTGAAATAACCTGAATTCGATGAAAAATCCAACTTACTCTGCCTTGTTTGTGGAGAGCACCTATCCTTCGGTGGCCCCGGCACAGAGCTATATTTTTTTTTATTCTCATAAATGTTATCGATGGCAATAACTCGGTATTCTCTCAGTCTCGCTGAGTGAGGGCAACTACTCAGAGGCGCGAGTACCCCATCAAGGGTGAGCCCATTGGCTCGAAGCGCCTGCGAACCCGGTTTAATAACAACGCTCTAACAACGACGCCGGTTCAATAACGACGATGGGCGGAGGGGTAATTGTGGGACGACGGAGCCCGAGGATCCCGGCGGTGCCGTGCCGACGCACCGGTGCAGTTCCCTCCGCTGTGGTCCAGCTCGTAGCCGTCGTCACACACGCAGCGGAACGTCCCCGGCAGGTTCTGGCACGAGCCGAACACGCAGATGTTGTGGAACGCGCACTCGTCGATGTCTGTTGTTGGGGGGGGGCGGCGGCGAGGGGAGAGGGGGGGTTAGCACGAAGAGTCGCTCACAAGCACCGTACTCGGCCCGCGGGGGGAGGGGGGGCGAGGGGGCGAGGGGGGGGGGGGGCGACGGCGCGACGTACCCTGGCAGGCCTTGCTGTCTTCGCTGGGAGCGAAGCCCATCTCGCACTCGCAGCGGTAGCCGCCCGGCGCGTTCAGACACTGCCCGTTCTCGCACAGGTCCACGTTGTCGGCGCACTCGTCCATGTCTGGCTCGCGGGGGGGGGGGGGAGGGGGGCGAGGGGAGAGCGGTTACCGGCATTGTGACGTCGTCGGAACGATCCGACGCGCAGCGACCCCCCCCGGCGAAGAGGGAGCGGAGAATCGCAGCCGTGGCAAAGAAAAACCTTCGGGAGAATTCTGAACGTTTCCGTGTGAAGAGCAATGCAACGAACGAGGAAGGAAGCCCCGACAAAGAAACCGAGGCTATCAATTCAGGCGAGGGCAGTGCGGGGAAACTACAATATTTCGGAGGCGACTTGACCAGGATGGCGAAGGAGGGAACTCTGGAGGGACCTCGTGGAAGAGGTTCTGACTGCAGGCCAATCGTCAAAACGCCGGACGGGCTGGAAGCAATCTCCGTTGAACGACGCTCACGGCGGACACCTAGAAGCGGAGAGGCCACTGCGAGGGGGCATCGGCGATGAAGCCCCAACCGCCACAAGAGCCAAGGGGGAGAAGCAATCAGCGGGGCCAGGGTGCTCGCGGCCCAGGTGGATTGGCGACCGGGAGTGGAGCGCCCGGAGGCCCGACCTGAGCAGGAGTGCCCGTCCCCAGAGAAGCCGTCCTTGCACAGGCAGCGGAACGAGCCCGGCGTGTTCACGCAGTCGGCGCTCGCGCTGCACTTGTGCGTCCCGTTGGTGCCGCACTCGTCCACGTCTGCGGCGGGGCACGCGCACACGCGCGCGCACGCGCACGATTACAATAACATAGATGCAAAGACCCCCCATATAGCCTTTAGCTGACTGTTGAGATAAGTGCTGTTGGCGAGTAGCACCTGTGAAGGCCCGCACGGCGCACGAGAGGGTGGGTGGACTGCACCACGCTCGGCCGCCGGCCTTCGCTTCGCCGGTACGGATGTTTACACAGCGCACCACGTAATCATTTAAGGCCGAGTCGACCTAAGGAAGGCTCAGGACCGGTTCAGATATTCGTCACCGATGTTGGCAGTGAGCGAGAATCGAACTTCGACACCACTTGAGCAGAGGACTTACCCTGGTACATGTCTACATATTCGTACACTAAAAAACCATGACACACACACAATTACAAATATACAGAATATAAACTTAATATTCTTAATGTTTACAGCTACATTTCTAATGCCCCTTGCAAAACACTTGCACGAAGAGCTGGGTCTGAGAAGCAAGGTCTGGAGGCCTCGGGGCAGAATGCCACGTGGGGCCCGCTTATAGGTCCGTTGTGGGGCTCTCTTTCGTTGGAAGGCTTGGGGATAATTTCCCCATTCACCACCCCCCCCCCCTATTCTCTGCGTGGCCCCCGTCGATAGGCCGTACGTTGACGGAGCTGCAGGTCTCCGGGGTCACAGGGTCACGGGGGTTCTCACCGTGACAACGCGCCCCGTCTCCATCCCAGCCGTCGTTGCACACGCAGCGGAAGCCTCCGAGCACGTTGCTGCACTCGGCGTTCACGTCGCAGTTGTGGGCTCCGATCTCGCACTCGTCCACGTCTAGGCCCGGGGAGGGGAGGACGCGAGAGAGGCGGTTATCCGCTTCGCCAAGTAATAACACAATCGCGTTTTTGGTCCATCGGCCTATTGAATAAATGTTTTGCAAGTAGCAATCGTTTCAACAGGCAAAACTTCTGGGCCTGTTTTGACTTTCAGAGTCTTAGCGGAGGCGCGGCTTCATAGACAAATGCTGTGGGGTTTCTTTACAGCAAGGGTGGGAGCGGCCTCCATATATGCACCGTGGGGCCAGCAGTGTGACGGATCGAAACGACATTTTATTTTCACGCGATGAAAACACGACGACTCGTTGCTCTGCCGATTGCTTTATCACCCGCGGGCCTACGACACGCACGCACGTCGCGCGTGTGTAGTGCGAATGAGCCTCACCCGTGCACCCCGACGTTCCCTTGCGCACGTGGAATCCGTTCTGGCAGTGGCAGATGAAGGAGCCGCGCGTGTTCTCGCAGTCGCCGTAGAGGCAGATGTTTGGGTTGAGGTCACACTCGTTCACATCTGCGAACCAGGTCGGGCGGGGACAGGGGGCGGGTAGCCGGCGGTCAGCGTCGGGGTCACCGGCTCATCAAGCCTCGCGGTCATCGTATACCGATTGCGCCATGAAGAAGCTACATCCTGTTGTGTCGCACAGCGGCGGGATACACACGTCGTGTGGAACGAAACGGGTGTAAGCAGGGTGGAGGAAGGGCTACTGTAGGCCGAGGTCGTGACCCGTTCTGTAGCTCTCGCAGAACTTCTCTGATTTCCCCTCGCTGTGTCGCGCACGCGGGAGCCACGTTTTAAACGCTTAATCAGCGACCTCTTAACCGCTTCAAATACAGGGAGCGAGCCGCTCGCGAAACCGAACACAATCTGGCATGGGAACGCGTAGGAGGCGGATTTATCTCGCCGATTTCTTTCCTTCACTCGCGAAACCGAAACGCGCGAACGCGTTCGTCACGGCCTCGCTACGGTCCTTCGGGTCCGTTCCCGCGGCGACGACCCCTTCTATGGGGCCCGGCGACCGGCAGGCGTCGCGAGCTGGACGGCCCTCGGCGGAGGGGGAGAGAGGCGCGGGCGGACACGGCGGCCTCACCCAGGCAGATCTTCATGTCCATGGAGGCCATGAATCCGTCGTAGCAAAGGCAGCGGTAGTCGCCGGGGACGTTGGTGCACTGACCGCCCTCGCACACGTCCGGGCTGTCCTCGCACTCGTCAATATCTGGCGGCGGAGGCGGCGAGAATCGATCACGGGCAACAACGCAACCGGTGATTTCAACCAGACGTCGAAGCGTACTTCTTTCGCACCGTATATAGCCAACCGTGCTTGATCAGAGGCGCGGGGGAATGACATCAAAATTAAACGCGAAAAACTGTTTTAAAGAAATCCGTTCATGTTATAGAACATAAAAACAACAGCAGCAGCGATAAGTAGGACCTGGGTCTGCACCTCGTATGATCAAATCTTATTCTTCTTCTTCCGCATGGATATGAAGCATCCGTATGGGTAGCTTTCCTGTCGACAGAGTGGCTCATTGAACCATCAGGTCTCTTTTTTGGATGACGACCGTTTGTGTTATGGTCGAAACGTCGTGAGAATTTTTTTATATATATTTTATTATTTCCCTTCAACGTGACTTTACCGAAAGAGCTAAGAATATGAATATCAACTAAAAAGTGTTTACAGGTGGGAGGAAACCGGAGCACCCGGAGAAAATCCACTCGCGCAAGGGGGAAACACTCTATCCCATACAGACGGAGCAGCCGGGCGATCGGTGCGGGCCAATCGGTGCGGGGCCTCACCTGCGCAGGTGCGCGTGTCGGGCAGCAGGGCGAAGCCCATGTTGCAGCTGCACTCGTAGCTGCCCTCGGCGTTGGCGCAGTGCGTGTCGCAGCCTCCGTTCTGGATGGTGCACTCGTCAATGTCTGCACGACGGGAGGGAGGGCGCGCAACGTGAACAACGACGCGGCGCGATGGCAGCGAGCGCGGGCGGACACGAGCACAACGCGGGCGGCCACTTGTTGTTTTGAGCCGTGCGCTCATTTGACCGCGGTCCACTGTCGACACCGCCCAGCCTCCTCGGACGTCCTCAATCCTCGTGCGATCGCGGCTCCCGGGCGCGCTCGGCGCGGCCGGTCCTCTGGCAGGGGAGGCTAGGAGCTCGGCGTGAACGAAACGGCCGTCTGTCCAGTCGGTCGACTTCGTGATCGCGCGCTCCCGGCGCCCTGAGTCAGCTCGGTCAGTCAACTTGGTCGCAGGTCTTTGGGCTGCATGCAAAGCGGGTGCTGGGGGAGTCTAGGATGACGACGGTGTCCCGCGCGCGGACGCACGTACCGACGCACGCCTGTCGATCGCGCGTGGCCTGGTAGCCCGGGTTGCACGCACACTGGAAGGTGCCCACCATGTTCACACAGCGCCCGTTGCGGCACAGGCTGTCGCTCAGCGAACACTCGTTCACGTCTGTGAGGAAGGAAGGAAGGAAGGAAAAAAACGCGACAACGAATAATCGCGATGGAAACGCGGCCGCCGCTCGCCTGCCGCGTCCAGGCACTGGGGCGGTCGCCACGGGACACCGGGGCGAGGCCCACACGCGTTCGCGTGATCGGAGGGCCCTCCAGCAAACGACTATCGCCCACGCGTGCAACCCCACCGCTGATTGTCGGCGGCGAGCCGGCGGGCGGCCGCCAGCAGGGGGAAGCGCTCGGGGTGAAGAGTCGGCGGAAAGCGCCGCGTAATTAGCTACCGGAGAGTTTGCGAGAGGAGCGCAGGGCTTTCCAGGAAAATTAGGCGGATGGGGGTCAAACGAGGTTCAGGCTTCCGCTGTTAATTAGGGTAAGCGCCGGTCTTGCCAGCGGGGCATCAATTTGTCCTCTGGGTGCTCTCCACAGCTGCCCCCTCCCCCCACTAAGATGGGGCACATCCATCAGTGGAGGACCCCACACTGGGCTCTGAGCAGGAAACTCAGCCCCGCACGGACCCCGGAGGGACGGGCGCACGGATCTTCTCTCTCCCTCCCTCTCTCGAGAGAGAGAGGGAGAGAGGGAGGGAGAAGACAGCGGAAGCGTTTATGTTTCAAATACAATGAATAAACACGCTAATTTGTAAGGTGATTGCCCAACTCCGTGAAATGAGTGTGTAGACACTCACAACAGCACGTAGAGGGCTCAGCAGGCACGCAGTCACTCACCCCTAACTCACGATCCGATGAACCGCAACGATCCGAGAGAGCAGTTTCAATCAAGAATTAATTATCTGTTGCCTCGGTTTATGTTTTTACCGTCACATTTCTACTGCTCATCCTTTTGCCGTGTTTCTTATCGCGCTGTCCCGTTCACTCTGTTCTGTGGCATCGTGAAACAGTTGTACGAGTTAAAACGCAATCATTAAATCGATGCGTGCAAAAATAATCGAGCGCCAGAGTCGCCCTCGGTGGGTGGATCGTCGCGTACGCAGTGAACACGGCCGTCACACGCACATCGTACCTTGCGCTCCCCGCATCTGGATGCGTTTAAACGAGAGGCGCAAGGTTAACGAGGAGAGCAGAGACTGCTTGGCACCGATCACAAGAGGAAGCGGCTCCAAGTGGGTGGGCTTGGGGAGGGGACAGCGTGGGATTGTGAATGGGGAAGAGACAGCGTGGGATTGTGAATGGGGAAGGGACAGCGTGGGATTGTGAATGGGGAAGAGACAGCGTGGGATTGTGAATGGGGAAGAGACAGCGTGGGATTGTGAATGGGGAAGGGACAGCGTGGGATTGTGAATGGGGAGGGGACAGCGTGGGATTGTGAATGTGGAAGGGATCAGCGTGGGATTGTGAATGGGGAGGGGACAGCGTGGGATTGTGAATGGGGAGGGGACAGCGTGGGATTGTGAATAGGGAAGGGACAGTGTGGGATTGTGAATGGGGAAGGGACAGCGTGGGATTGTGAATGGGGAAGGGATCAGCGTGGGATTGTAAATGGGAAGGGGTTATGGGCGGGGGCGTTACGAGTGGGGGGTACGTGAACGTGGGCATGCGTGCGTGTGGTTTACCAACGCAGGCAAATCCGTCTAGAGTCAGCTCGTGCCCCGGCGGGCACAGGCACTTGAAGCTGCCGTCCGTGTTCACGCACGTGCCTCCCCGGCACAGCGAGTGGTCTCTCTCGCACTCGTCCACGTCTGCCACGCAAGGAAACACGCGCGCACGAACACACACACACACGTGCGCACGAACACACACGCGCATGTGCACACACGCACACACACACACACGCAAGTGCACACACGCACACACGCACACACACACGCAAGTGCACACGCGCACACACATACGCGCACAAATGTGCGCACACACGCACCCCGACGAGAATTACGTTCGAGTTTTTCCACTTGATTTTGCCAATGTTAACATTTTCATGTGAGTGACATTCAACAAACATGCTTTGCCGTGCATGTAACAGATGTGCCATTGAGTTGTGCATAAAGAGGCCGATTGAAATACCTTTACAAGTGATTCTGTGATATCATATTCCAGGGCCGAATTTTTTTCTAAGTTAAAAATAATATTCCCATCCCTCCCAACCCCTCCCCCCGCAGATAATCCCTTGTGAGATATTGCTTGCAATGGTGTCTCCCGGAACACGATGGAACACTATGACAGTGTTTACAAATATTTCTGATTATTTGGAGTTTGCATGCCCCGTGATCGTATGGATTTTTCTCCAGATTTTCCCCTGCACATTTAAAAACGTTTGGCTGCTATACATTTCCACGTGATACACCACTTCGTTCAGAGCTATCATTTGTGATGGCCAGGTCGCTTCTGAAAAGGAACTACATAGCTCAGTGGGCCTTACCTGGTAAAATTATTGTAAAAAATGTAAAGTTAAGTTTAGATTGCCTTCTTATCCATTGGCGCCAAGCGGGACAGATTGGTAACACTTAAAAAAAAAAACGATCATCGCATGCGCGGGGACCCTGGGAACACTCCGAGGCTGCCAGTACCAGTTCAAGGTGGCCAGTACCAGTTCAAGGTGGCCAGTACCAGTTCGAGGCGGCCAGTACCAGTTCGAGGTGGCCAGTACCAGTTCGAGGCTGCCAGTACCAGTTCGAGGCTGCCAGTACCAGTTCAAGGCTGCCAGTACCAGTTCGAGGCGGCCAGTACCAGTTCGAGGCGGCCAGTACCAGTTCAAGGTGGCCAGTACCAGTTCGAGGTGGCCAGTACCAGTTCGAGGCTGCCAGTACCAGTTCGAGGCTGCCAGTACCAGTTCGAGGCGGCCAGTACCAGTTCGAGGCGGCCAGTACCAGTTCGAGGCTGCCAGTACCAGTTCGAGGCGGCCAGTACCAGTTCGAGGCTGCCAGTACCCACCTCAAGAAGAAAGATTCCCACGCATGCACGTGTTCTCCACGCAGCCCGCTCATAACGTTACGGCGGAAGAGGAATTGCTATGGACAAATTTTAGCTGCCGCTAAGCTCGACAATTGACGTTTCTGCAGGAAAGGAAGAAACTAATAATTTTTTGTTTGTTTTGGCGCTTGCGGTGCGTTAACACCGAGTCTCGTACAAAATCGACCGGTGATCACATCGAAGGGGAACATGACGGAGTGACGTCGCCCCGAGGGTGATAGCGTGCTGCGCACAGGGGCATACCCATGCAGTTCTTCATCATCATGAAGCCGCTTTCGTAGCCCTCGAAGCACTCGCACTCGAAGCTACCGGGCGTGTTCACGCACGCGCCGTGCCCGCACAGGTCCGGAGAGATCCGGCACTCGTCGATGTCTGAGCGGGCGCAAGAGGGACCACAGCATCAACGCCGCCCGCCGTGGCCGTCACAACAACGGCAGCACCATCACAATCACCAGCAGCACCATCACAATCACCAGCAGCACCATCACAATCACCAGCAGCACCATCACAATCACCAGCAGCACCATCACAATCACCAGCAGCACCATCACAATCACCAACAGCACCATCACAATCACCAGCAGCACCATCACAATCACCAGCAGCACCATCACAATCACCAGCAGCACCATCACAATCACCAGCAGCACCATCACAATCACCAGCAGCACCATCACAATCACCAGCAGCACCATCACAATCACCAGCAGCACCATCACAATCACCAGCAGCACCATCACAATCACCAGCAGCACCATCACAATCACCAGCAGCACCATCACAATCATTATCAGCAGCACCATCACAATCATCGTCAGCAGCAGCATCACAATCATTGTCAGCAGCAGCATCACAATCATCGTCAGCAGCAGCATCACTATCACAATAATTATCAGCACCACCATCGAAATCATTACCAGCAGCACCATCGCAATAATCATCGGCAGCACCACGATCACAATGTCCATTCATTACAAATTGATGGTGACGTCACAGCGGCACCCTTGCCAGGCTAGGTAAACTTTGAGGCCTTGTGGCAGGTCATGGGACAGACCCAGGTGTTATAGGTTCATTGACGGAGATGACTGGTTTATGCATGACCTGAGGACATAGCCAAAATAGACTGTTGGGGCAAGTGCTGTTTGCGAGCACCTATGAAGGCCGGCACGGCACACCAGGGGGTGGGTGCCCAGTACCACGCCCGACCGCCTTTGTCTCCCCAGTGGCGATGTTTACACACCGTACCAGGTACTCATTTGAGGCCGAGTCGACCTAGGCGAGGCCCGGGACCGGTTCAGATAATCGTCACCGGCGTTGGCCGTGAGTGGGAATCGAACCCGGGTCACCAGGTTCATAAAGTAGCGCTAACCGCTACACCACTGCTCCCCCCCCCCCACACACACCCACCACCTGAAATCCGAGGCACACCATCTGAGATGAAAACACTAGCTTCCTGTGTGCAGTAATGACACTCGTGGCCTTGGCAGACCACACAAAACGGAGCACAAGTAAACAGTGTGCGTGTGCTGTGTGCGCGTGTAATGGCTCTGTGAAAGATCCACAAAGAGGGTGTTTAAGGTCAGCCTTGACTGCTAAAAGACACACAACAGCTCAAGCTACAAATGTCACTGGGGCCATAATAACTTCGAGGAAAATATCACTCAGCTGGATGTTTAAGCGATGTTGAAACTCAGGTTTAAATTTCCACTTATACACACACACACAGCGTAATTACTTAACAGCGATGCACTTTCTTCTCTCACAACGCACCGATCGAAGACAATTGCCAAATGTGTCACTGGCCAAATAACTTGTATTCCGTTGCATTTATTCGCCGGCTTATTCATGTATTTGTTACGAGCGTTAAGTTGGCAGCTGATGGGCGTGTGGACAGACGTGGAATGCGTTCATAAACCAGACGACGGCAGTGACGGCGCTGCCCCACGCCCCAGGAATGTTCCGCTCACGGGATTATTATTATTATTGTTATTTTGTTGTACCAAACGAAGTCGTGTGGGTGTCGATTGTCTTCAAGAGGTTTCCGCGGTTCGAATCTGGCAGGACACCGTGGTTAACGTCGCCGCTGTGTGCTGGCCACAAAAATTAAAGCCTCGCGCCGTTTGCTTCACAGCGGACGGCGTTTAAGGTCCGCTGGGTGTCCTTGTCCGCATTCGCCAAACTTTTAAATGTTTTACTCGTAAGTGACTCGACTGGGAAACGCACAGCGACATCGCCCTGCCGCCGAGAAAGAGGCTTGGCAGCACCCTCCTGAAAAAAGAGCCTTGAGACTCGGTGAGGCGCTCCTGGGTAAACAAGCGTGATTATATAATACTAAATGTTGATTTAAAGCTTTCGTGACTGCAGGGATTCATATTCTTGGTTCTTTTGTTTCCCTTCTAAGTGACTTTACCGAAAGAACCAAGAATATATATAATAGTAATGATGAAAACAAAAATGTATGAACCTAAAACGCATTTTTTTGCACTTCCTGCCATAGCAGCTATTCTATCGCAAATACCTCCTCTTAACCTGGCTGCATAGCGCACACTGCACATATGCTCAGCTTTCCAGAGCCAAGTACGCTGGCGTATTTGTATTTAATTCATGGAGCATTCAGGGTCTTCATTTACTCCTTTCATTTCGACTTCATTTCATCCCTTTCATTCATTCTCAGACGAGCAGCACGACTCAACGGCTGGAGTCGGCTCCGTCGTTGTCGTAGCGCTATCCCCAAGACGCCGAGGAGTGGCCCCGCTATCAATGGTAGGGGAACTGTGTCGCCACTTATTTTTTCGTAAGTGCTAAGAACACATGGGTGCAGTGTGCCCCTTTTGGCTATCCACCAAACAAAGACGGTCACCGGCAATCGCGCGCCCTTTCAGTTGCCCGGCTTCTGCGGCCGTCTGGAACGCCCTTCCTTCCGATATTAAGAAGCCATTGGAGCTATGCACATTTAAAACATCTATGTTGAAAACTAATTTCTCCAAAACTGCTTTACGTGTTTGGTTTGTTGGCCTTCACCCCGCACCTCCGATTAGCACGATTGGCTATGTACGGTACGAAAGAAGTTCAACATACGTACGTACATACCGCCGCCCCGCCTCTCACCGGCGCGTCCGCTTGCCTGTGCGCGCCCGCTGTTGGCGCGGTCATTAATTACAACGCTCAATATTTATACACGGGTCGGCCAATTTTGACTGCGCAGACGACGACCCGCACAATGGAGCTCTGTTGGCCCACGGCGGCAGCTCTGTAACGGTGGGCCGGACAGCGTGACCGGGTGGGTGGAGGCGGATTGGGGGGGCGTGCGAGGGCACGCGCGGCAGGGCAAGTGGAAGTGCCTGCCAAGGGTGCCAGCACGCCCCTGCAATTTTCAAATACTTGAAACGAGCCGCCTCCGCCAACCAGACCTTCACGCGCAAATGATGCCAAAATAATTAATAATTAATCACGATCGGTAATTACGTGGGTGGCACGATTACGTGGTCTCCAGGGTGAGATACTGCATGCCCGGCAGTTTGCTGGCATCTTCAATACATTCTCTTTTGGAATCTGCAGTATTTAAGGGGCGTGCTTAGATATTATTTTTAATCATCCTTGTCCCACACTCAAACTGATATGCCCAATGTGCTGTAGGTGACAGCAACCTTAGAGGCTTTGATTTTTGTTGTTGTAAATTCATCAGTGCCCTCAGCACAGAATGGACAATGCCTCCAGTTCCCACTCTTCAGTGCTCTTCTACAGCCACGCTGGGTGCCAGGCTGGGGGCCTGCCTCGGTGCCACGCTGGGGGCCAGTCATCTGTTTTTTTTTTCTACTCCTGAAGCCAAACGCAACGTAATCAATCATCAAACATCGCCTCTGTAAGGGGCTTTATGTCGGGAGAAGGTTGAATACCCGCGGCCTCTCGGACCCTGAATCTGAGAAGCGTCCATTGTTTATATTTTTCCCAGCGCACGTGAATAGAAGTTGCTCTGTGGAGGCAACGCAAAGCCTTTGCCTCCCACACACTCGCTTACAAAACACCCAGAATGCACCGCACACACGCTCGCGCGCTCGCTCACTAACACACGCACGCGCGCTCACTCGCACACGCGCGTTCCACACAGATTACCTGCAGGGCCCAGGGGCGGTGATTTTAGGGCCCCCCCCCCCTCTGATGGACGAGCACGGGGGGAGGGGGGGGCGCGACAGGGGGGGAACATTTTCCCTGGGACTCACACAAAAGAGGGCCACACAACGGGCCTGGTTTGTCGTCACTCGCGGATAAGGGCGCCCCCCCCGATGGGGGCGTTCTGCCCCGGGCCTCCAGCCGCCGCACCTCTAGGGCCCGCCGGGCGGCCCCATTCAAGCCCCGCCGCCCCCACCTGTGCAGTTGCGATCCTCCGCATCGAGGGCGAAGCCGCCGTCGCACTTGCAGCGGAAGCTCCCCACCGTGTTGCGACACTTCCCGTGCGCGCACAGCACCGGGAACGTCTTGCACTCGTTGACGTCTGCGGGCAGAAGCGGGGAGGTGGCGGTGGGATGCAGCAGGTGCGAGAGCGCGGAGACAGCGGCGGAACGAGGGGCGGCAGAGGCGGGTTGCGTGTTAACGGGCAAAGCAGCGGCGGTCGGCGGAGTCGCCACGGGGGCGAAGGCGGCGGCACGGGCCCACGCGGTGGCTGCGGGCCCACGCGGTGGCTGCGGGCCCACGCGGTGGCTGTGGGCCCACGTGTGCGCGCGGCACACCGACAGACGGTTGTTTGTGCTGGGAGCGAGCGAGCGAGGGAGGGAGAATGAGCGCAGCGCGCCACGTGCGCAAACAACGACGGGCGTTTATTTAATCGCTGCTAATTGCACCGGCTCCAATCGGCTGCTTTCGTAAATAAATAAAACGAGAAAACGCCGCCGAAATCGCATTCGGTGAAATGAAGGCGTGCTCATGTTCAAGGCTCATGCCGATGCTCTCCGTGCGAACGAGTGGGCGCCCGGCACCCACTGCCAAGGCTCGCTGCGTACGCCGCATAAGACCACTGCCCACTGGGATGGCACGCGCGAGTCCTCGTCTCATTGGCCGGCACGCCGCAGTTCTTCAGACTGGGAAGAGGAAGGACGAAGGGGGGGGGTAGTGGGGGGGGGTACAAGCAGAGCTCAGGAGAACGGGCGGTGTGGGGAGTGACCTCGAGTTAATCTTCCACGTGTGCCCCGCACAAAAGATGGGGCCCTTTTCGCCAACGAAGGGGCCGGGAGCTCTGAGCTGGGCAGAAGTCGTTGCGGCGGCAGTGGTTGGTGAAAAGAGTGGAAAGGACTCGCGGAGGGCTGTGGTTTGGCCGCAGATTTTCGGGCGGGAGGCAGAAGGGTCACGTGTTGTGCATATGGGGTGTTTTTGTGTGGCTATAGGGAAATCTCTTGTTTTTGTCTGTCTTTGTATGTGTGTGTGTACACGTGTGTGTGTCCCATCGGTGAGCACCTCCGGCAGGCAAGGCTGCATTGGCTGGGCCATGTAGCCCACATGCCCAATCATCGCATGCCCAAACAGCTTTTGTTTGGCCGGATTGAGGGGGCTAAACGGGCGCAGCACAGGCTAGAGAAGAGATGGAGTGATGTGGTACAGGAGGCACGGGCTAGAGAAGAGATGGAGTGTTGTGGTATAAGAGGATGTGGAGCCGTGTGGATTTGCCGATGACTGATACCAGCGGTGTCAAGATCGGCCTCTGTGGAGGAGGCTCGTGAAGGACGCTGCTACTGGGCAGTTGGAGGCAGTCGCCCTCCAACAACAACGGAGGGCGGAGGAGCGACGCTCACAACAACGAGCGAAGCGCCGGGTGGCTAAAGCACAGCAGGTTGGCACAGTAGGGGGCACAGATGGTGCATCAGCCAGTCATCTCGGTCATCTCAGTCAGTCGACCCGTGGCACCTGCTGGGTCTGCCCCGTGACCTCCTGCCAGCGGGCATTCGACACTTCACGTGGCCTCAAGGTGCACATGGCCTGGCACAAGCGTCGTGGTGACGTCACCGCCACGTAGTGGCGAATGGCGGTTGTTGTGTGTTGTGTCTCTGTGCGTGTCTGTGTGTGTCTCTGTGTGTGTGTCTGTGGGTGTGTGTCTGTGTGTGTGTCTGTACGTGTCTGTGTGTGTGTCTGTGTGTGTGTGAGTGTGTTTGTGTGTCTGTGTGTGTGTGGGGAGCGGTAGTGAAGCGGTTAGCGCGGTGCGCTATGAACCTGGCGACCCGGGATCGATTCCTGCTCACGGCCAACACCAGTGACGATTATCTGAACCGGTCCTGGGCCTCCCCTAGGTCGACTCAGCCTCAAATGAGTACCTGGTGCAGTGGATAAAAACATTGCCACTGGGGAGACTAAGGCGGTCGGGCGTGGTGCTGGCCAACCACCCCCTCGTGTACCGTTCCGGCCTTCATAGGTGCTCGCTAACAGCACTTGCCCCTACAGTCTGTTAAGGCTATACGGGGGATATTTGTCTTTGTCTGTGTGTGTGTTCGTGCGGTGTGTGTGGGGAGCGATAGTGCAGCGGTTAGTGCTACGCTGCGCTACGAACGTGGCAAACCGAGTTCGATTCCCGCTCACGGCCAACACCAGTGACGATTATCTTGAACCGGTCCTTGGCCTCCCCTAGGTCAACTCAGCCTCAAATGAGTACCTGGTGCGGTGTGTAAACATCGTCACTGGTGAGACAAAGGCGGCCGGGCGTGGTGTTGGCCACCCACTCCCTCGTGTGCCGTGCCGGCCTTCGTAGGTGCTCGCTAACAACACTTAAAGGCTATACGGTTATGTGGGGGATCTCTGTCTTTGTTACGAGTCTATGTGTGTGTGTGTAGATGTGTGTGTGTGTATGTATGTGTGTAGATGTGTGTGTGTGTATGTGTGTGTAGATGTGTGTGTGTATGTGTGTGTAGATGTGTGTGTGTGTATGTATGTGTGTGTATGTGTGTGTGTATGTGTGTGTGTGTATGTGTGTGTGTATGTGTGTGTAGATGTGTGTGTATGTGTGTGTGTATGTGTGTAGATGTGTGTGTGTGTATGTGTGTGTATGTGTGTAGATGTGTGTGTGTGTGTGCACGTGTCTCCCTTTTTTCCCCTCCTTTTGACAAAACCCTTTTATTTTCAGCCGAAAAGGAACAGTGGGGGGGGGGAATGGGGGGATGAGGAGGGGAAGGGGGGATGGGTGTGGGGAGGATGGAGGGATGGGGGGGGGGTTCCTCTGCGGGGCAGCTGCCCTCCCGCCGTCCGGTCAGCCCGTCGCCGTTGACGAGGTGTGGATGATGCGTTACCGGCGACTGGGGCAAGCTTAACGATCCGTGGCGGCGCGACAACGCGCGCCGCATTCCCCAGACGCCGGAAGTCGTGGTGGCGAGATGTTAACCACCTCGTCCGGCATGCGACAAGTCGTGGGTTCGATCCCAAACCTGACGCCTGCTGTAGGTTTGGAGTTTTCATGTTTTGGCCGTGGTCGCGTAGAGCATTTGGCTGCTTTACATTTCCACGTTATAAGCAACTTCGTTGAGCTATCTTTCGTGATAGCTTCTGAAAAAGAGCAATATAGCTCAGTGGGCCTGACCTGGTAAAATAAAAAAATTGTTTAGTTTACTTGATGCCTTGTAATAGGTGTCTATTTGGTGTTTGAACAGCTTAACAACTGTATTTATGTCATTCAATAGTGTTTTATCGTCTATACGTTGTTTTGTTCCGGTTGCTTTCCTTCATCGCTGTACTTTGTTTTGCTCGCTTGTTTCATTTTTGTTGACCCAGGTTCTTCACTCTTGCAAACGCGACTCGTCCGTGTTTCTTGGTTACACAAATTAAACGTGAGACCTTTGGCCGAACGTCCCACTCCTACGCCAAGATTCCCTTACGCCAAGCCTCCTTCGTTTGCCCGATGCAGCAGCTGTTGCCCATCGCTTGTCAAGCTTCCACTAACAGAAAGGGGCCTTCAGACGTCACGCGGTTCAACCTGGCAAAATAAAATAAAAAATAGCCGGGCGCGGCACACGCTGCCGCAAGAGTGCGAATGTCAAGTGAGCGACGTCGATTGATCACTCGGACGATCGGTGATTGGCGATGGGGCTTTGATTTTTTTTCTTCCGTATTCTGTAGGCCTGGCTGGGGGTGGATCGCAGAGAATTTAAATGGCAGTGTTTTCCACGCTGGAGTGCCACCATTTTATCATCGTCATAATTTTTATTTTGGATCTGTAAGGCGCCGCGCAGTTTTAATTAGCTCTTCGAGAGAAAGGGATTGAGAGGTGCGTGAATCCACAGGCGAGGCAGCCAAAAACAACGCCGACGATTGCACCAAGCTCTGTGGCCCGACAATGGGATTATCTGGTAGTGATGTGTTGCTGCTGCTGCTGCTGCGTTGCCAGCGAGTAGCTGGAACCGGACTTGGCCCGCAGTGAGCACTGAGAGCCATCGAGAAGTGCCCGTAGCGAGCAACAGGTAAGGTTGGCGTGGCAATCGAGAGAGCGGCGCAGGCCTGGCTGGCTTAACAGGGTTGCCGTAGTCACATCATCAACAAGCACGAACAACGGAAAAACTCAATTGTCAATGACACCGTGTGCGGAGTAGGACCGTCGGCCGAAACGTATTTTTCTCTTGCAAGGCCACGCACGGTGGTGCTGTGGACGAGCGCGCCGGCGCTTTATAGCAACCCCCCCCCCGACCCCGCCGAGCCCCCCGCCCGCCCACCTCACCTTTAAAGACGGGCCGTCCCGTGAGCACGTCCCCGCGGTTGGCGTAGCCAGGTCCGCGTGGGCACAGCGCGTCGAACTCCTTGGTGCCGGCCGGCGGGCACGCGTCGCACTCCGCGCCCCACGCCGCCCCCACGGAGCAGCAGCAGGCGTCCATGCGCATGCGGCCCAGCGGGCGCTCGCACTCCTCCTCGTCCCACTCCAGGAAGCACTGCTCCAGACGGAGGTCTTCGCCGTACCGTCGCGGCGGGGGCGGCGGTGACAGCGGCAACAACATTCGGTTACGTTTAGCGTCGGCTCTTTTTGGGTCTCGCCCCCAAGCGCCGCGCTTCTCGGCGCTGCGGACGCCGCTTGCACAGGAGGTGGACAACCGTGCTAATCGGACGTGTGGGGAAAAAGAGATGCTTCTCTGTTTATATTCAATGAATGTACAGAGCTGTGGGATGCAATTAGCACGAATTATGCTATATACCCATAATATATATACTTTTGGGTTATATCGCATAAATATAAAAATGAGTCATTAAAACCCGCCACCACCCGACACAGCCAACTAGTAAGGGTTGTCACGTGAACAGAACGTGCCAATTCGTCACTATTACAGCACACCGGTGTGAGCCAAGCCACAACATTTACAATATGAGTACGACCTTTCGCCAGTAATTACAATTGCACGCCCACCCCCCCCATCACCGAAGTTGTCAATTAAAACAGAAACGCGTTCAACTCTTATTTGGACCCCCGGAACTGTGCTGAGAAAATTCGCAAAACTACATCCATCCACATCCCCCGCAGAAAGCGAGACATCACCGCTTGTTAGAGAACACCGGACCGTGGAACGCAGGAGGTCGTAGGTTCAATCCCGGGGCCCTGACGAAGGCCGTTGTGCGTTTGGAGTCCGCGTGTTCTCTCTATCCCCGTGGTGGTCAAGTGAATTTTTCTCCGGTCTCTCCACATTTACAATCGCCACGCGTTTAGATAATTTGGCTGAGACTATAAATTCCTACGTGTGATGATATGAGCCACTTCGATGAAACTATTACGTGTGACCAGGTCGGCTCTGAAAAATAAATATTAGCTCGGCGGGCTTGACCTGGGTAAATAAAATAGCAAAAACTTAAAATCGAGAACACGAGATGTTGCCCAACATTTGCAGAAAGCGTCGCCAGGAGTCGCGTGCGGCATAGGGAGAGCCACACAATTTAAACCTCTGCTGGCAGAAAGAGGAATGTCCGTCGCTGGCGTGTCGTTTGTGCACGCGAGCGGGGGGGGGGGGGGGTGGGGGCTGCGTGCAAACGCGGAGTCTCTCACCCACGCACGTGCGTCCCGTGCCGTCCAGGATCAGTCCCTGGGGGCAGTCGCAGCGGAACGAGCCGGGGGTGTTCACGCAGCGCCCGTTGGGACAGACGCCCGGGAAGACGTCGCACTCGTTCACGTCTGCGCGCACGCACGCACACACACACGCACGCACACACACACACACACGCACACACGCACACACACACACGCACGCACACACGCACGCACACACACACGCACACACGCACGCACACACACACGCACACACACGCACATACACACACACGCACGCACACACACACACGCATGCACACACACACGCACACACACACACGCACATACACACACACGCATATACACACACACACACACAAGCACATACACACACATACACACACACACGCACACACACGCACACACACACACGCACACACACACACACACGCCCACGCACACACACACACGCACGCACACACGGCGACACTTCCGACATGTGCCAAACAACGGTCCGGCAAAATTTGTGTCGTTAACAAGGCCCTCCACCACCCGACGCGGTCATAGTGTGCAAGCGTGTACACGTGCCGATTATTACTGTCGTTTCAGATGTAGCCGTGCTCAGTATGAGAGGCGTGGCAGTTGAAGGCAACGTGAAGCGTGCACAGTGGTTCCTCTAACAACGCTGCCAAAACCTTTTGCAAGCGTTGCTTTGGCCGATTAGATGCCAATGAACTAAAGGTTGTGTTACTCGTTCCTTTCTTTTGTCTGGCTGATGTGGATGCAGAGCAACAACTCCGATGGCACATCCAGGTGGTCCAGCCAGGGAGTGAATCGCGTCATGAGCAGCGGAACGTATCCCTGTGATGTCTCCTTCGCATGCGTGGATCGGGCATTGTGTCGACATACGTTGCAGCGGTGTGTTCTGGACGACCGCAGTCGCACACCGGGGAGGTTTGTAATTTCCACTTGTGCATGTCAGGTATCTGCCACGGTTTGTGCGGATGCGGTTGCATTATTGATTCCAGATCACGTAACAATGCTTCACACGTGTTCAGCCACTGCCACGTGGGATTGGCGTTTGGTGGTTCATTCAGCACATCATCATCGTCCCTTTGGGGTCGATAAAATTAGTACAATTTTGTGGGGAAGTGAACAGCGGCTGTCTGAGACGTAGACTCGCCCCCATCATAGTAACGAGGCATTGCCACCGAGGGTTGTCAAGAGGGGCTGAGCGCTGCCTCGATCGCTCATCTGAGCAAGAAATCACGTCGACTCTCGTTCAGCAAGGGCCACCAGGGGCCACGCCAAGGGGCCCCGTCGCCGTGGAGGACGCTGAAGAGGCCTTGACAAGTCTCGAGGACACTCACCCTCGCAGTTGACGCTCTTGGAGCGGGAGAAGCCACGCGGGCAGGCGGGGTCTGTGAGGCGCCAAACAGATCAAAACGCACGGTAATTTTTGCAATTGTTATAACTTGCATCAGTCAGTCTTTTTTCTATATACAGCTGTACATGTTTTATGACCTTTATAAGCCAGAGCCCAAAAATATATTAATAATTATATCTGCAATGATGTATAGTAATAATAATGTATTAAGAATTCAAACGACTTACATAAGCCAGTCTATTTTCTATATATATAAATATTTTATGACATTTAGATGAAAGTTAATTTTAAAAATCCACAAGCAAAATAAATTCTCTCTCGTGCATTTTGTTTGCCATTATCTCATTTACTAATTTTTTTTTTACTTTATAGTTTTCGCCTGTCCCCCCAAAACGGGCTCCAATTCTGCCTTCAATGTCGTGCCGTCGCACGGCGAAGAAACCGAAAATCTCTCGCTAGCTCGCGAACAGCCCCCAGAAGATAACGTGACAAAAACCGCTTCTGTACTGTGCCGCCAAGAGGCTCCTGGAGGCGCAGGGTGGGAGGGCCCCGAGACCGGAGGCCACTCGGGGTCCACGCTTATTCACCGGCGACACAACCAGGCGCCGTTGTGAGGCCCTCTTTTACGCGAGGCCCTCTTTTACACGAGGCCCCCTTTTACGCGAGGCCTTCTTTTAGGCGAGGCCCAGGGGTGAATCCCCGCTTTTGACAGCTTCTGAAGTCACCTCAATAGCTTCGCATCCACAATATCGGTACGCATTTTACATGACCCCCCCGAATCGCCGGGGCCACAGCAGCAAAACCCCCCCGCGACGTCGTCGGAGTCGGAGGAGCCGCGGGGGTGGCGCCGTGGGCGGCTTACCGAGCTCACAGGGCTCGCAGGGGCTGCCCCACGCGGCCCCCAGCGTGGCGCAGCACTCGGACTTCATGGTGCCGCCGTTGATGTTCACCTCGCAGCGGTTGTCCAGGATCTGCATCCAGCAGGTGCCCTTGATGCTGTCTGCGGGCCCGAGGCACGCGCCAAGGGGGACGACGCCGTGCGGACAGACGAGCAGACGGACGTCCAGACGGACACGCAGAGGGGACATGCAGACAGACGGACGTGCAGACAGGCATGCAGACAGACAGATGTGAAGGCAGACGTGCACACAGACATCCAGACAGACAAATGTGCAAACAGATGTGCATGCAAACACGCAGACAGACGTGCAGACAGTCATGCGGAAAGGAATGCAGACAGACACATACAGGTACAAGCAGGCATACACGTTCAGACACACAAGTATATAGACACACAAGAAACACCCACAAAAACATACCCACGTAATACAGGTACACACAAGTAGCCATGCATAGACACACACACACGCACCAAGACACAAACACACGCCACACAGCGGCAGACGCACACGATACACAAACGGCCGCAGGCATACACGCCCGATGTAGTGCAAACCGATACACACAAGGACACACAGACACACACAGACGACCACATCGAATACGTAGAGACGTGCAGATATGCGCATAGCCAAACGTGCACCGATAAAGCACACGTACACCAAGACACACAACACACACCCAAAGACGTTGTCAGTCAGGTCAGCGGCAACGATCAAAATCCCCCAAACCTCCCCCATTGTCTCCGCCCACCAAGAAACTACAAAGTTATATTTTACAGACACAAAGATAATGAGCTTAAGTCGTGTATAGTGTAGTGTATAGTGTAGTGTATAGTAGAGTAGTGTAGTGTATAGTGTAGTGTATAGTGTAGTGTTAGTAGAGTAGTGTAGTGTATAGTGTAGTGTATAGTAGTGTAATGTATAGTGTAGTGTATAGTAGTGTAGTGTAAAGTGTAGTGTATAGTGTAGTGTATAGTATAGTGTAGTGTATAGTACTCTTAGGTTCTTTCAGTAAAGTCACGTAGATAGAAAAATAAATAACTAATTGATGACGACGTTTCGATCGCAACAAGCGGTCGTCTTCAGGTGAAAGAGAGAAACACGCCTCTGTGACGAGGCGTTATATAGAGGGGAGGCCTCTGTGACGAGACGTTATATAGAGGGGGAGGCCTCTGTGACGAGACATTATATAGAGGGGAGGCCTCTGTGACGAGGCGTTATATAGAGGGGGAGGCCTCTGTGACGAGGCGTTATATAGAGGGGAGGCCTCTGTGACAAGGCGTTATATAGAGGGAGAGGCCTCTGTGACGAGGCATTATATAGAGGGGAGGCCTCTGTGACGAGGCATTATATAGAGGGGGAGGCCTCTGTGACGAGGCGTTATATAGAGGGGAGGCCTCTGTGACAAGGCGTTATATAGAGGGAGAGGCCTCTGTGACGAGGCGTTATATAGAGGGGAGGCCTCTGTGACAAGGCGTTATATAGAGGGAGAGGCCTCTGTGACGAGGCGTTATATAGAGGGGGAGGCCTCTGTGATGAGACATTATATAGAGGGGGAGGCCTCTGTGACGAGGCATTATATAGAGGGGGAGGCCTCTGTGACGAGGCGTTATATAGAGGGGGAGGCCTCTGTGATGAGACATTATATAGAGGGGGAGGCCTCTGTGACGAGGCGTTATATAGAGGGGAGGCCTCTGTGACGAGACATTATATAGAGGGGAGGCCTCTGTGACGAGGCATTATATAGAGGGGAGAGGCCTCTGTGACGAGGCATTATATAGAGGGAGAGGCCTCTGTGACGAGGCGTTATATAGAGGGGGAGGCCTCTGTGACGAGGCATTATATAGAGGGGGAGGCCTCTGTGACGAGGCATTATATAGAGGGGGAGGCCTCTGTGACGAGGCGTTATATAGAGGGGGAGGCCTCTGTGACGAGACGTTATATAGAGGGGGAGGCCTCTGTGACGAGGCGTTATATAGAGGGGGAGGCCTCTGTGACGAGGCATTATATAGAGGGGAGGCCTCTGTGACGAGGCATTATATAGAGGGGGAGGCCTCTGTGACGAGGCATTATATAGAGGGGAGGCCTCTGTGACGAGGCATTATATAGAGGGGGAGGCCTCTGTGACGAGGCATTATATAGAGGGAGAGGCCTCTGTGACGAGGCATTATATAGAGGGGGAGGCCTCTGTGACGAGACATTATATAGAGGGGGAGGCCTCTGTGACGAGGCATTATATAGAGGGAGAGGCCTCTGTGACGAGGCGTTATATAGAGGGGAGGCCTCTGTGATGAGGCGTTATATAGAGGGAGAGGCCTCTGTGACGAGACGTTATATAGAGGGAGAGGCCTCTGTGACGAGGCATTATATAGAGGGGAGGCCTCTGTGATGAGGCGTTATATAGAGGGAGAGGCCTCTGTGACGAGACGTTATATAGAGGGAGAGGCCTCTGTGACGAGGCATTATATAGAGGGGGAGGCCTCTGTGACGAGGCGTTATATAGAGGGGGAGGCCTCTGTGACGAGGCATTATATAGAGGGGGAGGCCTCTGTGACGAGACGTTATATAGAGGGAGAGGCCTCTGTGACGAGGCGTTATCTAGAGGGGGAGGCCTCTGTGACGAGGCGTTATATAGAGGGGGAGGGGAGGCTCACGGGAGTCTCTGTGCTCTCACGACAACTCAAAAGGTCTCTCTCTCTCTCCCTCCCTTTAAGCCAAACTGCAGGCAGTACGCGTATGTGTGTGTACGTGTGTGTGTGCACGTGTGTGTGTCCACGTGTGTGTGTCTGTGTGTGTGTGCGCGTGCACGTGTGTGTACACGTGTGTCTGTGTGTGCACGTGTGTGTGTGTGTTGCGCGTGCACGTGTGTGTGCACGTGTCTGTGTGAGTGTGTGTGCACGTGTGTGTGCACGTATGTGTGCGCGTGTACGTGTGTGTGCATGTGTGTGTCTGTGTGTGTGTACGTGTGTGTACGTGTGTGTGTACGTGTGTCTGTGTGTGTGTACGTGTGTGTGTACGTGTGTGTGCACGTGTGTGTGTACGTGTGTGTGTACGTATGTGTGCGCGTGTACGTGTGTGTGTACGTGTGTGTGCTCGTGTGTGTGTGGGGAGCGGTAGTGTAGCGGTTAGCGAGCTGCGCTACGAAACTGGCGACCCGGGTTCGATTCACCGCTCACGGCCAACACCGGTGACGATTATCTGAACCGGTCCTGGGCATCCCCTAGGTCGACTCAGCCTCAAATGAGTACCTGGTGCGGTGTGTAAACATCGTCACTAGGGAGACAAGGCGGTCGGGCGTGGTGCTGGCCACCCGCCCCCTCGGGTGCCGTGCCGGCCTTCATAGGTGCCGCTCGCTCACAGCACTTGCCCCAACAGTCTGTTAAATGCTATACAGGGGATCTTTGTCTTTGCTGTACCCAAAGTCTGCTCAGGCTATCGTCGCTCTGATGACGCCTCCTCCCCCTCCTTAGGGGGGCGGGGGGGGGGCGTTGAGTCGCCTGGCTCCGTGGTGCGGCCCGAGCTCGCTCACCGATGCACACGGTCCCCGTGGCGTCCACCTTGCTGCCCATGGAGCACTCGCACACGTACGAGCCCGCCGTGTTCTTGCACACGCCGTTCACGCACGGCCCGCCCTCGCACTCGTTCACGTCTGCTCGGGGGTGGGGTGGGATGGCGGTGGTGAGGGGGGGGTCACGGAAACAAATCTCATCGTCGGCGCGAGGGACGTCGGCGGCGACGGTCGCACGCATCGGCCGTTACCCGCTTGCCCCGAGGGTGCGTGAAGGCCACGCGCCGGGGGCGATCTTCGTCCCCGGCGCGCGGCGAAGCGTTACCCTCGCAGGTCTCCGACTCGGAGTTGAAGACGTAGCCGGTGGGGCAGGAGCAGGAGTAGCTGCCCGGCGTGTTGCGGCACAGCCCGTTGTCGCACAGCAGGGAGTTGCGCGAGCACTCGTCCACGTCTGCGGGCGAGCACGGCGCCGTTAACCTCCACCCCACCGCCGCCCCCTCGCGCTCTGCTCACGTCCGCCCCGAGGTCGCCACCGGGCACCCCGGGCAGATCGCGGCTGGCACCCCCCTCGCCGCTCGTTCCCGACCGCTCACCCATCGCGAGCTGAATGTAAGTCACGGGCAGTCCCCGACTTACGAACGGGTTCCGTTCCCGAGGCCCGTTTCGTTGCTTTGCCAAACTTACGAACGGTTCGTAAGTCGGGAACGCAATAATGTTCCGTATATGAACTATTTTTTTTATTTTACCAGGTAAGGCCCAGTGAGCTATGCGGCTCTTTTTCAGAAGCAACTCTGCCCACAAATGGTAGCCTTATCACGTAGGGAAAAATCCACGCAACCATGAGGAGAGAGACACGCAAACTCCAAATATACGGCCACCTCCTGTATACCAGGAGAGGTAGTTAGCATCTCACCACCGTGGTGCCCAGTTGATACAATGGTGCTAGTTTTGATAACTATGCCCCCACCACAGCCTCCGTCTACCCAGCGGTACAATTGGGTCCACCGCAGTTGGCTAGTGATGGGCAGGTTTAATGCGGTGAGCGGCAGCGGCAGCGGTGGTCGGAGGCGATTGGCCGAGGTGACTCACCCACGCAGCTCTTGCCGGAGATGTCCGACTCGTACCCCGAGTTGCACATGCAGCGGTAAGTGGCGCGCAGATTCTCGCACATGCCGTTGGGGCAGATGTCCGGGTCCAGCGCGCACTCGTTAATATCTGCCACCGCACAAAGACACAGATCCCCCGTGCAGCCTTAACAGACTGTTGGGGCAAGCGCTGTTTGCGAGCACCTATGAAGGGTGGCACGGCGCACGAGGGGGTGGGTGGCCAGCACCACGCCCGGTCGCTTTTGTCTCCCCAGTGACGATGTTTATACACTACACCAGGTGCTCATTTGAGGCTGAGTCGACCTAGGGGAGGCCATGGAAATAGTTGAGATAATCGCCACTGTTGGTGGCCGAGAGTGGAAATCGAACTTGGGTTGCTGGATTCGTAGTGCAGTGTGCTAACCACTGAACTACCGCTCCCTACACGCACAACCGCCATTGCCTCCTCCGCCCCACGCGTCCAGGGAATACCACCCACCCCCTTGTGACGATGCACGGTGGGATAGTGACTAAGACAGTTTGTGACTCATTGATTAGATTTCCATTTTTCAACCAACACTGACACACAGTACACAAACATTCTGACACTGACACACAGTACACAAACATTCTGACTCTGACACACAGTACACACACATTCTGACACTGACACACAGTACACAAACATTCTGACACTGACACACAGTACACAAACATTCTGACACTGATACACAGTACACAAACATTCTGACACTGACACACAGTACACACACATTCTGACACTGACACACAGTACACAAACATTCTGACACTGACACACAGTACACACACATTCTGACACTGACACACAGTACACAAACATTCTGACACTGACACACAGTACACAAACATTCTGACTCTGACACACAGTACACAAACATTCTGATACTGATACACAGTACACACACATTCTGACTCTGACACACAGTACACAAACATTCTGACTCTGACACACAGTACACAAACATTCTGACACTGACACACAGTACACAAACATTCTGACTCTGACACACAGTACACACACATTCTGACTCTGACACACAGTACACAAACATTCTGACACTGACACACAGTACACACACATTCTGACTCTGACACACAGTACACACACATTCTGACTCTGACACACAGTACACAAACATTCTGACACTGACACACAGTACACACACATTCTGACTCTGACACACAGTACACAAACATTCTGATTCTGACACACAGTATACAAACATTCTGACACTGATACACAGTACACAAACATTCTGACACTGACACACAGTACACAAACATTCTGACACTGACACACAGTACAGAAACATTCTGACTCTGACACACAGTACACAAACATTCTGACTCTGACACACAGTACACAAACATTCTGATACTGACACACAGTACACACATATTCTGACACTGAAACACAGTACACAAACATTCTGACACTGACACACAGTACACAAACATTCTGACACTGACACACAGTACACAAACATTCTGACTCTGACACACAGTACACAAACATTCTGACACTGACACACAGTACACAAACATTCTGACACTGACACACAGTACACAAACATTCTGACTCTGACACACAGTACACAAACATTCTGACACTGACACACAGTACACACACATTCTGACACTGACACACAGTATACAAACATTATGCTTCTGACACACAGTACACAAACATTCTGATACTGACACAGTACACAAACATTCTGATTCTGACACACAGTACACAAACATTCTGACACTGATACACAGTACACAAACATTCTGACACTGACACACAGTACACACACATTCTGACACTGATACACAGTATACAAACATTCTGATTGACACACAGTACACAAACATTATGATTCTGACACAGTACACAAACATTCTGACACTGACACACAGTACACAAACATTCTAATTCTGACACACAGTACAGAAACATTCTGACTCTGACACAGAGTACACAAAGATTCTGACTCTGACACACAGTACACAAACATTCTGATACTGACACACAGTACACAAACATTCTGATTCTGACACACAGTACAGAAACATTCTGACTCTGACACAGAGTACACAAACATTCTGACACTGATACACAGTACACAAACATTCTGATACTGACACACAGTACACAAACATTCTGACACTGACACACAGTACACAAACATTCTGACACTGACACACAGTACACAAACATTCTGACACTGACACACAGTACACAAACATTCTGACTCTGACACACAGTACACAAACATTCTGACACTGACACACAGTACAGAAACATTCTGACTCTGACACAGAGTACACAAAGATTCTGACTCTGACACACAGTACACAAACATTCTGATACTGACACACAGTACACAAACATTCTGACACTGACACACAGTACACAAACATTCTGACACTGACACACAGTACACAAACATTCTGACACTGACACACAGTACACAAACATTCTGACACTGACACACAGTACACAAACATTCTGACACTGACACACAGTACACAAACATTCTGACACTGACACACAGTACACAAACATTCTGACACTGACACACAGTACAAAAACATTCTGATTCTGACACACAGTACACAAACATTCTGATTCTGACACACAGTACACAAACATTGTTGTCCCACGTTCGACCGCATAGCCGCATCCGAGTGAATTAACATCGCACGAAATAGCCAATTTTGGGTAGAAATAGGTTGAACTGCACATTCGCGAAATCTCACAAACCCGCGTAAAGCGAGGGAAACCTGTATTTGTAATTTTTTTACAGCGCGTTATTGATAAGTCAACAATTATCTAAGTGTGTGCTCTACAGCATAAAAAAATAAGAATAGGTTTTACCCTTTCTGGCAATAAAACAGGTGTTAAGACGTTCAAAGACCGAATAAATACCTTCTGCAAAGACTTCGTTAACTGCACGCACTTGTGGCAAAGCATACAAAAGCATACAAACAAACAAGCTCTAATCACTATTAATGGCATTGACTTTGAAACTGGCCTCAACCAGAGACAGAAGCCTTCTGCACAGCCTAGTCTCACTAGGGTCAGATCAGAGAACGCCAAAAGGCGAACAATTCAGGTATCAGAGTATTACCTCGAGCTATGAATTATTGGTGCTTGAGCATCTTAACGACTCCTGTTAAATTGCCAGAAAGGGTAAAACCTCTTCTTGTTTTTCAAGCTTTGATACGGGCAAAATAAGGTCCCTGGATGTGCGTGCTCGTCGGTTGGCTGAGTGAAAGGTGGGCAATGCCCTTTGCCCAATCCACGTGCTGCTGGCCCACAAACCCCGTCAGGTGCGCTGCTGCCCTCTTCAAGCAGTTACATTCCCTAAAACTCCCTGGCTGTCCAGCGCAAACATGAAGTTTAATTCACGACATTATAACAACAACAACAAAAATACTTCACGCTTCGTCAGGCGTTACCCAATATAGTCCGGTATTTCGTCACAGCATTCTGGTGACGTCACCACATTTCGCTGCACGGACGGAGGATCCGGCAAGCACGGAAGGAGGATGCGGCAAGCACGGACGGAGGATGTGGCAAGCACAGCCTCTCGGCCTTCCCCTTGGGCTTCCGGTCTTCCACTGAACGTTGACTGCGGTGGTAATGAGAGTTTTACCCCACCACCATCCCCCCCCCCCCCACAAACTGGGGTTGAAACGATCAGCTGACACGGTTCAGGGTCGGGTTTCCCCCCTCCCAGCGGCCCAGTTCACATCGGAACTTCGCGACGGCAAAAAACCAAATTAGGAACGCGTCCGAGCCGAGGGGTTGAAGTTTGTACCGCCGTGGGTCGCAAGAGGCAGCGGGCGCTTTCTCTGCTGCCGAGGAACTCCCCCCCCACCCCCCCACCCCCGTCCCTTCGCTGCCGACGATCGCTCGGTCAACCCACCTCTGCCGTCGGCCGTGATGCCGAGGCCGCTGCCGCACAAGGACTGGAACTCCGCTGCGGAAACGCGACACGTTGTTAATCGGAAAGCAAGAGACGTCGCGCGCGTCACAAACGCCGCGTGTACGACAGTATCGCGCGCTGGAGGTCTACCCGTGTGTGTTGTCTCGGTCGTGATGCTCGGCAACAACACTGTGGACCTTTTTTCTCTCCGCCTGATGACGACCACTTGAGTGGCGATCGAGTTTTTTTTATGTTTTTATATGTTTTTTTATTATTTTTTATTTTATTTCCTATTTACGCGGCTTTACCGAAAGAACCATAGAATAGGAAATAAATATATTCAAGGTGACAGCCCTTTGTTGGGTGACGGTCCTGGTGTCGACAGGTAAAACCAAAACTCAAATAATTTTTACCAGGTAAGGCCCACTTGAGCTATAAAGCTCTTTTTCAGATGCGACCTATTACAAACGATAGCCCAACGAAGTGGCTTATCATGTGGAGATTTATAGCAGCCAAATACTCGTTGATTCTAAAGGTGGAGGGCAAAACCGGAGGACCCGGAGAAAGATCCACATGACCAAGGGGAGAACACGCAAACTCCAAATATACAGCAGCAGGCATCAGAGTCGGGATCGAATTCACGACCTCTTGTATACCAGGCGAGTTAGATAACATCTCGCCACCGCGGTGCCCAGCAGGTGTGCCATGAAGAAGGGCCATTGCCTGAAACGTCACCGGTTAACGTTATTTCCTTTTTGGGCCACAGTGTCATTGAATGATTGTGTTCATGATGATGATGTCAACATGCATTGTGCCACTACTGCACATTGTATGCTGGCTGTTGAAGAGAGAGAATGAGGGAACGTTCTCAGATAAGCAGAGAGCCGCTGTAGAATTCGTCCCCCCTAAGCTCTGTGGTCCTCCATACATAAAGACGTTATTGGCCAATTAATGAGCGTTTTTACATGTGGGAAGAAACCGTAGCACCCGGAAAGACCCACGTGTGCGAGGGGGAAACACTCTATCCCACGGAAACAGCATGGGTGTAGTCCACATTTGCTGTACCGCCTTCTCCTGGAAGATCCAAGGGTATGGCACACACCTCCACGACGCCCACGGGAAGGGAGTTTCAGAACGTGTACGTGATCCACCAACACTCGCATTGAGTGCTGACATGTGCTGAAGTGTGCTGACACGTGGTGACATGCACTGACACATGCTGACACGTGCTGACGTCTGCTGACACGTGCTGACGCGTGCGCACGTGTGCTCCTGTGTGCCGACACATGCTGACATATATGCTGACACATGCCGACACGTACTGCCATCGACTGACACGTGATGACAAATGCGGACGCGTGCCGACGTGTCATGATACGTGCCGACGTGTCCCAATGAGTGCTGACACGTGCTCACAGGCACTGACACGTGCTCACAGGCACCGGCACGTGCCAACACGCGCCGACACGCGCTCAAGTGTGCTGACGTGCGCTGTGTGGGCGGGGGGGACGCGTGGCATGCGGCGCTACCGGAGTTCTTGGCGGGGCAGGGCAGGCACGGCTCCCCGAAGCCGTGCTCCGTGCTGGCGCAGCAGCACTCCGACTTGGTGACGGCGCCCGGGAAGGGGCGCACGCACACGCCCTTCTTGATGGCGCCGTAGCACGTGCTGCGCATGTGCGTGTCTGACAAACGGACGCAGGGCGGCGCGCGGAGTGAAGGGTTGAACAACAAAAAAACAAAATTCTGAATCGGCTACGTTCAGCCGGAGCATCCAAACGCAGGCTGCGTGAATGGAGGGGAATGTCCAAGCCATGCGGGAGGGAGCGTAGGGGGGAGGGAGTGTAGGGGGGAGGGAGCGTAGGGGGGAGGGAGCGTAGGGGGGAAGGAGAGGGGGGTACTCACCGACGCAGATGCGGCCGTCCATGCCGATGACGAGGCCCGGGGGACACTCGCAGCGGAAGGATCCCTCGCTGTTCACGCAGCGCCCGTTCATGCAGATGCCCGGCGTCTGGCACTCGTCGATGTCTGCCTGGCACAAATCCCGCAGGCGTCACTAAGCATGGCGGCACAACGAGCCCTGTCCATCCCATCCGGCGGCGGCGCCGTCGCCCCGTCGCCGTGCACGCGGCATGGCGCCACCCGCTGCTTTAGCAGCTGGTTGCGATAAGACAACCGTTCAGGGGAAAGCCCCCCACGTGAGCAGCGGTCGCAATGGGAGTGCAGTGGCGCCGGTGTGACACCTGTTCGTCCCGCAGCCTGCGCTCGCTGGCGACTACACGCCGTGGCACGGGGACAAGGAACCGTCCTGAACGGTGCCGGCACGCACGCACGGCGTTCCGGGGAAGTTGTCCGGTCTGGCGTACCGTCGTGCACGCCGGCCCATTTCCACCGCCACACGTGATCGTCTGCGTGCGTCGAGCTCGTTGTAAGCGTGTACGCGCGCGTCCCATGGAGGGGGGGGGGCGGTAGCGTCACCCCACGTGCACGCACCGACGCAGTAGCGGCCGTTGGGCGCCAACGAGAAGCCCGGCTTGCAGATGCACTTGAAGCTGCCGTCCTCGTTGATGCACATCCCGTTGAGGCACATGTTGGTCGTCGCGCATTCGTCGTGGTCTCCATCGCGCACGGGAGAACAATAATGACGTCAACAATTATCATTTGCGTTCATTCGACTTTTTGCGGCGAAACACTCCAAATGCGCGATGTTGATTCGAAACGCGGAGGGACAAACCGGAGGACCCGGAGAAGAATCCACACGATTCGCAGGGAGAGAGACCATGCAAACTCCCAAAATACAGGTGTCAGGGTCGCGAATCGAACCCACGATCTCCTGTATACCAGGCGAGGAAGTTAACATCTCGCCACCGTGGCGCACAAATAAGCGGAAGGCAGCAGCAGCCACGTGGGCTTGGGAGTGTTGGGTGGTATTCATATTCTTGATTCTTTCGGTAAAGTCATATAGGAGGGAAACAATGAAATAATAAAAACATAAAACAATACAATTCTCACGACGTTTCGACTGCAACACAAGCAATCATCATCAGGTGTGAAAACCACAGCAAGAAAATTTGAAAAAAGTGGCTTTTTTAACGCTAGCACCAAGGAGAACGATTTGGCAGTTATTCAGATGGACGAGTCCATCTTTGTTCGGAAGAGAGGAGGGGGGAGACGAAAATAATGGATGCGGTCTGAAAGCCACCATAAGTGTGAACAATCAATTAAGACCCGAAATGGTTTATCAAATCCTTCCAATGATTGCTAAGCCAGAATCCATCTTCTCGGTTGAAATTGTCTCTGTGTTTGTATATGTGGTTGTGTGGGTTAGGGTGGCTGGGGGGGGATGGGGGGCTAGTGGGGGTTGGGGGGTTGAGGGGTCTCACCAACGCAGTTCTTGCCGTCCGCTGCGAGGTCGAAGCCGGCGTTGCAGATGCACTGGAAGCTGCCCTCGGTGTTGACGCAGCGCCCGTTGCGGCACAGCTGCCCGTTGTGGATGCACTCGTCGATGTCTGCGGTGCAGTGCATCGCACAAAAAGGTAAAGGTACCACCCCCGCCCAATAGCCTTAATAGACTGCTGGGGGAAGTGCTATTAGCGAGTAGCACCTATGAAGGCCGGCACGGCACACGAGGGAGTGGGTGGCCAGCACCACGCTCGTCCGCCTTTGTCTCCCTCGTGGCGAAGTTTACACAGTCGCACCAGGCACTCATTTAAGGCCGAGTTGACTTAGGGCAGGACCAGTTCGGATATTCGTCACTGCTGCCGGCCGTGAGCGGGAATTGAACTCGGGGACACCGGGTTCGCAGCGTATCGTAATGACCACTACACCACCGCACCCCTCCCCGTGTCTTTGGGACATGGCGTAACGAAGGGGAGGCATTTCCACCGGGGGCTACTCCCACAACCAGCGGTACATTTAATGCACGCGTGCAACAACAATAGCCTCCAATTGCCCACTAAGTGGTGGTGGCGTCACCACAGTGCTTGGGGTGCCAGGTTATAGGTGCTGTCTTCAGGCCATCGTGTGAATTGTCGAAGGGGTGCCGACCGGAGATCACGGGAGAGTCCCCCAGGTGTAATGGGTCAACCGACGCGCATGCACGCACAGCGAAAGCCGGGGCGGGACGCACGCACGGACGGGCGGGCGAGCGGGCGGGCGAGCGGGCGGGCGGGCCACGTACCGATGCAGGCCGGCTTGGCCGGGTTGACCTGGAAGCCGGTGTGGCAGCGGCACTGGAAGGAGCCCGGCGTGTTGATGCAGTCGCCGTGGCTGCAGGGCCCGCTGCCACACTCGTCGACGTCTACCGAGGCCACAAACGGAGAGACGAGGCCTCCTATAAACTGCCGCCAATTCACCGCCGCGAATTTTCCCGCTCGTCGATAGAAATACTTCGCAATGGGCCGGAGTTGCCCAAATAAAAAATAATAATTGTATTTTGCGTGGCAGAATTCCTCTCCCGCCCCCCACAACTGTGAAAACTTAGCCAGGACCTTCCTGAAAAAGAGTTATGAGACTCAGTGACGTTTGTTGTTGGCAACAAGCCGAGTAATAAGGATATTTGCTTTTGTGCCTTAACAGAAACTGTTGATTGCCGATCTCCAATTGTCTCTATACTTTGGTCCCATATTGTTGTTGGACAGCCCAAACAAGATTTATATAAAAAAAAAAGATAGAACAAAAATTGGAAAATTTGCCAGTTTTCGTACGCAAAAAACAGTCGTTGATTAAGAAACAAGGCAAAAAAACGAATTTGGCAAATAACTATGGCAAGAAGATTTACTCGGAGTATGTGAAAGATGATCGGCTAAGAAATTAAGAAATAAGGACAAAAACTGGGGGGTCACCGCCGCTGCTGTTTTTAAAGCCAAAGGAATCAAGTGGGAACAGCTGACATGAGAGACCAGACCAGCTACGGCGTGGACAGCCAAGAGAGAAGCCAAGAGAATCAGATGGAGATGGCAGCAGCAGCAGCAACACAAACACCACCGGGCAGTTCGGAGGTCGCTCCAAGACCTTTTCCCAGCAGTGAGAGGTTACAGGCTGACAACAACAACTGCTCGCGATCACCAGTGCGCGAACCCCAGTCGTCCCAGGGCAGTCAAATTCTACCGTGCACAGCATCGTGGTGAATTGACGTGGAAGGGGGTTGTGGCGGGACGCTGGCGGCAGCTTCACGGCGGTTTTCTCTTCACGGCACCGTAACGGCAGCCGTCAGAGGCCAAGCGGAGCAGGGCTCCTGGAGGTCAAGGGTCATCGCTCGGTGAGGCTGCCGGGATGCACGGTAGGGATCGCGGCCAAACCCGGGCGCGTGGCGACGGCGGGCACGGTCGGCACCGCGAGGGACGGGCGCGCGGACGCCGGCACGGTCGCACGTACCGATGCACTCGCCGCGGAGGTCCTGCTTGAAGCCCACGTTGCACTCGCAGCGGTAGCTGCCGGGCGTGGGCACGCAGCGGCCGTTGAGGCACAGGTTGGTGTAGTGCTTGCAGATGTCCAGCGTCTGGTTCAGCGTCACGATGTCCGGCACTGGCGGCGCAAAAAGAAAGAAGCCGCAGGGAGAGCGCAGGGCAGCGGTCGACGGAGCTCACGGCGGCCGCGACCGCGGCTGCGTAGGGTAACGGCAGCGGTGGTGACGAAGCGCGTCTGGTTGTCGAGTTAGTATTTATCACGTTAGCTTTGGTGGTGTGTGTATATATATGGAGTAGTCCCTCGGTTAACGGTGACATCGGTTAACGGTTCTTTGGTTAACGTTCCGCCTCCCATGGTTTCGACTAACGTTAACACTTTAACGGTACGTGTTTACGTTGGAAGGGACTAATGGTTAAAACATGTCATTCCTATGTTCGGCTGCTGCGTTGCTGACGCGTAAGAAGCACAAATCAACAAAAAACACGCCGCACTCCGTGTCAACTCATCGTGCATGTTTAAGCGTAAATATTGTGAGGAGCGGTAATGCAGCGGTTAGCGCACTGCGCTAGGAAGCCGGCAACCAAAGTTCAATTCCCGCTTGCGGCCAACACCAGTCATAATTATCTTAACCGGTCCTGGGCCTCCCTTCGGTCGACTCAGTCTCAAATGAGTACCTTGGTGCGGTGTGTAAACATCGTCACTGGGGAGACAAAGGCGGCCGGGCGTGGTGTTGGCCACACACCCCCTCGTGTGCCGTACCGGCCTTCGTAGGTGCTACTCACTAACAGCAACTCACTAACAGCACTTGCCCCAACAGTCTGTTGAGGCTACGTGGGGGATCTTTGTCTTTGTAAATAAGCGCCAGGTTCGGCCGCTGTGTGCGGCTTTGCTCACCACGAAGGGGCCCTCCGGGCACGCCGTTGCCGTTGAGGCCCGGGCGGTAGGGAACCCCGTTGGGGCCGCTTGGATCCAAGGGCCCCCCGTTGGAGCCCAGGCCTGGCCCGTATGGGCCGTAGGGGCCTCCCGGGTGAGGACCGAAGGGGCCCCCGCCAGGGCCGACACCCGGTCCCACGGGCGCACCCTCAATGCAGAGCCGGCGGAACTCATCTGGAGAGAGAGAGAGAGAGGATTCCCAGGGGATGGGGGTGGGGTGGGAGGTCGCGGTGTGATGCGTGGTACAACGAAACCAGGCCCGTTGTGGAGCCATCTTTAAAGCGTGTCCCAATGCCAACGGCCTCTCCTCGTTAGCTTCCCGTCGACACGAGCGGCACGCATTTTTTTACGTCCTCCGCCAAGGCGAGCCGGCCGAAATCCCCAATTCCGATCGGAGGATCTCAGCGACCCCGCCGGCTCAGTGTTCTGACCCCCCGTTTTTTGAGGGGGGAAAAAAAAAGGAAAACAAAACCGGGCTTGTGATGGGGGTCTCTCTCTCCCCATCCCCGCCACGCCGTGCTGCGGGCGGCCCCGGCACACCCGAGGCCACCTACCGGAGCCCCGCACGGGACACATCTCGGGCAGCCCGCCGGCCGTCCAGCACCGCCCCGTCTCGCAGCAGCACTGGGTCTTGGTGAGCGGCGACGGCAGCTCGCCTCCGCAGCGGCCGCCCAGCAGGCTCGCGAAGCAGGTGCCCACGCGCTGGTCTGCACGCAAGGCACAGAGACAAAAGATCCCCCCGGTGTGTAGCCTTGACAGACTGTTGGGGCAAGTGCTGTGAGCGAGCACCTATTAAGGCCGGCATTGCACACACGAGGGGGTGGGGTGGCCAGCACGACGCCTGGCCGCCTTTGTCTCCCCGGTGGCGATGTTTACACTCCAGACCAGGTACTCATTGTAGTGGAGTCGACCTATGGGAGGCCCAAGACCGATTCAGATATTTGTCAGTGGTGTTGGCCGTGAGCGGGAGTCGAACTCGGGTGGCCGGGTTTATAGTGTAGCGCTCAAACCGTTGCACTACCTCTCCCGCGAACGCGCACACACACACGCACATGCACGTGCACACACACACACGCACACACACATGCACACGCACATGCACACACACATGCACACACACATGCACACACACACACGTGCACACACACGCACACACACATGCAGGCACACGCACATACACACACACACATGCACACACACACGCGCACACACACACGCGCGCACACACACACGTGCACACACACACATGCACACACATGCGCACATGCACACACACACATGCACACACACACATGCACACACACATGCACACACAACAACAACAACCGCCATTCGCCGCTAAGTGGCGGTGACGTCACCACGACGCTTGTGCCAGGCCATGTGCACCTTGAGGCCACGTGAAGTGTCGAACGCCCGCTGGCAGGAGGTCACGGGGCAGACCCAGGTGCCACGGGTCGACTGACTGAGATGACTGGCTGATGCACCACCTGTGCCCCCTACTGTGCCAACCTGCTGTGCTTTAGCCACCTGGCGCTCGCTCGTTGTTGTGAGCGTCGCTCCTCCGCCCTCCGTTGTTGTTGGAGGGCGACTGCCTCCAACTGCCCAGTAGCGTCCTTCACGAGCCTCCTCCACAGAGCCCGATCTTGACACCGCTGGTACCAGTCATCGGCAAGTCCACTCAGCTCCACGTCCTCCTGTACCACATCACTCCATCTCTTCTCTAGCCCGTGCCGCGCCCGCTTAGCCCCCTCGATCCGGCCGAACAAAAGCTGTTTCGGCATGCGGTGGCTGGGCATGCGGGCTACATGACCCAGCCGACGCAGCCTTACTTGCCGGAGGAGCTCACCGATGGGACCGTGCCCAGATCTTTCAAGGATTTGTGAGCTCCTCACACAATCCAGCCTGGTTAAACCCAGGATGGATCGTAGGCAGGCCAGCCTAAATGTTTCCAACTGCGAAGATGCTCCATTAGGGGGGTCCACGTTTCGCAAGCATAGAGAAGGGAGGGAATGACCGTGGCCGAGAAGACCTGAAGCTTAGTGCGGAGCGACAGACCAGGTAGCTTCCACACAGCGTTATGCAACCGATGAAAAGATATTGCCGTTTGATTGATTCGGAGTGAGACCTCTGCTGTTAAACTGGAGCCGGTCATAAGCACACTGCCCAGGTATGGGAAACTCTCGACTCTCTCCACAACTGCCCCATCACCGATTGGGAGTTGTGGGGGTGGAGTGTCCGATGGTACAAAATACCCAGGCAGGTGCTTAGTTTTGGTGGGGCTGATGATAAGGCCCCACCTCTTAGTGGCACGCTCCAGTCTCAGCAGCAGCGTCTCCAACTCCTCCTCTGAATGAGCGGCTATTACCAAATCATCGGCATACATAACGTGGTTGACCAATAAGGAGCCATCCCTTGACCGCACCTGGGCATCGATCAGCCTCCCATTATATCTGTACCATATGGAGATTCCCCCGGTACAGCTATTGAAGGCTTTACGAACTACGTGGCCAAAATAGATGTTAAATAATGTGGGAGCCAGAGGACATCCCTGTCGCACCCCAAGGTGTATAGGGAATGGCTCTGACTCCCGGCCACGTAGTTTTACCGAGGCCCGCTCACCATCATGAAGGTCCTTAATGATCGTGAGCAGAGGGTCAGGTACTCCAAAAGCACGAAGAACAACCCAGAGCCCAGGCCTACTGATGGTATCATAGGCCTTGACCAGGTCAATAAAGCAGAGATGTAGGTCTTGCTGGAATTCCCTACACCTCTGCTGTAGCAGATGGACAGAAAATATGGCATCTGTGCAGGACTGCCCTTTCCTGAAACCGCATTGGGGCTCCACAAGCCTCTCTTCAGCGTGCCTGGCAAGGCGATGTTGAATAATCCTTGCCAGGACCTTTCCCGGCACACTGAGGAGTGAGATTCCCCTGTAGTTGTTACAGTCTGTGCGGTCCCCCTTCTTAAAGAGGGGGACCACCAGGACATCCTTCCAATCCTGCGGAACCCGTCTAGTAGCCCAGGCTGTTGTTATGATGTCATATAGGGCAGTCTGTGCACAAACGCCACCCTCCCTCAGCATTTCGCTTGGGAGATCATCTCTGCCCGCTGCCTTTCCTGGTCTCAGACTCCGGATCGCCTTCAGTACTTCCTCAACAGATGGCACCTCAGCCAGCTACTCACAGGGGGTGACTTCTTCCAATATTTGAGGCACCGCAGCCTCAGCAGGGTCATCCTCACTTTGTGCCACAATGTATTCCTGGCTGAGGGATTTTCCCTCCCCCAGGACCTCACAGAAATGCTCAGCAAATCTGCAAACCTGTTCCTGGGGGTCGGAGATTGGATCACCGTTTTTTCCCCTAATGATGGTAATAGGTGTGGCGCTGCAGGTTACTTTTTTGATGGAGTTTAATAGAGATTTGTGATCGCGGGCCACTGAGGCAGACTCCATCTCCTCAGCAACCCGCGACCACCACCCATCCTTGCAGCACCTCACAGCTCTCTGAACCTCCGAGCGAAGGCTGCGGTAAGCCTCCTCATTCTCTGACGTGGGATTCTATAGCCGATGACAGTGGGCCTGTCGCTTTTTCTCAACCATCCTGAACACCTCCTCTGTCAGCCAGGGTCTCTGGGGACGTCTGGACCGCGTACCCAAAGCAGCCATTGCAGCTGCATTAGTCACAGTCCTAAACCTCGCCCATTTACCCTCGACATCAGGAGGATTCGGAGACGATGCCAATCTCAGCCACAAGCGATGATGAAATTCTCGCTTGCAACTTTCATCAGATAACTGAGACCAGGTCACTTTAGGTTGGAATGGGGTCCTGGGTGTACACCCACCACCGGAGTGGAAGAATGGCAGGCACATCTTACAGATGACTAGTCGATGGTCAGAGGGCAGATCAGCTCCACGGTAGGTCCTGGTGTCAAAGACATGGGCTCGCATCCGCTGGTCCGTCACTATGTAGTCCAGCAGATGTTCTTGCTTGGACCCGGCATGCATCCATGATGTTGTGTGGATGCGCCGATGCCAGAACAGCGTGTTGGTAATTACAAGCCCATGGGCTGCACAAAAATCTAGCAGCCTCCTACCGTTGTTATTGAGCTGATCTGGCCCATGCCCTCCAATCACTCCAGACCAGGTGCCAACATCATGACCAACACAGGCATTGAAGTCCCCCAACATAATGACTCTATCCCGAGGTGCCACTTTAGCCAGCACCTGTGACAGGAGGTCATAGAAGGCATCTGACTCATCGGCTTTGCCTGCATCCCTCCACGGATGTTCGTCTTCGGTGGGGGCATAAGTAACCACGACCACCACTCCTCCCCTCCGGTTGATGGGAAGGCGAGCCCAAAGTAGCCTGGGGCTTACAGCTTCCCACACCTCACCGCCACGCTCCCATGCCCCCTTCATTCTTTTGTTCAAAAGAAGAGCCACACCCTGTTCTTTGGCAGTCTGCTGCCCCGAGTAGAGGACTGTCCACCCCTCATGGTGGCAGGAGCCATAACCGGTCCACCGGACCTCCTGAATGCCACAGAGATCCATGCGGTACCGGCCCAGCTCCCGACAGAGGAGTGGCAGCCTCTCCTCCGCAGTGTGTTCGAACATTCCACGTGGCCATCCGTAGTGGCTTTTCGTTGTTTCTGGAGGAGCCCCGAGGGTAGAGATTCAATCTCCTGGCTCTGCCAATTGGGGTTTAGCCAGGAGACGTCATAGACGCCTGTCCCCCCGGGGCCTCCGGCACAAGCTTATTAGTTACATATTTCAGTTTAACTCGTGGTTGTGGTAATTAATTGAAGGTGGAGGGGTTACCAGCCCCTCGCACCCATCCAGAGCCCCCGTTTAGCCACTGTGGTGGACACAGACGCCATGAGGGGAGAAGCCAATCAAAATTGGAACTCCCCCCACAGCACTGTCCACGACAGAGTTGCCCGTCCGGCACCGCGAGGAGGTAGGGGGTTGTGTTGCCGGACCACACACACATGCACACACACGCGCACACACACACTGACACACACGTGCGTGTATCTGGGCCCCCGTACAACAGAGGCACTTTCTACTTTGTTGAAAATTTTCCAAGGATTTTCAAAGAAAATGCCCATTTGAGCTGTAATTGCCGACAGCCTCCGCAGGTACGGTCACGAACATCCAGGTGTTTTTCTTCGGTTGGGTGGTGAGGGGGTACTTGGAACACTTCAACCTCCTGTTGAGATTTGTTTGCTTCCGTGACCATCTAAACACCGCCGCGCAGTCCCTGGCAAGGGCAAGAAAACTAAAAACGCATCGCCCGAGAGGCTTTCACAAAAAAAACACGCAGCTTCATGCTTACACGCAGAAACCGGCGCACAATTATAACATTACATTTTCCTCAAGCAATAACAAAAGTTCACCGCAACTATTTTCCACGGCAATTATCATAAAATAGAAAACGGGGGCGAGAGCCAGAGAAGGCGAGCCAATTCGAAACGAACATCCAGATAACTTGCGGGCCCCTCAGCCTGCACGCGGGCTTGCTCACGCGCATTTAAAACCGAGACGTTGAAACATTTTCCAACCCCACACCGCCCCCCCCCCCCCCGCTCCACGAGCACCGTTTTAGTGCCACTGAGCACCGTGGGCAATTACTCTCCCTCTCCTTCTCTCTCTCACTCTCACGCTCCCTCTCTCTCTGCCTCTCTCTCTCTCACTCTCCCTCTCCTTCTC